TTTTGGATCTACCCTTTTCCACGTCATCTCGTCACCTAACAATCTCTGACGGCCTCCAATCTCTGGCTGTCTACATCTTCCACGCATTTCTTTCACATATCTTTTCATTTCCTCGGCTGGAACGGAACCTCTAATTTACATCATTATTCGATTTTATATAGAGGTTTGCATCACTGCGCCTAACTCTGCTATTCTCCTTGCTTTTTCTTTTTTTCGCCCTTTGGGATTTTGGTGGCTAGAATGCCATGCGTTTTTGCCTCCTGGTCTGACGATTATGTTCACGTATATACTATTTTATGATCTCAATACCTAGCTTTTGAAATGTTTAGTGCAGCTTTATTCTATCCCTCTCTCTCAATTGACATCATGCATGGTTTTACTCTCTATCATAGGCTGGCCAACCTGCTCTGTCTCTTCGTTTACTCTCTTGCCATTGGTTCGCGGGCTGGATGCTCTGCCAAAGTGACGTCTATGCTATGGAGGTTGACCGAACCCAACCAAAAGTGCAATGCTTAACTCGCTTTGGATTTGGTCGGAGGCGACTATTTCTCCAATTGACTATTCAGCTTTTTGGATAGCATTTTCATTTGGACGGCTTCTGCAAAAAGTTCCGGTTGGTCAGCAATTTCAAGATCGAAAGCTGCTTCATGGAAAGTGTGGCAAGGAATACCGTCATCAAACCATGAAGTTGTAATGATTCGCACAGCAATTGAAGACTCGAACCGTGGTAAGCTGCTCTAAGTGTTACATCAGCATTAGACATCCTTCTCGCTAATATTCCGATGGAAGGGGTGTGAAGGGTTCCCCCACGGAATCCTGCGCATATTTGTCGACTGTGTAGATGTTCTCCCCACGTCTCTGTCCTCCCCCCGCGCAGCAGCTTCGTATATATGTATATAGTATGTATACACATAGTAGGTGGTAGAAGGTGCCTCTTGTCTAGGATCCCCATGTAGGAGCATTTGGGACTCGGTTGTACATAGTACATACATGGGCGGGATCGACTTCCCAACCCAATTCACCAGTCTCCAAAGTACTCACCCTACAGGGTAGAGCTTGTCATCTTTGGCGAGTTCGCCGCCAGGACCGAGGGAGAGGCAGAGTGCACACCATCTCTACATCATAGAAGGTATTTCCACGGCGTCCTCCGACCCAGATGGACTTTGAACGTGGGGAGCAAAGGCAGACAAGCAACCATCCCTAGTGGCAACACATTAGCAGTTTAAATCTTATATAAGCTTCTTCTACTCTTTTCTTTCTTTTGCCATGGATACTAAGTAAGCATGCTCCTCTGCCCGAACCTACATCGAGCCACCGGCCAGTCTCTCTCTCTCTCTCTCTCTGCTCTTGGAATATTTCGTCATAGGCTGGAACCGTGACGAGCGTCGGAGTTGGTTACCATCTCGATGGGAAAGCGTGGCCTGGACAATGCATAGTGCATGATAAGTTATCATGATGAAGAAACCTAGCAAAGCTCATCGTTTTTCCCCTCTTGACGGCTTCAAATGCAACCAAAACTTGTGCATCTTCTTTTTTGATGTTTTATGAAGAGAAAAAAAAGCGTAAATAAACCGGTATTAAATACAGTAATAAATATGTATCGTATTATGTAAGTATTGTATGTAACTTTAGGTACCCGTATGGTAAACACGTGATATGGATTTGTCATCATTTTATTCCCTGAAAAAGAAAATGTTAAAAAAATAAAAAATAAATAAAATGTCAACATGTCAACATCGTCTCTTTTAACTACAAACACCGTCGACAGCGTCGTAAGAGAGAGAGATGGCTGAGTCCAACCCGTCAATGAATGCGGCTTGACTGGTCAAAGACTGGATTGAAATCAGCCCTGGAGACAAGCCACGATACATGACGAATCTAGTGGCAGCTCGATCCCTTTCGTTCGCTTATACAGAAACATCCATGTTTAGGTCGCGGCCCGTCTAGGCGGATCATCAGTCCTGGGTGATCAGATAAGTATAAGTAGCCGGAGTTGGTGATGAGGCCGTTCCTGGGCCATCCCTACAGGCGTGGGGTTGACGCTGACACGAGTTGAAGCCGTTGACCAGAAGGATGTTGGTCTTGTGGACAGGCTGACAGGGGCATAATATACAATGTACCCCCCTTTTCAATTCTGCCCAGCAGATGGGATGTTCGCCAGACGGACGAGGATATGCAATCCTGCCTCCTTTGAACACCAATAAACATACGGAGGACGGACTGATAAGAATAACAATCTACACGCTCTCTTCGATATTCCAGCTACAATCGCAGACTATTGCCCAATAAAGGTACAAAATCGTATAATTATGGATGGCACCTCCGCCCAGCAGGGGGCGTATATATACAAACACGATGACAACCTACGAATGAAGAGAATCCTGCTGCCTTGTAGGGGAAATCGGGCTCTTGGCCTTGCGAATCTGCACCTGCGCCCTAAAATGCAAAACAAGACTAAAAAGGGGGTAACATACTATGTAAAGGGCAACGAAGGAACGATAAACCACAAGAGCAAGCGCTGCGATTCACCCTCAGGCATAAAAAAGCAACAAATCGAGAGGTCCACGGAAGGATAGTCGCTAAGTCCGGTATTTGACTTACGCTTATACGTCTCGGATACGGCATTCAAGTCATCGCCAATTTGAAATCAACAAGTTTATGCAATACATTAGTCAGGTAAAGACTTGAAAAAAAAAAAAAAAGAAAAGGAAAAATAAAATTAAAAATAATACACCAAAGAGCTTGGTGGTGATCATCCCCCTGCCTCGCTCCGGACCCGACTCGGCGACGTTGTTCCTCCATCCGCAGAACCACGAAGAAGCAGAAAAAAAAGAGCGCCAGAAAGAGAAAGAGGGAGAGGGGAGAATAAAACCGGAGGAATGGCGGGCGGACCACCCAATACCGACCAACTAGCTGGAGAGAAGCGGCATTTTTGAACGGAACAGAGACTCTTTGTACGGTTTCTTCTTTCGTCATCGACACACTTGGCTGGCTTAGAGAGAATATAGGCATGGAATAAGAAGACCAACCCGCCAATGCAGCAAAGTTTACTCTGTTACTTTGATACGCCAATTCCATTGCAAAAAAATGCACCTGCGAGGCATGTTAGGATGGTAATATACATACACCATGAACGGCATCCAACATAACATTATGGCATGCTATTGATCCAGGATGCGGGCTGTACTATGGCATAACTCGAGAGAGCTATGGGGGGGTTACTTTTGCTGCCTCAGCGAGTAAGATTATACTCGCATTCTGTACCTTGGAATCATCTTATTTTTAGTTTTTTTCTTTTTCTTTTCTATTTTTCAACCTTTTGAGCTTTGCCTGCTAAATTTCGCAATTGGGGGAGAGATGAGGAGGAGGGAGAGCCCCAGCAGCTGCTCCCAAGTCCAGCTTCTTCCTCCAAAACCCACCCACCCCCAGTCTAGCACGGAGACCGACTCCGTGTGCTCGTCTCCGTCCTAATGAATCGGAGCCGTAGCTGGGCTTGTTTCCAGCCTGAACAAACAAACTTTCAGGGTTCCTTCTCGACATGAATTTCGTATAATAACGGGATCGAAGCCCGTCGCAGCACTTTCCATCCTATATTTCCCTCCTTCCCTCCCCCCACCCCTATTTGAAAGGGAAACTCTTTTGGCGGCTTTTGATTTATATCTTATTGATATTTCAATATCGAGTTCCCAACAGCCTTTCGAAGGCCAGAGAAAGAAGAAGAAGAAGCTATCCAACCACAGATATCAGGGTATCATCCAACTTGTTGCCCCTTTCGCTCGATTTACTTCCGCCACTCGAACCGTTTTTCTAGACACTCCCATCCAACCCAGGGAACTATCAAATTATCTTATTCTTTGCTCACTCGTCATCGCCCAATTCTATCCATACGTCAGAACGGTCTAGGCGGTCTTTTAAAGCGGGCGCATACTCCCGTCGTTTATTCCAAAACGGCTTTTCTTTTTCTTACTTCCTCACCCTTCGTGGCCCATCTGAAGCACCAAATGCACTAAAAGAAACCTCTGTACACCAAAAACACAACTTGATTATTCGTATATTCATCCATACACTTACAAAGGAACAACCCCGGAGATACCCTACTTCAAGCAGTCGTCTTAGTCTCCTTTGAGACTTGAGGATAAAGAGAGAACCACAGTTCTACCAGGGCCATTATTCCATGTTTATTTGATGTTGCATAAGCAATAAACCAAAAACAAAGAACAAAGACAGAGCTGCGGCCAGAGTACCATAATACCATGTCCGCAACGAGGCTCCAATCACCTCCAGACCCAAACGAGAACGGAGGCCGCAAGAGAGTCGGCAAGGCCTGCGATAGGTGCCGGTTGAAAAAGTCCAAGGTATGAGAAGAGAAATCAAGTTTTTGAAACAAGAAAAATCCAACATATAAAGAGAAGGTCACGTGCTAACCTAACCCTCGTGCCTTTTTGCCCCTTTTGCAGTGTGACGGAGAATGTCCATGTTCTCGATGCATGTCTGATGATGTGATTTGTGTGTTTGGAGAGCGCAAGAAAGCACACGATAAGACCTATCCCAAAGGGTAATACTTGCGTTCTCCTCTTTCGTTGGCAGTCATGTATCTATGCTGATTACAAGGAATGTAGATATGTTGAGTTGCTAGAACACCAACAGACACAGCTGGTTAGTGGTCTCCAAGAGATGTATAGAATGTCAATCAGAGGGGATATATGGCCTGGGCAGCCCCTCCAAGACACCTCAAGCGGCCGCCCCCTAACACACGACATACTGGAGCGGCTGGGAGCACTGAATCGGGGAGAAGGCGCATCAAATAGTAGGTTTTCACGATTTGAAGATGACCTAGAATCTGCGCAAGCCCAGTTGCAGGAGGCCGAGCAACAGGAGGCTGAGCAGCAAAGAGAGCCAGAGCAGCAGCCAGAACCGGAGCAGCAGCAGCAGCAGGGAGACCTGGAGATGCAGAGAGACCCTTCTGACTGCCCTTCTCATGGCACCTCTCCTTCTTCATCAAGACGCATGAGCACTGAAGAAGACCTATTATTTGATACCGATAACTTCCTGTCGACCCAGTATCGGCCTCATCCAGTTCCGGCCCCTGGCCAGCAGACGGTGTCTCTACAGCAACTGCAACAGCAATATTCTCGCCAGCTACAGGAACACCACACCCAACAGTCTACGACGGGCCAGACAGTATTCTTCCCTCAGATGACCACTTCCCGAAATGAAGATGTTGTCGCACCGCAGCATCTTCAACAATGGGGAATGGATGAAATGTCTGATCATCTAGCGGCGTTTGATCAGCAGGTAGAGTCTATCCACCGCCAGTACACCCGCCAGGGAACCATGCCCGGGTTCGCCTGTCTGCCCGTCCAGGAGTACAACGACGAAGATTTTAACATGTTCGTCAACTCAACCCCGAACGGTTCAGCTCGTGTCTGAACCTAATGATCCATTATTGTTACGGCCTATCATTATCCTCTTCTTCTCCTGTTCTTTTTTATTCTTCTTCTGTATATCCCTTTATGCTTACGAATCTTCTTCGTTCATTTTCCTGTTTGTTGCGCTTTTCTCTTTTTTGGCAAGGGATGGGACATGATGGTTTCTTTGGAGGCATAGCATTTGGCCTACATTCTTCGGCTTTGGTGTTCTGGTGTTCGGTATTGCATTCCCTTTAAGCAGACGCTGGTTGGATGCCAGTTTCTTCCCCTCTCAGTCAGTTCGTCTAGATTTCAATAATGGTCTTGGGATGGTTCTATCCATATCCCTGATACCTGGCCGTGATTCTTCTCTTGACAAACCCTTAAAAACGGTGCTTTGAAAAGAAAAAGAAAAAAAACCAAAAACAACGCACAAAAGTACACTCGATTGCCTCGAAAAGTATACCGGAGTTGTAATGACCATAGGGGGTTTCCTTGACTTTTTTCTTTCTTTTTTCTTTTTTTTTATTCTTTTTCTTTTCTTTTTTAAAAAGCAAAGGTTGTCCTGTGAGAGACGGCAAAAGCATCGAAGTGTGTCAGGTAATAGACCATACTACTGTCATGGAAGTACGGCAAAAGGACGACCACTATTAATACCTTCTGTTTTGTATCTATGCCCTAATAATAATTGACAATTTATTCACTTTTTAACTTGGAACTCCATCCCAACGTGAAGCCTGGCCGTTATACAACTATACAACTATACAGCCTTCTCAGCCGCAGCCGCAGGGGTTTTACGCACAGCATATCAAGACGTCAAGGTATCAGCCATCTCACACGCTCTGCTCTCTCGTACGAATACTCGGCTTTGAGCCCGGAAGCGGTTGCGGGAAGAGCTTCTCCTTACGTACATTGCCATGCATATATCTATATATATATGTATGATATATGTATGTAGGTGTGAATGTATGTAGCCATCTATTCGCGCATACACACCCTTCCATACATGTCGACAAGAGGCGACTCTCTCGCCCAGGGTATTCTATACATTAACATGATCAATTCATGTCCGACTGTCGATCTCTGAACTCCACCGCCATGTGTCTGTTGGCCCTCAGTCGAGTGTTTTTTTATTTGCATGTAATTATCATAATGCTGGACAACAAGCATTTGGTGACAGGGCCTGTTGCATGCATGCATCTGCACCATGCACGCATTTATACATCAACTACGAGGTAGGTTTGTACATATATGTACATACTATACGCAGGGCAGGGGTGACGCTGGCTTTGTCTCAGCGAATACGGAGTGGCCAGAAGTATACAAGGTATGCTTCATCGTCCTGCTAGACGTTGGGTTGACTATTTAACTAATCGGAGTTGTCTTGTAGGTTGCCCAGCACGGCACGATCTCGCAAAGGGGGAACTTTTTGATATATCGACTCGAAACTCGAAACTTGACCGCCATCGACTTCACTCTCTCTCTTCTGTATGCTGACCATGCAAACTCCGGCCAGTTCAAGATTCTGGACCGAACCGAGGCTGGAAGAGTTCCTTGGTCGCCTCTCTGTGACGTCAGCGGCCGGTCTTTTCCACCACCTTTCTTTGCTTCTCGTCTGACGATGACGATGATGCAGTGCTTGGGGGGGCCTTGGAAGGACTTGGAAGGCTTGGAAGGCTTGAGAGTGCTCCTGGGAGGCCATTGACCGGCTTGGTGTCGCTTGAAAAGAGACTTCTGAACAAAACATACGTATGCAGCCATGGCAGGACGAGCAGAGACCTTCTTCGCCTTTCTCCCGCTGGGAGCGATCATCCAAGAGTTCCGGGTCGCAGGCCAGAATATCGTGCTCAGTCTCCCCGACGAGGATGCGTACAGGAAGCACAGGGAGCCTTACTTTGGCTGCACGATCGGGCGGACGACCAACAGGCTGAGGGACGGCGTCGTCAAGAACCTGAACGGTAAATCATACGTCATTAGCACGAGAGAGGGCCCTAATTCGCTGCATGGAGGCAAGGATGGATGGAACTCTCGAGTTTTCCAGGGACCCAGACCGGTGAACAGGAATGGGTGGGAAGGCGTCGAGTTTAGGTACACCAGCCTGCACGGAGAGGAAGGGTACCCTGGCACCGTCGAGCTGCGAGTCTGGTATTCGGCTGGAAGGGCGTCCGACGATGGCTCTGGTCGCGAGAAGACCGTGCTGGAGGTGGAGTACGAGGTCGAGTTCGTCGGCGCAGAGTGTGAGGAAACGGTCGTGGGAGTCACCAACCACAGGTCCAGTCACGAACTTCGTCCCCAAACTACGAGAGAAAGCCTATGAATCCTGACACTGGTTTAGTTACTTCAACCTGAGCGGTGCTCCAACGATCGACGGCACCGTAGCGGTGCTGTCGACGGACAAGTATCTCCCAACAGACTCGACAGGGATCCCGCTGGGAAGAATCGAATCATACGGCCCGTTGAGGGTCACGGAGCCATTCTTGATCGATGAACAATGTCCCGACATCGACAGCTGCTTCGTGGTCGATACCAACCCCCAGTCCATACCTCTCGACACCAGATCCAGAGAGCCCAAGTTGCTGGCCTCGTTCAAACATGAAGAGTCGGGGATGCACCTGGAGGTCCTCAGCACCGAGCCAGCGTTCCAGTTCTACACCGGCAAATACATCGACGTTCCAGCGGTGGGCAGGTTCCCGGCTCGCGGGCCTCGATCGGGATTCTGCGTCGAGCCCAGTCGATACGTGAATGCACCGAATGAACCAGAGTGGCGGAGCATGTGTTTGCTGAAAAAGGGCCAGATCTGGGGTGCGAGAACGGTCTACAGATCGTGGAGAGACTGAAAAAAGGGCAGGGGGAGATGGGAGCATTATACTGATCTCGGGCTTTTCTTCTTTTACGTGTCCCTGAACATGCATGTTTTGGTCTTTGTGGCCTCTTCAATGAAGATTATTCTGTTGAAACACGGCCGTGGTAAGCTCCGTCTGTTTGATATCGACTGCGTCTATCTAGCCTTTGAGTGTTCTCTTGTCAATAACACAGTCTTCTCAATGGAGTATCTACAAGTCGCCTTGGGGGGAAAAAGGACACAGCTAGACAATAGATCGAGACGTCAGCCCGTCAATGAACAAATATCTCATTGTGCCTGGCCAGCCCAAGCCTGCAAGTGAATGGAGACAGAATCTGTATATATTGCGAGTCGTCGGCTTCGTGCAGGAACAAAGTGCACCAAACACCATCGTCGCCTTTTGACCACGTCTCCCAAACATCCAACCGAGACAGACTCCCTTCCAACCAACATCTCAGCGAACAGATCCACGATGTGCCGTCAGATATACAACCAGTTTTCCTGCGGCCACGCAAACTTCGTGCGGACGAAGACCTGTGGCAAGAAGCAGTACTGCCCTCGCATCTGGCGGGAGCCAAACTACTTCCACCACATATGCGACTCCTGCGCAGCCAACATCCTGATGAGCATGAGAAGCGACCTGCGACACCTGCGATACTGATACAAAGACAGGCCAGCATCTCCCTCCTGAAACGCCGTTGCCCTTGTCCTTTTGCCCTTGTTTCATACCACAACGGTCCTCCTCCTCCCAAAGACTTCGCTGGCCTCAAAAACACCGTCTCGACCGCCCACGACAAAGTGACTCATCTCGGGAAAGAAACTCCAGCTAAACGAGAACCCAAGGATTATCCACCAACATCTCCATCTCCATCTCCAACTTCACCTTTTTATCACGAAAAAAAAACAAAAAAAGAGCAACGCGACGCGAGTCTTATTAATCCGCATTTGGCTAAACGATGCGAAACACGAGAAACACGCGTAAACACGTGACTATTTATGACTTTGAGGCGAAAAGCAAGACGAAGCAGGACGAAAAGAGCAGAAACCATAGGCTAGACGGAGAGAAGAGACGGGAAAGGGTTCAGTCTAGGTGCCTTGGCTGTCGTTGCTCTACGGCAGGCATGACGATGGTGGAGGGCAGAGAAAGTGTATGGAGAGAGAGACATATAAAGGTCTCCTGCCAGTTCTCCCAGGCTATCAAGCTCAACAGATCCTCTGAACATTGTCCCAGAATATTCTCTCCCAGATTCAACCATGTGTGATAAATGGACACCCCCAAGCGAAGGAACCCCTTGCTGGGTTGAGATCTTCGCCACCGACCTTGATCGAGGTACATATATATACTTGCCCTCTCCGTCCCCCCAAGGCCCTTTTCTTCCCAACGCCTGTCACGAAAGCAGCGGCATGGAAACGTGCTGCCAGTGCCTGTTATGATATGCTGAGATTGCTGATACCACCTGGCCTGCATGTAGCTGAGAAGTTTTACTCGACCGTGTTCAACTGGGTATTCCGCAAGGATGGCCCCGGACGCACTGAAGACGTCGCCCTCTTTGCATTCCCCGAAAAAGGACTCCAGGGTCTGGGTGGTAGCATCTCCAAGATCAAGCCCGGAGAACACACCACCGGCCCGAAAACCGTCAAGTTGTACCTCTATGTAAACGACCTCGAGAAAACCATGGAGGTGAGTGACCCAGATGCCGTTCGTGCGTTAGCGTGGGGGGGAAGGGAATCTGGGGGAAATCCTCCTCCCTCCCGATACCTTGTAGCTGGTGACCAGGGACTGACCGCCTCTGACATGCATATAGAACATCATTGCAAACGGAGGGAAGAAGTGCAGTGATGCTGTCCCTGAAGGTGACCACGGCCAAATTATGCATTTTCAGGACACAGAGGGAAATGGGGTAGGCATCTATGCGACCAAGAAGTAGTCGAAGCTCCTCCAGTCCTCCGCATCAGTCTTTGTTTCCCCTTTCTTTATTGAATATGGTTATCCCTCTAGTAATGCATACTCCTCTATACGTACGTCTTCTGCTGGTGGCTGGATTCTAATATCGGTTCGAAAGCTTGTTCCCTTAATCGCCCTCCCCCCCTTTTTGCTTTTTTATGTATGTCCAAATGTCAAGATCCTTGCCCGGGAGATAAGATTAACCAACCCGTTTTCTCGGGTGAAATAAAACACCGATTGGTGCCTCTTTAACTCCGTCAAGGAGGGTGGGCTTGATAGATTTTAATCACGACCGAGAAATGCACAGTTTGACAGTTTTATGCATCGTGCGTATTTCAGTAAATGAAATACGATGGTTATTTTTATTTTCAGATACCATACACAGTACATACGATACCGTACAGTTTCGGCACCTGCATTCCCCCTTTTGATGCTTAGATTTGAAAAAGAGTCTCCCCAACTCCCACCTTTCTGGAAGCAAAAGCTCCTCCGATAGGATGAGATGAGATGCCTGGCTACGGCCCGAATGGGGGGATGACTCGCAGGATATCGGGCGCGTGGGAGCTTTGATTTGTTCTATTTCCGAATACGAGAGCAAATCCCGCCGGTGAACTTGTCCTGATTTTACGTAGAGTTGAAGCAGGGCCTCCCCCAATCTGCTGCCGTTTAACCGCTCGAATCACTTGGTATCTTCTTGGTCTTCTTGGCCAGCTGTGCTGATTTGCATCCTGACAGCCGCGTCAAGCTAAGCCTGTCTTTTTATCCCTTGAGTCAAGGCAGTATCCTCTTTGTCAGCCTACGAAATCCTCCCTCCAATTCCAACCAATCTCCAAATTACGTACATCTCGTCATGTACGGCGTACTCCGAGCGATAGACAACCGGGTCGAGCCTGTCTATATGGCGGGTGGATCCGTCTCACGTCCAGCCTGACAGCAGCCAGCATGAGAAGTCATTTGACAGCTCAGTCGCTTATGTATGTACTCCAAGAGTGTATTTGCATCTCGTCAAGCATATCCGCGGACCCTCAGAGAAATCTGGCTCTGACGTATACTTTCCATCCTGCCGAGGAATCATTCTCCAAAATATGTATTCCACATCGAACAGTGTTTGAGACGCAGGTACCGGGGTTGCTGGCTTTTTTTATACTGAGCAAACTTTGATAGCCGCTTTCCCGTGCCCTCGCGGCTCGCAGATCCGAGTTGGCGCCCGGCCTTTCAGAGTTCTAGAAGGAAAAAATCAAAAAAGGTATATACAACGGGGAGCAGAGTGGGTTTGTTCCACCGAAAACAATCGCAGCCCTGTCACGGATAAAAATGCGCCGGCCGTTCTCGAAAAAAGGCCGATCGTGCAATACCCTGTGCTTAGCGGTTCAGGGGTCCAAGTGAGGCTGCCGGTGGGCTTGTTGGTGGATATCAAAAAGCAAGACTTCATGAACTTCTCATGCCTGATGATGTCGAAGGCTTTTTTTCCTTTTTCGGCTTTTTCCCTGATATCGATCACATGATCATCGGAATGTCGGGGTTTCTTTCCTCCGTCATCGCATCACGTGAGCGTCCCTCTCAAAAGAAAGAAAAAAGACGAAAAAAAAGCAACGAAATCAACTCTTAACATCTTTTGATATCAAACTAACCAGCTGATACATCGATAGCTTGGGTCTGAAGTGTATAAGACGGAAGACGCAGTGTTTGCAAAATAACTCATAGCTGCATTTCCGAGGGTATAGCTTCCGCGGAAACTTATCATGGCAGCCGCACATGGAGACCTAAGCCACCTGCTGCCCCTAAATTACAAGCGTATAATATCAACATGGCTTGAGGAAGACTGCCCCAGCTTCGACTATGGAGGCTTCGTTGTTGGTGAAGTCGATGGTGAGGCGAAACTGCTGGGCAAAAGCAAGGTATGCTAACGTACAGTTGGTGCTGCAATTAATTCTTTGATATACTGTGCGTACCATGGTCGTTGGCTATAGATTGATGATCTTGAGAGACGGAGGTTATATGCTATTCCTCTTCTTTGGGATCCGTCAAGCTATATTGAGATATAAACTAGATGGCTGATTTGAATACAGGGAATAGTGGCCGGTGTTCCCTTTGTCAATGAAGTATTTGCCCAGTTGGGCTGCACGTATGTGATATCCATCCTCTATACTCGGGCTCAATTGATATACCCAAAAAAAAATATGACAATAATGTACTAACATCAAGTTTAGTGTGGATTGGAATGTCAAGGAAGGTGACCAGATTGAGCCAGTTACCGTCTGCGCCATTGTTCGTGGGCCAATGAGAAAACTGCTCCTCGGTGAGCGAGTGGCCCTAAACATTCTAGCACGATGTTCCGGGATTGCAACAAAGTGATTACAATCTTATCAGCTATTCTTATTTTATACCCATTTTATTCTAACAGCCTACTGCAGGACATCAGCTCTCCTTGCCATTCTTCGTGGCCAGGGCTGGAACGGCACCCTGGCAGGCACACGAAAAACCACCCCAGGCTTCCGTATTGTTGAGAAATATGGAATTCTAGTTGGCGGCGCTGATCCTCACCGCCATGACCTTAGTTCCATGACGATGTTGAAGGACAACCACGTCTGGGCATGCCACAACAAGACTAAGGTCAACTCGGCAAAGACTACAGAGACTGAAACCGCCAGTGCCGACGTAAGCATCATTGCTAAAGCTATCCCATCTGCGGTTCAAGCTGCTCGTGCTACCGCTGGCTTCTCTACCAAGATTGAAGTAGAATGCCGCAGTATTGAAGAGGCAGATGCTGCCGTTGGTGCCGGCGCCGATGTTATCATGTTGGATAACTTTACCGCTGATGGAGTACGGGCCGCCGCAAAGCAGCTAAAGGATGAGTGGGAGGCCAAGGGGAAGCCCCGGGGCAGTTTTCTGGTGGAAGTCAGTGGCGGCCTGAACGAGACTAATGCTGCCAAGTTTGTGTGTGACGATGTGGATATTCTGTCAACGAGCAGTATTCATCAGGGCGTCGGCATCATTGATTTCTCTCTGAAGGTTGATCACTGAGGTAGAAGTTGGCTATCTTGTACATAGTTACTAAGAATTATCATTACTGAACGAATAAATAAGAACGCTGCACGAAATACAATGGATATCAATTAATTAACACGCTAACCACGAGACACCAAGATATATAACCATGGAAATAAGAGGGTAATAGATAAAAAAAGAATACGATAACGTCCAATCGTTAGACGTCCGACCAGAAAAGTAAACGCCCCCAAAAAGAAAGAGAGGATACGGAAGCATAATCATTATACCACGACTTCAACGCATAAACCGCCGTCATCGTCTGTACCAGTACCATCATCATCATCATCGCCCTCGCCGTCGTAACTGCCTGACCGTGTGCTTAGTCCCTCGCTATGCCCACGAGAATCAGGCTCGTATCCATGGTCGATTACCACAACATCCGTTCCACTCGACCTACTATCATCCCTTTCCTGGTTTCGGCTACCCCTATCTCGGCCCTGATGTTCATGCCGTCGGGATCGCTCTGGGGTGCGTGGATTACGATCGGGGTCGTTACACGCGCCATCGCCCCCCATAGAACCCGCAACTCGATTCATTCGCTCTCTTTCTAGAGCAGCACGGAGTTTTTCATTCTCTGCGTTCCGCTCCGCCAGCCTCTCCCGGGCTCCAGAGCGGTCCAACAGTCGTGCTTCTCGCTCTGCCTTTAGCCGTCGTTCCAGATCACGTAGTCGTTGTATCCATCTATCCTGGGAAGCATCGCTTCTTGGGGATAGGTGACCAGTGCCAGAAGCAATGTTATTATGGGGAGCTTCCGGTGGGTTAGCCGCAAGTGTGGTGCTTGAAGAGAAGGGAGATGGCTGAGCCATGCTCGAAGACCCGCGTGAAACAGAACTGTTGCTTCTACCAGATCGTGTGTTGGCAACAGTAGCAGCTCCTTGTTCCGACCCCGTACTAAACCTCGCAAGTGATGACCCAACCGACTTTGAACTCGCTATTCTTGATGGCTGCCCTCGTGCTGACCCGTCGTTAGCGACCTTGACCCGGGAGTGAGATTGTAGGAGGTTGAGCTCAGCTTTGAGCAGCCTGTTTTCCCCCTTTAATTTTGCCAATTCGGCAGTTATGCTCGTAGGTGTCGTGTTGGCCCGTCTGTTGTTCTGCATCTGTCGGACCATGTCTTCCAGACGGTCAAGTTTCTTGATTCGAGCGTTCAAGCTGTTCTCTAGCCCCTGGTATTCTTTCATCAGGCTGCGCTCCACAGTTCTAACACGCGACTTGAATCCGTTTATTGAATTTTCCACTGTCTTGACGGCTAAGAGCAGATTCTTGCTAAAGCCTGGCCAAAACAGCATGTTCCCGATAACCTCTTGGCTGGGTAGATTGCCGTTTATAAGGCTGTTAGAATGTGACCAGTCGGGCCCGCACATTGTAGATAATCTCTTCCACAGGGTGAGGAACATCACATTCCGCTCGTTCAATTGGTCCTTATACTGCTGCTCAAGGTGGTTGAACCGTTTTCGGTCTTGGTTCCGTGCCCCCTCTAGGTCGGTTATTCGTGAATTGTTTTGCACAATGGTTCGAGAAGCTTGGTGATGAGACTTTAGCGATTGTTCAAACGAATGTTTATCGGCACGACGAGCTTGTCTTTCACGCTCCAGGAGGTCTGCTAGCTTCTGGGTCTCCAGTCCATGGCTCTCTAGAAGCGCATCACGATTTCGAAGGAGAGCCTCCTTTTCATCCAGTTTGGTGCGAACGCTCTCCAATTCGAGAGAGGTCGACTCGAGTTCTTTCTGCAACTTTGTAATTGACGTGAGAAGACTTGAACGGGTGCCGTTGAGGTCACCAAGAGCTTCACGCAGACTGTTCTCCAACTCCATTAAGCGGTCTTTCCACATGGTTGCTTCAACCTCCCGAGAAGACAGATTCTTCTTGAGCTTCCGGATTTCCTCCTTGGATGCAGTCGACTCACGGTTGAGATCGTCTATAATTCGCTGCACTTCTTGTTTCTCTTTGCTACCTACCACCTCACGCTGGTATCTTTCATCAGCGAGCTGTCTGTCAAGTTCGTTTGTCTTGTCCTTTTCGCTCTGTAAGCTGGTTTGGGCGAACCTCAACTCAGACTCCAAGTCGCCGATCTTGATCTTGTCACCGTCTTGCTCTTCTCGCAAGAATGCAATTTCATTTTGACTTGATTCTTGTTGAACGGTCAGCCGTTGGATCTTATTATTGGCCTCGACCAGGTTCCTCTCCATGGATTCAATCTCCTGGTTAACGTAATCCAGTTCTTGCTGTACGGCCTTGTACTTGAGGAGGTTGCTCTGTGCATCCTCTTCAAGTCGGGAAATCCCTTCGTTAGCAGACCTGACCTCTGCCTGGAGAGCATCCAAGTTCTCCTGCTGTGTTTGCACTTCGAGCTCCAGGCGATGGCACTCTTCATGCTTCAGGTCGAGCTCTTCTCCCATGGCATCGAGCTCCTCTTGTGCTTCCACTTTAAGGTCCTGCAAGTCCGCCTCTCGCGCTTCTATAGCCTGAAGAGCTTGATCGCGCTGGGACTGAAGGTTCCGTAGCTCCTGGCCTACCCGGTCCAGCTCTGCTTGATATTCGCGTTCCACAGAACTTAGCTCGTTTGCATACTCATCCAACTGGCTACGAAGGCCCTGGTTGTCCAGTTTAAGTGCCGACACCTGGTCTCGAAGTTCCCCGTTCTTATTTTCTAGGTTGTCACGATCGTGGTCACTCACCTGTGACATGGCTCTGGATTGTGCCCTTGAAGCAGAACGGTCAAAGATACTGTCACCGGTGATCGAACGGCCTTCATTGCGCCGTTCGAGCTTCAGATCTTCAATTTCCTGGTAGAGCTTCTCTTTTTCACGATTTCTGGATGTTAGCATCGATGTCTGAGCACTCACTTCTCGTCGCAGTTCGGTATTTTCCTGTCGAAGCAACTCAAGCTCTCTAGTCGGGCTGGATTGTCCAAAGCCACGAGAGCTTTCGTAGTCAGAGCCAACGTGGGAGAAGTTCTGATATCCCTTGCGGTGACGGGATTCTCGGCACTGATGAGAAGATATATCGTTCTCGAGCTGGAGAATCTGGCTGCGAAGGCGTTTGTTTTCCTCCTCGCTTTGCTCCCGAGCAGCAGTTTCAGCATCCAGTATGTCTTTCCACATATCCTAATGGAAATATAAGTATTATAACCAACGGTCAATATATGCATAAAGAAAGGGGAACCTACCCGTTCCTCCCTGGCGCCGGACTCTGATATACCACTTCTCCCGTCTCCCAGAGCCTTCACCATCTCTGCCAGTTTCCTCTTCTCGCTTTCTCTAGTGATGTTCTCAGCCCTGAGCCTCTCAATCTCAACCTCATACGTCTCAATCCGTTCACGTAGATATAGAAATTCCTCCTCGTCTATGGTTCTCTTCCCTGCCTCAGACGCCTGTTCATCTTTACTTTCATCAGCAGGGTCAGCCTTTTCCTTCAGCTGCCTTTCCAGTTCGCGAATCACCCTTCTCAGGGCCTGGTTATCCTTTTGCGCTTTGATTTTATCTGACTTTAGTTCAACGTTCTCAGATATCATCTCTTTGATGCCATCTTCCGACCGTTTATTCAATGCCTGATTAAGGAAATGAATGCGCATCTTCAGGTCAAAATTCTCCTTTGACAATCGATCGATTGTGCTACTTTGTTCCTTCAATGTCATATTTTTGCCTCTGCCAAAGCCTGGGGTACGACTTCCAGGCCGTTTATCGGGGGACGGCCCCACGCTGTCCTGGTACTTTTTTACAGTATTAGGGGCGGGTCGATTCTGGATCTGTGTTAAGACAGTCCCAGGTGGGGACGGCGGATCCGCAGCTCTATTTTTTGGAGTCGCGGGAGGGATATCGTCTCCCTGTTTAATGGTAGTTCCCGGAGACACTGGCCGTTGGGAAGCCGAGTCCTCCTCGTTTAGTGTGTGAAGACTCAGGTCGGACACTCCGCTGAACACCCGTTTGTCGTACGGTTGGTCATCGCTCAAGTTTGAAATGCCAGAGGCCATACTCCCCAGGCTGATAGACCTTGAAAGATTCATTTTACGCCCATGGCTCTGTGGCGCTCTCCCACTATTTGACGGGAGAGCACCGCCTGATTGTAAAGCATAGTCCATTCCCATTGTAGCATCGCTAAGGGCACCATCTGTATTAGCCGTAGCGATTGAAGAGGTTGATAGGCGGTGCGACGACTGTCGGCTAACTAAAAACTTTGGTCTTGTCCGCTGTAGTTCGATTGAGTCTGCGGCTCCCTGGAAGCCACCGGTCCGACTGGCATCGTTATCGTCTGTGGCATAGCTCTGGAGAGACCGAGAGAGCGGCGGAGACTGACTATGAGGCTGTGTACGGGCTTTGCGGGGTGTGGCATCGAGGTCGCCTTCTTTCTCCGTATGCGATCCTTCGTCCTCAAAGCTGTGTCCCTGGCCTTGTCCCTGGCCCTCTTCGCGAACGGAGTCGCCATGTCTCCCAGACCGGCTGCTGGTGGCCGAAAGGACTCGCGAAACGGTTCTGGCGGCAGCAGCAGCGGTTGGAGGTGATGATATGGTCTCCAAGGAAGAAGTGTTAATTCCAACCAAGCTGTCTCCTTCCAGTGGCTTTTCGACCACTGAAGGCTCCATGTCCACCGTCCGAAACGGCACAGGCGTCTTATATGCATCTGACGGTGTTTCTGAAGACGATGACTTCTGGCCCTCTGCACTCTCTGTCTCTTGTGGTGTGCCAGGTGCGTTGTCCGCTCCGACCAAGTAAGAATCGTCCATCGTTCTAGTCGTGGCAGCCCTGCCAACTTGGATCGTCGACGGCTCCGGGAGAAAACTGGACTCCATATCCATCAACTTCCGGTGCATCTCGCGTTCTTCATTCAGCGTGTGGTTCAAACTAGAGTCGTGGTCTTGGTCGTGGCCGTGGTCGTGGCCTGAGGGAGGTAGGTTGGAGTCGTCATGGCCATAGTCTTCCGAATAATCATGGACACTGTCCTCGTTCAAGTCGTCGTCATCATCGTGAGAAGGTAGAGGAGGCAGCAAGCTGCTAGAATCGTAATCCTGTTCTTGTTCTTCGTGCGGCGAGGGTGAAACGGTCGGTGGTGATGAAGGTGGCAGCGGTAGTTGGGATTCCAGAGTCTCTGACATCGCTGCTGGCCGAGGCAATATTATTCCAAGTAATTCCTGCTTGTCCTTCTTCCTCTTCTTCTTCTTCTTTTCTTCTTCTCCTCCTCCTTCGCATCAAGTTTGGAGCTTCGGCTGGGGTTTTCCTCTTGTCTGCGTCCAGCTACTGGAGACAGCGCATCGCCAACGACCCCGTCCGACCGGTGGAAGCGCCAGAGAGCTTCTAGGAGAGTACGCGCAGACAGCCCTGGGACGATACGCCAGCATAAGAAGTCCAGTCTGTGGGATAAATCGCAAAATGCGGTCCTGTTGTTGTTGGTTGCTTTGTTGTTTTTTCCTTGTGGCGTCCGCAAGAAAACTTGCTTACAATTTAATCTCTACTAGCGGCAAAGCCATGCAAGGGGTTTTTTTAGTTAAGTATCAGACTGATCCAGGAACCGGTTCAGGTACGAAGAAAGGCCGTTTTAACGGTAGCGGTAAGTCTCATAAGTTCATTCTCGTGTCAAGCAGGATATATATGTACAGGGCCTTAGAACGCGCCATCCAAGAGGTGGAATTGCAAAGATATACACAGACAAGAAGAAACAACTCCAGAACTGTTAAAGATGGGAGAATGAACAGGGAAGAAGAAGAAGCAAAGTCACTTGGACTCGCTGGCAATGGAACGCTGCGTGATAAGCCGTCAGGAGTATTAAAAAGAGTTAGTCGGTCATAATGGTGGACTAAAAGCACAGGGTAAGATGAAAAGTGTAGAGAGGAAGAAATAAAGAGTCTGCTAAGACAGACAGACAGACAGACAGACGGATAGAGAGAGAGGGAGAGAGATCAGGCGGCGTTCGATTCATCCTCTTTTGCGGCATCGGCCTGGTAGATTCGCTCTCTCTGCGTCTCTGCCCAGACCAGACTGTCGATATAGGTGCGGAACTTGACAATTTCTCTTAGAAGATAGGAAGACTTGCGCTCCCAGTTATGCAGCGCCTTGGAGTAGTTTGCGTGTCTCGGGGTGAAGGCAAGCATGAGAGCAGGGCGCAGCTCGTTGTGGCGCTGAAGTTCCTGCTCGACGTGCTTCACGTAGCTGCGGAGGGTCTCCAGCTGTTCGGCTTCGGAAGAGGTGGAGGCCATCATGCTTTGCTGTGGGGGTCGCCAGTCGCTGAGCACGATCCGATCGCCTGGCAGGCGAGGGCGGACGCCTTGCTTGTCCAGAGAGCTGCGGATGGAACTCTGCAGGCTTGGTCGGGGAATCGGTGCCGAGCTGCTGGTGGACGGGGCGCTGGTAGGGAGGTTGGAGTCGTCGATGCTCGCGGCTGCACTGTTGATGACAGCGTCACTCCAGCCGTACTCAATGTTGCTGACGGCACCGAACAGAGGGCCCTTGGAGAGGCGCGCGCTCCAGTAGTTTGCCGTCGAGACGAACTCCTTCACGATGTCTGCCGTGCCCACTTGGAACAAGTGTACGGCGCCTGTGGGCAGGCTGAGAGCCCATACGTGAGGGCGGGATTTGGAGTATCCCGGAGCCGGAAGCGCGCTGGCAATGGTATGTCGAAGGAGGAACTTCCACGTCTCATCTGCATTCTCCATCCAGTTGCCGCCTCCGACCACCATGCCTGCATTCTGGCGTTGTTTGGGTCTAAGGCGAGTGGACTTGTTGTTGGAGTTGAATGAGAAGAGACGCATCCAGCCACGTTGGATCACGGCGAATGTCTCGTTCCAGTTTCTATCCTTTGAACGCTTGTCGATCGAGTCAAGATGATGTTTGTGTTTCAGGCTCCCTTCTTTTGCCCACGGGGCACCCGCAAGTTCGAGGCTCTCGTCTTCTAGAACCATTGCAACTCGCGCTGGGTCCTCTGACGGAGCTATCGAGTGGGCAGAATCTTCACGGATAATGGCATGGCTCAAGGCGTTTGCGAAGCCAATTGATTGCTGATAGTCGCCTCGCGGGAATTCAGACGCGAAGGAGTCGACAGACATGGACGTTAGCGTCTTGCCTAGCGAGTTCTTGCTCCAGGTACTAGAGCCAGAAGGCGACCACATTGACGACTGGTCGTCTAAGCTTGTACGGCTCGAACCCATCGCAGATGGTGGGTAAAGACGGGGACGAGACCTGGCCTTTGAGGACCACCGAGCAGTGCTTAGGCGATTCTCAGCGCCACCGCGGCCTCGGTGCTCTCCCACACCGGCCCGACTGATCGTACTTGGAGTCCTTCGAAGCATGTTGGAAGTAAGCGTAAGGAATCCGCCAGAAGAGTGAATATGGTCATCGTTCTCCGTTGTGACACCTCTCAGCGGAAGTTTCTGCTTTTGGATCGAGTTATAAAATTCTTTGAGAACTGCCTCAATTTGTGCCTCCCATGCCTTCATTGATCCGTGAAACGGAGTGGACACAAGCGGGCCAGCCAGAGCACTGAGCCCATGACCTATATCGATGAATGAGGCACGGCTTGAAAGACGAGGAGGTGGTATGGTAGGCATTTCAATAATTGGAATATCAATAGTCGGCGTTTCGTAGGATTTTTCTGCACTAGTGGGTGAATGGCTAGGCTGTTTTTCCAGAGATGGTTTGGGGAAGTTTTTCGTAAGGCATGTCCTCTCTGCTTCTGGCACCTGCTTGGTCTGAGGTCTTGATTGTTGAGACGAGCTAAATGCATCTGGGGCGGCTTCTGCTACAACTCGTTGAATGGTGGGCATGGTGTTTTTAATGAATTGCGGCTTGGTCATCTTTTGCTCGATATCTGCAAGATGGAGATCAGTGTTTAGCAGCAACAGGGAGTAACATATGGTATGAACAACATCTACAGTTTTGGTTAGTACCTTAATACATAATCGATTAGAGGGTCATAAGATAAGAGCATACCTGTTGCTTTGAAGCCATGACTTGGGTTGCATTCACACCACCTGGATGAGAATGCATCCAGCACTCTATCTACTTGTTGTGCCTCACCCTTCAACGCAATCTTACAGCATAAACTCCTTAGGGATGAAAGAATATTCATATCTGACCAGTCAAAGTGATCCATATATGCCTTTCGAAGCATTCCCCTGTCAGGTGTACCGAGCCAAGCAGCCGTATATCGCCCTGCGGCCATCTCATCGAGATTGTCAAACAACTGCTGAGCCTGTCGCCTATCTTCGGGGCTGGGCATATTTTCCTCAAACCCGTTGTTAATTGTATCCACGCTACTCTGTAGTTGTTCCGTTGTTGTATTTCCCCAAGCTAGATTCTCGTCACTGCCGGGGATGACGGGGGTATTTTGTGCAGTATGGTAATTAGAGGCGTTTGAAGTCGACGTTGATATCCGAGGCGATTTATCTTTTTCTGTAGTCAACACAGACCTTCCAGACGTATCGATGTAAAGACCTGATTGTTTTTGCCTGGAGGGCTCAGTGTCGGTGGTATTTGGGCTGGCTGGGGCTGAGGTCTGCTGGTTCCTCTTTGAGTGCGCTGGGGAAATCGCCGGTTCCAGTAAAGAGCTAGAATTCGACTCGCTGTTCTGGGACTTTCCAGCATTTACACGATCAGAAAGGACAAGTTCACGTTTGGGCCTGAGAGCGGAATGCTGTGAGGGTTGAGCAGGGGCATCTGGACTTGTCCGCGGTCTGCGCGATCGCTTGTCTTCTGGGTGTCTTGCCCCCAGCCCTTCATTCCCACTGCTGTCTGCTAGGAACGAACTGTCAAAGTCGTTGGTTCTTGAACGGGCACTAGTCTTAGTTGCGTTTGCAGCACCCACTGTTTGACCAGAAGGTTGGGAGTTAGACAAATGGGGCAGTTTTTGAAGTTTCCTAGGGGTCTTGGTTTTGGGTTCCTTGAGTTGGTTATATTCTCTTCCGATGGGAGATTCGGTATCAGACTCGTCTGTTTCCTGCTGATCTTGTGACTTGCCACTGTTATAAACCTCCGGCGAATCCATGTCCGACAGATACGGTTTCATAACCCTGCTGAGGCTGTCTGTGCGAGTAGATCCCGATGCTGTCTTGACTTTCAATTTATCGGTTCCTATTTCCGTAGAGCTGAGATTTGAGAGTGGTAGATTGAGAGGCGGAGGGACGTTTTCAATTACAGATTTTTTGCGTCTGCGGAAAAAGGACGACGGCTTCTTCGTTACGACGGGAGGGTTCTCACGAGTGGCATTATTGGTAGTTGCGGGATCCCTTGGGGGCGGCGGCCTATAGGGTTTCGGGTGTATTGAAATGCTATCGTACCTCGAGGGGTCTGAATACTCGTTACCTCGCGCAGAGTGAGGGCTCACGTCGGACTGAGAAGGAGAGGATTGTCTGGAGCCAAATACCCGTCTAAAGAAGCCCTGACGCTCCTTTGTTGGTGGTGTACTGACGTTCTCAGGAGGGAAATGACTGGGAGGCTGTTGTTTTGAGCGCGCAATGGTAGGACTAGGTGCCGGTACCTGGTTCAAAGAGGGCACAGGAGGAATATCGTTTTGGTCGTCTCCGAAATATTTATTATACTCGTCATTTCGGCCTCTGATTGTAGAGGTCCCCAGCGTGTCACTCTTATTTTTCCTCGAGTACATGCTTCGCGCGGACTTTGTGCTATTTTTGCGGACCAAGCCGGCGGGCCGAGCAGAAGAGCCGGGGGGTGTCGAACTATAGGCGTTGCCAGCATGGTCAGCGATGACGGAAGGAGAGTGGTTCTTCCTAGGGCCTACGGGGACCGTTGGTGTCGGGGCAGCATTCATGTCGTCGTACTGCATCATGGTATCACAATGACCAAAAGAAGGGTGTCTCTTATTGGCTCGTGACGGGAAGGTCGAACCGTAGTCGAAGCTGGCCGATCTTCGTGTTCCGTAGATTGAGGTGGTGGCGAGCATCTCGTTCAGGTCAACACTCGAGGACGTACTGCCGGCGCTGTCTCTTCTTATAAAGTTGGGAGTTGTCCGACTTTGCATGATACGGTCATTAGAGCTGATTGCCCGCTGTGAATCATACACTTTGCTCCTGTAGCTCAGTCGTTCCCCTTCAGAGCTACCGTCAATGTGACGGATCGTGGGCTGTTTGCTGTTCGGGTTGCTATTGCTGCGATATTCTCTGCCTTTCGATCCGTGGCTGTTGTGACGGTGCCGGTGCCCGTGTCCGCTGCTATCCTGGTGAGTGTAGGTCTCCACGTCTGACGAGACCGAGGAGGAGAGAGTGTGAGACCGAAACCGGGAGTTGTTGCTGATGTTGAAATTAGTATTGTTGTTGCCGTGGGTACTATTATTATGGATATTACTATTGCTGTTAGATGGATGGTGGTATGAGTGATAATGTGAAAAGGTTTCCTGTTGCTGATGAGGCGAATCGTAAGGGAGGCTGTCGTCAAAGGGACAATCGGTCGTGTTAGAAGCGGAGAACTGGTCGAGAGACAAGAGCATGTTATCTACGACCGACGAGCGCACACCAAGGGTCGGATTCAGGGACAGGTCGTGTGGATCCCGCTCGTCTTCGTCAATTGAGTCCACATCCCTAGCGTCACTGTGGCTATTACTATTATTGCTATTGTAGTGGTCAATTGGGGTGATGTCGTCTAGGAACGTTTCAGGAAAGGAGGGCCGGATGGGTTGGCGGTCTTTGGTCGAAACCGCCTCGTTGCGGTATTGAGGCGGCGTCTGTGGTCGGTAATTAGGGCGTCGAGAAGCTCGAGTAGCGTTTTGGTAGGAAGAGGACATGATATCTTCACGAAGGGTTGGATGATGGCAGGAAGTGCTCCGGATCGTCTTCTCTCTCTCTCTCGACCCAGAGTACTCCGTATGTGTTCAAAAGACCAGGGAGATGCAGGAGATGAGTATAGGATTAGGTGCCATTGGCAAAAGACGGCTCAATGCATATCTCCAAACCGGAAAAAAAGGGTCTGAAAGAAACCTGGCAAAGGTAGCAAAAAAGACCGGCGCAGATTTCAAGAGAAACTGCAGCTAGCATCCACTGAGCAACACCGCGTCAGGTTTTTTCCCCCTTCTTTTCTTTTCTTCCCCCTTTTTCTATTCTTCCAGTCCTGATGTCTTGATCCTGCGCTACCAGAGCGAAGGAGAAAGAGAGCGGAAGCAGGCGGGTGGAGCGAGCAGAGGACCAGGGATGCGAGGAGAGACGAGGAAGACGGCGGAAAGCGTAAAGCGTAAAAAGGAGCAAACTTGGTCCAGAGTGCCGCAATCCCCTGCACGGCGGCACAAGGGTTGGATGAGAAAGAAAAAGATGGCCGATTTGTTTTGTAGGCGTCTGGTCGTGTTTTGAAGACGTTCGAGAGTCGTTTGAAGTTTGGAAGTTTTTTTTTCCTTTTTGGATCAAAAGATGAAGTTGAAGTTGGAAGAAAGTCGGGTGGTATTGGTAATACAGGCTAGGGGAGGTTATTTGGCCCTGTTTAGGCTTAGCGCGGTACGCCCTGCCGCATGTCAAATTTACATGGCGTATTAGCGTTACAGGGTCCTTTTTTTTTTTTTTCCAAGGAACAAGGAAGAAGAAGAAGAAGAAGAAGTCGAGAAGAAGTAGAGCAGGGATGGGGCAGATCCAGATGGGGGGGGGGGGGGTAGACTCGCATACACGACGGAGGCAACCCAACTGTTAGACGGAGAGGGTTGATTTGGTACCGCCAGCGAGGAGCTGCATATGTACGTATACTAGTATAAATATACAACGTATAGCAGGAGAGCAGACGATATGCGATATCCCGAGAGTATACGAAGAAGGAATAGGAGATTGTGCTGATATTTGACGGGATAATATGCATCTGATACCCGATTGAGAGGGAGATATGCATGTTCTTGCATGTTGTCAATGGCCAGACCCTTTCTCGATACGAACTCCCCTGCCACCTCCCTGCGTTGTTGGCATGATGTTGGCATGACATGGACAATACGTCGTATGGTGATCCAGATGTGTCGCCTCTTCATTGCTTCGTCTGTCTAGCCGTCGGACGTGGAGTAGTTGAAGTCGTCGGTGGGCGAAATGGGCAAAGAGTGATGTGTGGCCCTACTTGCCGGCGTTTTGGACAGCGTTATTAAGGCTAAATTGGCCGTCGTGGGCGACCTCTGTGAAGCCACCCCCTTCTCGTAGTCCCGGTATGCCACCTACTTGGAATGTTGAAAAGGAGGGAGCACTATACATACGCTCAGCCTTTACTAGCTCTCATGTGTCCGACGAGGATCCCTGAATGGGACAGCACATGGGTTGTCACAAATGCAAGGTTGCGGTGACCAAGTTCATCCAAACTGACTTCCCACAGTCCCCATTTCTTGTCCGTTAACATCCGGGGTGGTGCAGTCAGTCCATCGCTTATGTTCATGACAGTGTCAAGGAAATACGGACACAGTCTGATATCTGGGCCATTTTGTGAGATCCGTGCGGTCATGTTTAGGTACCAACACCGAATGCCTTCAAGTGCCGCCGTCACCGCGTCATATCTCAAGCCGATGGGTAGATGAGCTCTGGGGCATAGCCTCGGTCATTGCTACAAAAGAGAAATGGTATGTTTAGTGCAGGGAATTCTCAAAATGGCTGGTGTGGTTTTGCAATCCTAACCTATGACATGGTTCAAGGACTGCTTCCCCCTTCGGTAGTACAGATTCTCGCCAAAACCCAGATCCCCAAACATCTTTTCGAAGGCGTATAGTGAGGGGATGTTGCTAGCTGGCGAGTGTATTAATAGACGAGATTACAGTCATCGATGAGCATGGCCTTCCCAACTAGCCATCGCTGGTACATCTACCAGTGCCTCGTCTACCAACGTCCGATAGGTCTCGCATTGGTAAAATATAAACTAAAACCGAGCCTTTGGGCGAATGTGAGTACTCCAAGCCAGCTCCAGGAAGGGGTACACCACCGAGTGAGCGACAGGAGCTGAGTGGTAGCTGAGCTAAGAATACAACCATTGAGATAGCCATAGTATTTAATAGGGTCAGGCTATCTCTCGCCATGTTGAGGCTTATCTAGAGCTTTAACACTCTATCAACACTGCACAGAAATCCTAGTGGCAGCCAAGAACATATTTATATCGAATAAATATGTAACACCGGAACGACAGTGCGGAGCCATGTTCTTTTATAGGAACAATAGACATGTTTAAGGGACTATAGCATAAAAACTCCCTGTTTGCTCATCTGCGACTGAGTTGGGGCTTCTTCGGCTGATCTGGAATAACGCAGCGCAAAGTCACAAAGGCCTCTCTCTGCGCTGTATGATGAATATTCCTCAATAATTCTGACGACTCCTGGATATCTTGTGACGATATAGAACATTCTATTTCAACCGTTTATCCTGTGTCTTGTGCATGTCTGTATATATCGAGTGGAGGACAGTCCACCCCGCGGGTGCATAACCACCATGGATGTAGCTCTGATCTAGGTCTCAACTCTTCGAGAGAGCAGTGGGATATCTGTGTTCAAAACTCTCTGACTTCTTTTCAGCACATCTAGATATCCAGTCAGTAGATGAGACGCGCAGTAGACTGTTGGCCGGTCGAAGCATCAAGCATTATATCTCGTAGATTCCGTATTACAGGTCCATTATCAAGGCCGTTCAAGCACATATATAGGCCTCCTTCTCCTCTTCAGTGTATAACTGCTCTTCTCTTCTTTCTTGACCGTCAACTGGAAACACTTCAAGCCTCCCTTTTTATATTGGAAGTTTTACATTACTGTCACGTGATATTCTCAACTTCTAGCCTGTTCGAGCTTCGTAAAAAAGACAAGTCGACAAGCTGATATTTGATAACAAGCATTATTCAACAGCAAGCAAAAGAGACAAATGGCTGTGATGCTTTCTACTTGATACTACTCACTCTGCATCATTCATCCTCCCCCCTTTGATGTTGCTGCGGTAGTTCGATCTTTAGCCGGGCGAGCTGCCCTTCATCTTCCGCCATGAATCCTCATATCTCCGTTCCCCGGCAGCATGCTGGCCCAGCACAGTTCGGCGGTGCCTCGCCGCAAAATAGAAGCCCCTACATACGGCTCCCACAGGCATTTGGGCCGGTAGGACGATGCTACTTCACTTTGCGTGCTATTTTTCCATACTGATATTCGGGGGTATAGGATGTTCAAAGTCTCGCAGATGGACTTTGAGATGGCCATTTGGGAGATGACATCTCTTGTTATTGCACCTAAGAAGGTGTTCAAGTCCATGTACTATCATGTTGGTGATGCTTCCATATATATGCCCTGCCAGAAACTGAAGCTAACTGACTGTCCTTAGAAACGTTAGTCTATGCCTATACATAACATGCTGTCCACCATGGTCTTAACATCTATCTAGAAACGAAAAATACCTGGCACCGGCCTGACCCATCATTCAGCTACCTATTTTCCTTCTTTTTATATCTGACGGGCCTAGCATGGGGCTTTGCCTACAAACCGACCTTCGTCTCTATAAACGCCCTCAGCTTATCCTTTATCTTTATACATTTCCTCGGTGCCTCCCTTGTCATTTCGACGATAATGTACTTTTCGGTTGGCCGGATATTTGGTCCAAACGGACCTGCCGCGGCAATAAGTGCGTGGAGGGGGGCAAGATCATCGCTGGGCCGCATGAGACGGCGTGCGCCGGCACAGGGTCTCTTTGGACTCTCGGGGGACAAAGAACACGTTGAATTTGGATATTGCTTCGATGTGGGTCTACTTACATTTGATGAATATGCTATATTATTTTTAACCACCATTCTGCTTCATAGGTTTCTAGCCGTGCTTTCTTCACACTCTACCTCCACCTATACGTTCTTCAATTTATCCTCCTCCCCGTTCTCACGCGAGGAACGGAATCATCCTCCAATTTTCTCGCCACCATTCTAGGGAACACTCTATACCTCTCTGCTTTCACTTATTACACCTATATTTCTTTCCTCGGCTATAGCAACCTACCGTTCTTGTACCATACGGAGCTTCTTCTGTTGCCCATTGTGATAATGGGAATTCTGTGGTTTATAAGTTTATTCTTGGGGTGGGGGATTGTCCGGCAGGGTGGAGCTGTTAACTGGCTCTTATGGTTGTCTTGATTTGGCAAAATGAATATTTAATGAAGAGGATGGATGGCACTTGAAACTTGTCATTTGAAGAATCAGTTTCGCTCTACAGTACCAGAAGGGCCTGACGGGCCTCGTGGATATCCCGCGAGAACCGTACCAACTGTATGGGAATATGGATAGATCTTGGCTTGTACGCATGTTTTTGGTTGCTTTGTTCTTGATGATCTTTGTGCATGCATACTTTAGCTTGGTGGTTTTTATCGCAGTGACTCAGTGACTCTCGTATACGAGAGCTTTAGTAAATACTCAAACAATTTCTCGCTCTTATTTTAGCATCACTGCGGCTGAATTTATCCCGATCTCTTCCGTTCCTGCGTCATCGGTCATGTTCACACTCAGAGCACTGCAGCATTACATGCTATAGGAAGTATACATTTATATATCGAGGCTTTCGTCTGGTCTTCACATACGTGATGTATGAAGGCAGGCCTGCGATTCTCTCCAGCACATAAAAACATAGCCCTTGTTATTAACCATCTAGCTCTTATCAATGGACTTTCTCTCTCGGTCCCGTCGCATCACCTACTCACCACATCCTCTTACATCTTTCCGCGCAACCCAGTCAGAGACTTGGATCAATCCTCAGAGCCATTCGATAATAGAGGATAGTCTGATTGCGCGCGTCAAAGGCGACACTCTCGTGCCGAGCACATCGTTACCTGCAAGAAAACTGCCACTAAACCAGCTAAGCGATGAGGAACTCCTGGCGCGGTTCACCCATGGGTTCTTTGGCGGGATGTTATTTGCTACTGAAAGACTCATTTTAGCATCCGGTGTATGGAGGTTAATGGCGGTACAAATAAAAGGTTACCCGCCCTCATACTCTTCTCTATTTCACAGAACCCATGCTAACAGGATGCTGTAGGTCTCAGTCAAACAAACCCATTGACGCTGGTTACAGGGCCTACCAGCCTCAGCCTACAATCACCAAAGGACATATGGAGCGCCGCTGAAATTCCAATGACGACATTGCTCCCCTTGCACTCAAGGCTCTTTGGCTCATTCCAAGTCACCGACTCGCAATTGGTTGGTCAAACACAGCAGACCTTAGCCTCAACAATTACATCAAAGATGAAAGTCCACGATGCTCAAAAAAACTACTCATATATTGATTTTGGGTTTGGAAGAGGAAATTTTGCCGGATGTCACAGATTGTCTGTTCACCGACAGAGGTCTGTTGATGATATTTCTCCTGGTATCGAGGGTACAGATCCCAGTGATAGTGTGATAGAATTCCGTCTATCGCATTTTCACTGCAACCCAGCAGGCGGCAAGCTGCACAACCTCTCCATTCTAGAGAGCTTTCATCAGATATATGCCAAACTATTGTTTACTGATGCATTAAGGCTTCTCTGCTAGCTTCTGAGTTGGTGTATATATGACTTATACTCAAAACTCAGATATTCTGTCGGGCACATACAACAGGCTTGACTCACAAATATCTCTTTTTTTGATACCCATCCTGTTTTAAACCAGGGTATCACAGGTCACTCTCCTCCGTTTTGAATTTCTTTCTCAAAACTAGAACTTGATTTCTCTGTATATATAGTATGTATGATATGCTAAACGGAATATACTCATAAGATTACAGGCAGCGGGTGGTGTCCACGCCCTGTTTGATAAAAAGCCCACGACCCTTAACGGTGATGGGGTATATTGCTGTTTCACTGCCATTTCTTCCTGCATTTGTATGGTATTATTGATTATTTTGTTTAATTTTAATCCCAACGAAACGCGCTTTTCAAGGGAAATATTAAACTTTAGTAAATAAGCTTAAACCTGGAAGGACCGGCCCGCCCGCACGTGCCTTCTTTTGTTCCATAATTATGTATCCATCCAGCTTGTAGAAAAAATATGCTATTTTTGCAGAATCGATTTTGACTGGGACTGACGTCTCCATCGGAGGGGGGAACGGTTTTCATATCGATATGCGGAACAGTTGGTTCCTGCATGGTCTAAGGCCCCTCGCTGCTATTCTCTCCAGAGAGAAAAGATGAAGTAAAGAAGTAAAGCGAAGCAGGATTCTAGGCAAAGGCACCATCGATTTGTCATATTTGCAAGGAGCAGCGGTGCGAGGCGCTTTTACTTACCGGGAGAAGTCCAGAAGAAAAAGGGCTGTGTCCACCATGGGCAGGGTGCGGGATTGCTTCTCCACAGATCATCTCTGTACTAATTTACATATCACCCCCACTCATCGAAAAGAGCATTGGCCTTGTATAGATATCACATATTAAAACTAACGGTGAAGCGAAAGATGTATGTACCTCTGCAAGTCATCTTCGAGTACATATACGAAGCATATTATTGATCGCCTGAGCGTACATATATACATATGCTTTGGGGACTTGGCCACCGCCAAATAGATGGATCAACTTTTCAATGGCTGGAGCCCCTCCCTGTCAATGGCACATGAGTCTCACTACATATAATATATAAAATGTAAGGTTAACTGAGGGAAGTCAAGGAGGGGGTCGTGTGAGCTGTCCAATCTAACTAACCGACGAGGTACGAGTGATGTCAGCTCCGGGGAAATCCCGAGAAAGGCTAGAATATATTGCCTTACATCTTGGCGCAATCTCACCGTCTCTCTTCCTTTGATATAATTTATGGATCGAAGTATTTTTAATTAAAGTGTGCAGTCAGCCAGCTGCCCAATTCAGGGGAGGCAATGTGACGATGCAGTGGCTGGTTCTGTACTCGAACTATCGAAAGTCTAAAGTGTAAGTATATATTAACCGGAGCTGCCATCCCGCTTGGGCGCAACAAAGCGAAATGCAATTCTTTTTTCAAGGATATAAGTCTTCTAATGTGTCTAATCGATAAGATATTCTAGATCGTCGTCTTCAAATGCGCCCCTCCGTGCGACAAGTGGGGAGTCCGCCGTTATTGAAGGAAAGTCATGGGCGTCAAGGCACGCTTTGCGGCTCCGAAGAACTGCTGGCCTAGCACGAGTGATCATCTCCTCCTCATACTCGTTGATCACTTCCTGCTGCGTCTTCTCCGGAGAGTGTGGCGACGGCTTGATAACTGGAAGTAAACCATCTACCAAGTTGAATACGTCGAGGATGCCGTGATTCCCTGCTTCACCGCGAACTTGAAGGCTAATTGTTAGCCACCAGGGGGAGATTGTAGGCCCACGGAAAGAAACGGGGATATATACTCACACATTGTCATTGCGTGGGCAGCGTCTCCGACCAGGGTTGCCATGCCACCTAGATTGGTCCATGAGCCCTTTGGTGGGGTGGGCCAGTCCTCCAAGGAGAGGACCTTGGGCTCTGTGCCCTCTGGGATGCTCTGCACAACCTCGCGGAAGGGTTCAACCCATCCATCAGCCAATAAATGCATGAGTTTTATTTTGTCAACGTTGTCAGTTGGTATCTCCATATTAGAGGCCCCCTTGCGACACAGCCAGCTTATCAGGATCTGGCACTCATATGTATCACGATCCTCGCGATCATTGTTAACTGGGGTATCAAGGAACGAGAACCAAAAGAAGTTATTAGTAGCTGGGTCGCTCGCTTGTAGGAATAATGGGTCTAAGGCTTTCATCTTGAGAGCAACACGAGGAGGTAAGGGAGTGCTCACCCCCAGCAGGCGTATAGGAAGCGAATGGTTCTCACACCTGGCTGGCGTTTCGTTTGCAGCCAAAGAACAAAGCAAAGAGCGTGTCTTTGATCGAGAGCCGTCACATCCTACCAGCAGAGTCCCTTCTGCGGAAGAGCCGTCTGTAAATTCACAGCGGACAGCCGTGTCTGACAGCTGACTGATACCAGAAATAGATTTATTCCACTAGTATAGATCAGTATTACATGCTACTAGATATTAGGCGGGGAAAAAAAAGTAAGGCTCACCTGGATATCAATTCCATTCATCAGCAACCTGCGCAGCCGCTCTCTCGACACCCTCAACCTCTTTGCCGGAGGAACCTTCCACTTCATCTCTCCGGTCCTGAGATCAAACAGCAAGAAATTACCATTCTCCCCCTTTGCGACAGCCTCCGGGTCGACATACGTCTCTGGCAGACGATCGATCAGATCCTCCGGTAAGAGCTGGAGAAACGCATCCAGAGACCAGTGGATCGTCAGTCCCCAGCCTTTGCCGCGATAAAGAGGATCAGAATCTCGCTCGAAGATGGAAAAGGGCACTCCGTGTTTGCGTAGTGCCTGGGCGAGAACGAGGCCTGTGATGCCCGCGCCAATGATCAGGACGTGAGGCGAGGCCATCGCTAATTTTACTTCTCGAAACTCGCCGCTTTTTTTTCTTTCTTATTTCCCTTTTTTTTAGAGTGTATATAGATGGCTATACTCCGCGGTGATATACGGCGTTCGTGGGAAGACGAACAGCAGCACTCAATGACGATCGCGGGCTGGCAGAGGCAAAAAAAGGCTGGGATTAAGCTTGATAGTCGGATAGGCTTCAGGATAAACTTGTTAGCGTCTTAAGGGCCAGGGCTTTTCGGCTCGTAACCAGCAGTTCCTGGCCTGAGGACGAATCCTGTGGATGTCAACAGGACTTTGATACGTGGCGAAACAAGATAACTTAAAGGCATCTGTGCGGATGATGACTAATAACTCTATTTGATAATAAGTTTCATGCGGTTCTTCATGACGAGTCTTCAACTATGTAAGTACGAGAATTACGAGAGGAGCCCATCTTCATGGGACAGAGAAGCCGAAAATAGCGCAGCTACAAAGACCGTGAAGTGGGTTTTATTAGTTGAGTTTCTTGCATCAACACTTAAACAACACCCCGCTAGTAGGTGGAGAGAGTGGATGTTCCGTTGTAGTTAAACATGGACTAGGGGCGGGTCTTTTTTCCTCAAGGACAGAGTGATACTCTGGGTAAAGCGACAAAGACGAGAGAAAAGAACATCGTTAATAAATATATACAGGGTATATTCTATGAACAGGAATAGGAAAGGAATTTAAAGACATGACCAGACATTATACATGTGAGAACCAGCTGCCAAACTCCCTTTTTATTCCCCTTAGAACGAGTGAAAAAAAAAAAGGAAAAAGAACGGGTCTAATGTAGCCAACTTCGTTCTGGATCTCGTTCGCTGTTGGTGCTGGTGATCTCCACCTGGACGGTCTTCGTTATCTGGCCCGGGCTAGAGAGGAGATTGCTCTGCGGACCTCTCCCGCTGGCAGACTCCACGTCGTCTCGCTGGATGGGTCTCCCGTCGCTGTCGACAGGTAGTATCGCCTCTAGAGAGCTGAAACTGCCCGACTTGATTAGCGTGTTGTTGCCCGTAGGGATGGTCTGAGATCGTATGGTGGAAGAGTGCAGGCCGACGGATTTCAGCTTGACTGAAGTGCCGGCGCTGCGGCCGTCAGAGGTGCTGTTGGGGTACTGCAGAGGGCCGCTCTTGGATGTCTTGCCTCTGACGAAGGTTAGTAGTGGGATTAGAGTAGGCAGACAAGTGATGGCGATCTGTTTGGCGGAAACGTTAGCTCGTTAGCCCTCCCTCTTTACATAGGATGTATAGATTTATTTATTTACTTACTCCGACGTTCAGCTCGATGGTGCCCCAGAGGATGAGCATGGTAGAGTTGCCATCCCTCGCAATGATTTCGATCTGAACCACACGCATGACCGAACAGGCGGTGGTGAACAGACCGAGCAGGAAAACAGCCATTAGTCCCAGTTTTCGTCCCCGGCTGATGCGCACTTTCATCCATAGCGGGATTGGCGTCAGAAAGACAATAAGGTCGCAAAGTATGGATACACCGGCAAGCGTGTAGAAAACAATGTCGTTTGGCAGGCAGGTTCCGGGTGTCATTGGACGCCATGACTTGTGGACGGGAGAGCACTGGAAGAACAGGACGAGGGTCCCCGCAAGGTGAGATAGGATGGTGAATATCATGATACCCCGGACGACATGGCGGTAGGACTTTTCAGAACTATGGCGGATGATGCGTAGGTAGGCGATACAGAGGGCAACCTTGAAGCCGGTGATACCAGCCATATAGAATGGACGGCCGGCGAAGTTGACCTGCACAGGTCAGTCGGACGGTTAATTTTGCATAGTCACAGGGCCGTTTACCGTGGCATAAGTGTTCAGGCTCTGTTTGGGTCGTAGTTTTAGAGGAAGACCCAGGCCAAGGCGGGACTGAGTTATGCACAACGCGCTGTATATAATCCCACATACCTAGCGGTCAATATTAGCAAGGGGGTGGATATGTCGTATGTATGCTATTGGGTAGATGCGTACCGCTGAAGACACAATCACAGCATCGTCAACTCCAAAGCTCTTCTTCCACACTGCACGAACCCAGACCCGGAGACAGACCACCACGGTCATGACAAAGGTGAGCGAGATGCATACCGCGAGGATGGTCGGATATTGCGAAATCGCATTGACCTCTGGTGAGACATGGTACACCCACTGCATCAGGCCTGCTCTTTTGGTCACACCAAAATTTCTCTTCCTTATGTCCGTATCTTTGTTGGATGGGCGTGTGTATGCCAACCGGTTGAACTAGATCTAAGCACTCTAGAACAACCAGAAAAGAAAAAGAATTCCGGGGCAGCGAAATGCTAGGCCTGGGACCTGCAGGCCGTCATATTTGTACTTCAACAGCCCATCATACTGCCTTGGGAGTCCTGGAAAAAGTCCACAGGAAAAAGCAAATTGGAGGCACTGGTTGCTTTGATGAAGCTTTGAGAGAGAGCTAAAAGAAGGGGTCCGGGATCAGAAGTTGAAAAGAATGTGCGAATATTAATATTATTGCAAATGAGCCCAGGCGCGACCCCCATCTACGAATCAGACGGTAAATCGTTCGATAGGCTGACTTGATGCTTGTTGTCAGTTTTTATTTTCTTTTCCCTTCTTTTTTTTCTTTTTTGCATAATCCGGACCTTTTTGGCGTGAAGACGTATCCTCATACGAGGTGATCCGATGTCAATCGTGTCCTGAAAATGGAGTTGATCAGCAGAATTTCCCCCAAGCAACAGGAGGGTCACCTGCTGGCAAGCAGTTGACGGAGATAACTGGTACCCAAAGGCCGATATCATGGAGATACACACTCCACCGTCTCGGCAAGGGAGAATGTTACATCTGTCCAACCACTCAGCATAGATTGAAGGAGGAAGACGGTGACGGGTGGCCTGACAGTCGGCTTCTCTGTCGTAAGCGAGCGGATGCACCATGCTGGGAGGACAAGACAAGATTACCCTTGGCCAAATCGCATATATCTTTGCTATAACATCCATAGTATGCGGGAGGGGTGTATATATTCATATCGAGACACCCATTACATAGTATGTACATAGTACGGGGTATACTACTATGTTGGTACATCGGTATATGTATGTAGAGGCCCAGAGCCCGAGGCCTGTTTACCAAGGACGCCATCATGGGGGAGCGGACCCGGGCTCGAGCACAAGGAAGTCTCTCTGTCGTATCCCTACTATGTAGGCCCTGGATATCTGGCTCGTAAAGGAAAAAATAAATAAAAAGAGAGGCTTCCATCTTACCCTTGGGAGTGTTCTAGGGCGAGCCTCCAGAGAGACCACACACTCGTATGGACTGAAAGAGGGACGATGGTCCGGACAAGCATGGGTGGATGCAAGTCAAGGTTCTCTCCTCTTCGAGGACGGGAAAGGGCGTTTGGTGGTCCCTGGGGATCATCTTCGGGTGGGCCTCCAAGAAGTGGGCGTTTTCTTGGTGAGCCTCTTAGGCTCAGGTATAAAACTTATCACAGCACCCAAGGACCAGTAAGGAGCTTCCTGGTGGCAAGGGGTTCACAGTAGTTGTACACTAGCCATGCTTTTTCCTTCTGCTTCTTTTGCTTCTTTGCAGAGAATCATGTCTGTCGAAATGCTACCCTGGTCCCCAATTAGACATATAGTATATGTACATATACGGAGTATGCAGCAGGGTCGTCCTATCATCTGCCGGGTTGGACACTGTGCGAATAAACCCAGGGATGATTGAATATCAACACGGGAATGAATGATATTCAACTCCATTCTTGTCCCCCACCTCTGGCAGCGTCTGAAACTTGCATGCTTCTGGTCCTCGATTGTCGCGTTGTCCTCGGTATGTAGCATTTGTCGACCGGGTGGCCAGACGGACTGATATAGGGGGAAAAAGCAAACAAAACCACGTTTATGGACGCTTGCATCTTCTTTAATCTCTTTCGCTTGTCTTTTCCCTTGCTTCTTCTCTCCATCAATCAGTCCTTGATACCTCAGAAGCTTTCTGTGGCTGCTGTTGTTTGATATCTGTCGAGCTCAGCGTCAATCATGTCGGACTCAGAAAAGTCGCCCGTCGACCAGAAGATGACGCTGGACAAGGAGGCGCCGGCGTCTCCTGGCCCTTCCCGAGATCTCGACCAGGCGTACCGATTCCTGCAGCAGTACGGGGAGAATGGCGACGGCGAGGAGGCCAGCGACGCTGACCTGAAGAGGATCCGCTGGAAGGTCGACCTCTACATCATCCCGATCATGTTTGTCTGCTATAGCATGCAGTTCATCGACAAGGTCTCTCTCAATGTATGACCTGTCCCATTCTCGTCTTCCGTTGGTTGCTTGTTCTCTTGTTGTATCAGGATTAACGGGATGGCTATAGTACGCTGCTGTTATGGGCCTAAATAAGGACCTCAAGCTCAAGGGGAACGACTTCTCCAACGCCGCCACAGCATTCTTCATCGCATATCTCATCGCCGAAGTGCCAACAGGTAGGTTTTTAGCTGCTTATTATTATTATTATTATTATTATTATTATTATTATTTGTGAGCATGATAACTGATTGAGATATAGGTTACATATTGAACAAGATATCTGCGCCAAAGTGGCTGGCCCTTAACGTCACCCTCTGGGGCATCGCGACCGCCTGCACTGCGGCAGCTCGCGACTATCGCACTCTTCTCGCAGCTCGCATCTTCCTGGGCATCTTCGAGGCTGCCATTGCGCCCTGCCTGGTGCTCATCAGCAGTCAATGGTACACCAAGTCCGAGCAGGCGCCCCGGTTCTGCATCTGGTACTCTGGCCTGGGTCTGGGGCAGATCATCGGCGGCCTCGTCTCCTTTGGCTTCCAGCACGTCAAGGATCCTGACTTCACCGGCTGGAAGGCCATGTTCGTCGTCCTCGGAGCTGTTACCTGCGTGGCTGGCATCTCTACCTACTTCATCATCCCGGACAGCCCCATGAAGGCGCGCTTCTTGACCGAGAGGGAGAAGGCTGCCTTGCTCAAGCATGTCTCCTTCAACCAGACCGGCGTCATCAATACCAGCTTCAAGATGTCCCATATCACCGAGGCCTTGCTTGACGTCCAGCTCTGGCTCATGACTCTCATCACCGTCCTCGTAGGTGTCTTCTCTTACTGCATATTGCTTTACGGGCTAATATAAAACTAGATATCCGTGTCCAGCGGTGTCGTAACGACATACTCTGCCACCCTAATCAAAAACTTTGGCTACTCAGCCCCCAGATCTGCCTTGCTCAACATGCCCGGCGGCGCCGTCTCCATCGTCAGCACAGTGGCGGTCGGCTTTGCAATCCGGTACAAGATGTTCCGCTCCGTCGGTATTGTGGCCTGCTGCATCCCCGGCATCCTAGGCGGTGCCCTGCTCTCCTTTGCACCAGAATCTAACCAGGGTGCTCTCCTGGCCGGCATCTACCTCGTCAACTCTATCGTCCCAACTCTCATCGTCATCTACCAGTGGCTCTCTTCCAATATCGCCGGCAGTACCAAGCGCTCCGTCAGCGCCGCCCTGGTCACCGCGAGTTTCAGCATCGGAAACATCATCGGGCCCCAGACCTTCCAGGCAAAGGACGCCCCACGCTACATCCCAGCAAAGATTGCCGTTCTGGCTACCCAGGCCTGTGGAGCGGTTCTTGCCATCATCCTGCTCATGTACTACATCTGGGAGAACAAGCGTAGGGACAAGGCCGCCGCTCAGAACTCCCAGGCTCTGCCCGTCACTCAGGATACCACTCTCTCCCAATCGACCTCCCTCGAGCAGAAGAAGTGGGATAACTTGACCGACAAGGAGAACCTGACCTTCAGATACGTCTACTAAAGGGGGGAAAGATGAATATACATATAATTCAAGGTTAGAGCTTGTTATTTTTTTTAACTATTAATTCAGCCATCATTCCTTCTATTTTTCTGTATATATTTCCTGGCTCGAAGCTCCAGCTTTAATTTCTTTTCTTTTCTCGCTTGATTGATCCCAGACTGTCAGGATAGAAATAGAGAGTATATATAGTCTCTCCGGTAGATAGTAGAGCGACTACTATGTACAAATGCCAGAGCTATCGATGGATACGAGAAACACGAGATCTAGTATATACTTTGTACATAGTAGACCCCAAGAAAGGGAGCAGACTCGTTATATACATCAAGATACTCACACGGGTATTATACTTAAGCATCCGATCCGTACGAGCGAGCTCTCGTGTCGCGGATATTTCAATTCCTGGCGCCTCAATGTCCGCCTCGTTCATGCTAGCAGGCATTTACGTAAACGGACGCAATAAGAGCAAGAGGAAGAGAGATAAGATGGAAAATACGTAACTTTAGGCTTTGTTATAGTTTAAAGTATGTATTGTTCATCAGGGGGGAGGATTCTTATATACGGAGAGGCCGTACCTGGATCATCCCTGGAGATTCTCACAACACACAAGCAAGGGGTGGGAACTTTGCACATAAATTGTTCATTGTCAACTCATATAGCCTATAAGACGAGATATTTATGACAATGTATCCAGCTGTCAGTGAAACCAAGGAGAAAACAACGAGAGGCCGGATGCGAGTCTGTCACGACCGTCCGTTGCGTCCAGCCAACGCTCCAATATACCACTGGAAGTGAAAAAAAAAAGAGGCACAACAAGCCGACCGTCTGAGATAGGCTTGCTGTGATCCAAATGAGGATAATGGATGAGAGAATGTTGTGGTTCTATTTGCTTTTCCCCTTCTTCTTGCTAGCAGCTGGTCCCATGGCGGCTGCTCGTAGCTTCTCCTCTCTGGCCTCTCGTTCCTGTGCCTTCTCACGCTCACGCTCCTCGCGTTCCTCCTTCTCGGCCTCCTTACGGGCCTTCTCGGCCTCACGGCGTTCCCGGACGATAGCCAGACGGGCCAGGTCGGCACGGGCTTCGTCCGTCTTGCCTTCGGAGTGTAGCTTGAGGTATCTCTCGCGCGCCTGCTGTGCCTGCAGCGCCTCACGCTCGCGGCGGGAGAGCTGTGAAACATCCCCTTTCTTGGCCGCCGGGGCAGCTCCATCGACAGGAGCGGCGGGCGAACTGGCTGCCTGGTTCCGGGCTTTGGCAGTGTGGTTCGGGTTGGCTGGCATATCTTCATCGTCTTCCTCTTCCTCGCTGTCACTGGGAGGGAGATCTCCTGGCTCGGCTGCCACTTGTCGTTTCTTACGGATAGCAGCTTCTTTTTTGGCTTTGGCAGCGGCTTTACGCTGTTCACGGGTCATATCTTCCTTAGCAGGGCCGTCCTCGTCCTCCTCTGACTCCTCCTCCTCGTCTTCCTCGTCCTCCTCTTCTTCGGAAGACTCTATCTCCTTTTCATCCTACTGATCCGTCAGCGTGTGGCCATCTTAAGGTGACTGACTTGTATATGGCAACAGAACTAACCCTCCACATTCCCATCGGGTCTCCATTCTTATCCAACGGCTGCAGGTCTCGACTGAAATGCTTGCCCCCTGAGAAACAGACAGAGTTAGCATTTCTATGACCACTCTGTATCCTGCCAAAGACAGTCAACTTACCTCCTCTCGTCGGCTTGCTGAACTTCCCTCCACGTCCGCGAGGCGCCATGATTACGCGTGGGTTATATAGATGTGAAGGGCGGGGATTTATCGTCAAGTAAAAAGATAACGATCTAGGCAAACGCAGAGCAAAGAATGCAACCCCCACGCTTTCAGCAACAGAAACTGGCCGGGATAGAAAAAGAGAACAAGCAGGATGAAGACGAAGACGAAGAGCAAAGAAAATATTGTTCAGGCAATAAATAAAAAAACAATAAAAAGGTCGAAAAAGAAAGAGAGAAAAACGGGCATCGAGTCACGTGCTCCTTTTTTGCGCCCAAAAGTTTTGGAGGGGTTGGTCACGTGAGTGCCCTCTTGTTTGCACTGTTTGTATACTTAGTCAGCATATCGATTGGATATAAAGTGAAGAAGATACAGTGAAGCATAGAAGACAGTGAAGATGGAGGAAGAGGAGGAAGATGGAGAGAGATAGAAGATGAGGAGGGTGATAAGAGGAGGTGAAGAGTCGCAGAAGAGAGTAAGATGGACGGTAGAAAAGATAGCAGAGGGATGGTAAAGATGGTGGAAGAGAAGAGTAGAGCAGCAAGAGATATACCAATATAACAGAGTTGATATGCAGTATATATTTATTTCTATAATATATGTCTAGATGATATGTTCTTTATAACTATGCCGAAATGTGCCAAAATCGAATAACGATGGGAAACCCCTATTCAACAAGCACAACAGTATAACCAGAGCCGTACGTACCTTGTACCGCCGAAAAATATACTTGGATGTAAAGGAAGACCTCACACTCTTGCCATGAGCTTCCATCCGACTGCGTTGTACCGGGATAGCATCAAGATGGCCAGGCCAAGGAACATCGACACGCCAGCAAAGAGCTGGGCGTATAGATAGTCACCATCTCGCAGGGCGATCAATGCGCCCGCGATGGGCGATCCGGTCAGAGAAGAAAAGCTCACGATGCTCAGCGTCATTCCAAACCTGATACCGCTCTTCTTCAGGTCGGTCGTGAGGCTTGTCAGGGCAGCAGGGAACAGCGCCTGTATCCCAGCTGCAAAAAACCCGTAAACGATAGAGAATGCGTACAGGCTAGGTTCCTTGTTCACGCCTATCCATCCAAACAGTGCTGCCCCCGCCACGACTGAGCAAGGGATAAGAGCGTTGATCGGACCGGATTTCCAGTCTGAGATGTAGCACGGTATCACACGGCCAATGACCCCCACAGCGTTGATTATCAGGATCAGGTTTATGGAATCGGACTGCGACAGACCTATTACGTTACGGCCGAAACTGCCGATGTAGAAGAAGGCTACGTATAAGGCCCAGAAGTTCAGGAACATGGAGACTGCGTACAGCGTGTAGGCGGGTTCGCGGAAGGCCTGGAGTTCGAAGAAGGGACCCGTACGACGGGGTGGTAGCCGCTGACGAAGGAAGAAAAAGCCAGGAGCCAGTGTTACGGCCGTTATCAGGCCGATGACTCTCATTGTCCATCCGAAACCGATCTTGGGGAGCAGCTGCTGTACGACCACCGGGAAGACCATGCCTCCTGTTGCGCTTCCGGATGCAGTGATGGCGATTGCCAGGGACCGACGAGAGCTGAAGTATGTCGCCAGCAGCGCGATGCTGGGGCAGAAGATGAGGCCGCTGCCTATCCCCATGCAGATGCCCTGGGCAAGGAACGTCTGCCAGTACGTCTTGCACAGGGACGTCATGAAGATTGCAAATATGATTATGATTGCGCCTATGGACCAGACGGCCTTGAAGTAGCCTGCATCCGTTGCTCGGCCGGAAAACGTCCCGATGAAGAAGAGGAGGAAGATCTGGGTGCCTCCGATCCAGGAGATGTCTGAAGGAGAACGATTCAGGGCTTCGGTATAGTATGACTGAAAAACGCCAAATCCATTGATGTAACCCCATGTGTTGAAGATGACAAAGTGAGCGAGGGCGACTTGGAGCCAGGCATGATAGCCGCCATCTGGAGGGGGCCCAGGATCGATGTTGGGTTCCCGGGTTCGAACGAGGGAGAGGGTCTTTTCAAGAACACCGGGCCTTTCTATCTGGTTGGTAGATATCTTGGAGATTCCATTGTTTTCATGGTCTGACGATGAGCCGGACGGTATCCGTGAGCCATCAATTTCCACTTGGGATGGTACTTCTGCAATAGAGGAGAGAGCGGTGGCCTCACACCCTTTCTCCAGGTCCTGCACATCTTTCTCCGGTGTAGACGATTCTGCTGTGAGTCCCATCACCCTCAATATGGATGGTACTTTCAATGGTCAATAATGTACCAAACGTTGATCATGCAAAGGGAAGATGCAATGGCAGTGCTACCAAGGACGATTGCTCTCGATGTGTTTTCGTCTTTGACTAGGGCAAGTATTTAGCAATTGTCGTCCATCCAACATAGAGAGGACATACTAATGCATATGTCTGAGCAGATTAATCTGACAGCTAGGATAATATGCCTGTCAGGCTGGAAACAATGCCGTAAAATACGGGCTCAAGAAGCATCTAATGCGTAATGAGATATTTTCAGCCAAAGTCCCCTACGTCCAACTTGCCTTGACCGAAAGATACCTGGAAAGGATCCTTCGACGTTCTGGGATATATTATAATTGAATCAGAGAGAGAGAGACGCATTTTATGTACCTTCACCCACGGTCCGACCATCTCTAGCCGACCCACAGTTACTCATCAGTGACCGGGATAGATGAAGATGCGTTCGGTAAAAAGAACGAGGCATCTTCGGCCCGTTTATGTACGAGGCTTATGCCTAGAAGAAACACGCCGCATACACCTCTCATCTCTCGTTTCTCGTTTCATTCCTTGTCACGAGGGGAAGAAGCGCGCCCTTCGGTCAACGGTAGTCTCGGGTCGGACGGCACGCTTAAGCAGCAAAGAATATAAGGAAGAAGAGCGACGATGACTAACGACAAGCAGGAGGCGAAAAGGCCAACTGACAAGTAGCAAGTCGAGTCTTTGTCTAAGGTTGGGATCTAGATGGTTGCGACGGGGATAACATAAATCCGTGGCAGACATCGGACGAAACCCTTTTCGAGAGTTATAGATTTCCTTGTTCTATAATACATGATGTAGCCCATTCACAATCATGGAGCAGGCTCTGCTCTAGATTGGAACTTAAGGAACGGGTGCTCTATCAACTCCCGTGCGGTACTCCTATCCTCGGGAAGCCAGCAGACCATCTTACTGACAAAGGAAAGCAATAACTCTCTTTCTTTCGACTCAAGGGACGGAAGGGTGTCTTCAAGTCTGCGCTTCGGTATCAGGTCGGTATATAGGAATTCACCTGTTAGGACAGTTAGTAAGATGACGGGACGAGCAGTTGGTATAAGGGCTAGCATACCATCCTTGGTGAAAAAAGGCCCCCCAAACAGCTCACGCGCATTACTGCAGAGATTACCTTCCTCATCTCTGATCGGGTCTGGCCATCTAATCCCATGCATACTGTTATATCTTGTAATCAGCGCCTTGGGAGGCGGCCCTAGCAAAGCTATCATTTCTGCCATATGCGCCTTGGCATCGTAATGGCCTCGATGATCCCGCACTTGGCTGAACAGTTCCTTGCGCTCGAAGATATCCCAGACCTTTTTTGGGCTGGGTTAGATCACTTTATAACAAGTAAAACTCCAGATATAACATAAACTCACTAGAAGACCAAGGTTCCAAATATCTGCGCTAAAGGACCATCCGCAGCCAAGGATAACCTCTGGAGCACGATAGTGGTCAGGCTGTATTGGGTGGGTTTCTATATAGTTAGGACCCACAAGTTGCCTAGCTAGCCCAAAGTCTACGATTTTGGGCAAGTTCATTAGCTTCTTCAATGGCCCGAAATTGTTGTGGCATCGATAAACAGTCCGGCCAGCGGAGTCCGTTTTGTGTTCCATATGCTGGCTAGATTGAGCTATCACAAAGTCTTTAACGACGGCCTTATCCTCGAAACCGACAAGGATGTTCTCAAGCTTCAGGTCTGCATAAGGATGAGCTGAATATTCCTGAATTGAGTAGATGTTGAGACACTTGCCTGTGTGAGCAACCTTACAGTCAGAGTGAAGGTAGTCAAGTCCCGTCAGGAGCATGGAGATGTATGCCTTTGCAATAGCAATGGGGAGTTTCTGGTCCGGAAACCGCCCCTGATAAAGCCACAGCGGCTCTCTCATAGGCTCATATGCCAGGCACAGATGCCAGCCCTCTGGCCCGGCCACCTCGAAGCTCTCGAGGCACGTTCGTATGATCACATGGCCCCGATGGGACGGGTTCGTTTTGAAGATATGGTCTTCAATGTCACGTTCGTGATTCGCTTGACGGGAACTGCAATTGTTGATTTTCAGGGCCACATAACGCTCAGGCTGCCATTTGAATCTTGACCCAGGGGTACGTTAGCTTAGTGCTTTATAAGCTGAGTCGTCCTGGACATAGAGTACCTCCTGATATCTCGAGCAAGCCACACTGTTGAGCGTGTTCCCCAGCCTATCTTTACCAGTACTTGGTAGTTTGCGACTACCTGCCCCGGTCTCGCCGGATAGTAACTTTTAGATTTATACCCCGGACAGGCCTCTTCATCAACGACTTGGTCTTGGAGTATCGGGGACGTGGTAGTCCGGGGAACTTGAAGCAAACCCGCACGGAGGGAGAAAAGGTTGCGCTTTAAAACGCGGCCAAATAACATTATGAAGCTTTTGTTCTAGAAATAAGAGTTTTGACATAAAGAAAAGTGACCAGCGATGGTCACATGACCCTCCAGCTGCCTAGGTAGCTCGTGGAAAGTGAATACATAGTATATATATACGCATAACAGTGAAAGAGTTAATTTGGGAGAGACTTGCGGCTGGTACTGTCGGTTGGCTCTGCCGTTGCTCCCTTAGTATGTTTGCCCGAAGCTTGGGAATCGTCAAAGTTATCGTTTGGCCGTGCAAAGCTCCACTGCGCAGCATCGTGGAACTCAGCTTCATCAGACATAGCTGACGTGTCGGGGTCCTCCAAAGTGACAGTTGGCCCAGAAGTTGCCTCATGTTCAGGCGAGGGAAGCTCAGAAGTTGCCTCATGTGCAGGTTGAGGTTGATTGTGCCTCTCGTTTGCGGCATTTATAAACTTGTCCCTCTGCTCTTTCGCCCAGTCTCTCGCATTTCGATATGCGGTTGCTCCCTTTCGAAATGTCTCCAAATCACCAGTCATTGCCCAACTATTGAGCTGGGTCATGATATATTCAGGACGGCTATTGCTCTCTCGAGGGATAGGATGGGTTGTATAGAGCTTAAGGGTACCAGCGACGTAAGTCGACGTTATCGTATAAGCGTTATTATCGTAGACAGGCTCCTGCTTATAGGACTGGAGTTTATGCATCCCCCGTGCCCCAAGAGTACCATCGTAACAAGCCTGCCGTGTAGCAACTATAGGCAGCCCATCAGGGCCTTTAGCCTCAAGAAAAAAATTTGGAGCTATCGGAAGGGAGCTCTGCGTTGATGGTTGGATATAGTCGCTAAGGTCATCTCGGATTTGAATATCGAGCTGCTCTGGACGGGCTCCAACAAAGTGATCCGGTTTTGCATTTACTAGTCTTCCATCCGTCAAAGGAGCAAGGTTTCCGAATGGGTAGTCTCCCCCTACACACCTAATATCATCGACACAGCCTTCGATGATCGGAAAGGCATAGCGTATAGTAGGGTTCTCCTTAGAAGCGTTCAAGTCTGTGTCAACAAACTGTTCAAATTTACGCTCTGAGAACCTTGACGGGGAGAGGGAAGCCCGGGGTTGGGCTAATCGTTCATTGAGCTCCGACCAGTTATTTGGTTTGGCTGGTTTCTGGCCAGCGGGATACTTATATCCAGGGGGATAAACACCGTGATCGATCAAGTTCTGCTCAAAGTTTCGGTTATAGGCAGTGGTGCTTGTAGTCTTTGCGGTCTTATTTTTGCTGCTCTCTGTAGGAGTGTCCCCACGTCGCTTCCGACTCTGTGAACGTGAACTGTTTGCACTCATTGGTTGATAGAAAGGAATATGCGGGTCTGGGAACTGAGCTCGGCGTAAGTATAAGTACCAACACGTAGTAAGGTTCACATACATTCCTAAGGTCAGACAGGTCAGGTCCACCCCGTCTGGAGAGCCTTTTGATCTCGCTCTGGCTCTCGGGCTTGCAGTTAATTAAGGGATCGGGGGCGAGTGTTCCCCGCAACTGTTGAGTAAGCGGCCGGTGGTGGGAGTATGATGACCTTTTTACGCTGCTAGAAGCCGCCCTGTTCCGTCGATCCAACTCCTCGAGAGCGTCCTCCGTTAACCAGATCTTCGACAAGTTATCCCAATATGCTGAAGCGAGCTGGCTGGGCTTCGCCCTTTTTGGGAGTCGTGGCTGGTCGAGATGGTCGTCAGGCCCCTGTCGTTTGCGAGACGTTCCCAAGGCGTCCGGGCAAGGCATATGGCGCAGATACTGTAGATATCTTGACTCCAAAGCGTGAAGTGAGCGGACGGTCGTTATATATATATCCAAGCAGTGACTGGAATGAGTGGGCGCGTAGCTTCTGCCTGGACAAGGTGTCTGTTTCGTGTCCCTCATCCCTTCAGTCCAGACAGAAGCGCCATTGGGTAAGAATCAGAGGCCCGCAAGCAAGGGAAGCCCTGTCCGCAGCGTTCGAAGGCATGCAGGTGGTTTGGGGGCGAGTCTCAGGTACTTTTCTGCATAACTCAAGGTTGGCGCGGATGATATATTTTCCTATCCATGGATGAAAGGCACTACATACTACAAGACTCTTTAACTTTTTATAAACTTACCTTTATTTACTCTTAGCTAACTATAATAGCTTAGTCTAGTATAGATAGATCTAGAGGCTAACTAGTGGTTATATGGGGGGGGGTCCGGGTGGTGTTATAACCCGGGTTACTACGTACGTTATGCCAAGCCGCAGTGTAACCGATTATGTAAGCAGTTATAGCTTTATTGCGTATTACCGCCACTCAGGCCTCTTAGCCCAGCTCTGCTCTACTCTGCTCTACTCTCTCTACTCCCCCCCCCTGTACCCCTGTATATTTCGTACATACAATGGGCTAATGCGGCCAAATAAGTGAACAGATAGGTATTTACCTTACTATATACCGCATACCCTATTTCCGACCTTTATATTACCCCCTTTCCTCGTCCAGAATGGACCGTGCAGACGGCAGCATGAGTGCCCTGGACCGGCAGTCCAATATCAACGTTGCCCTGTTCGAGAACCAGGAGCGTACGCTCCTATATACCCAAAAGAACCGGCCTAAGAATACGCAGATCGCGTACAGTGCCCGGCAGGAGGAGTGGAGAGTATATACTTCCCTTTCTTACTACTATCTCCCGTCTCTTATCCCCCCGGCCTGGCTCCCTATCAGGCTGATATATATATATCCTTATGTCCCACTGCCGCATGTCTACAGGCTGACTGTACGGTATATCGATCGATTCCAATCCCAATAGGCATGGTGCCAAAGGGTTGGATTTGCGGACGGAGAGATTGTGTCCGAGCCGAAACTAAATATGTTCTTGCAGGAGGAGGTTATGTACAGAGAAATCAGGCCATCTCGATATAAGAAGAGCCGTACGAATATAGAGGGGGAGTCCGTTAAACAGACGCTATCAGAGGCATCGATCAAGGCGTACATTGCCGCTCTGGTGGACCTCTGGGGCGTACAGGTCAGCATGAGGACAAATACCCATGCATCCCCCAGGGGTGCACTGGTAAAGGGCCTGATTCGTACACGCAGACAGCAGGAGTCAAAGAGGAAGAGGGAGCAGTACGAGGACCGTGGCCTCAACTCCCTTCAGGATGGATATACCTCTGCTGAATTCGTACGGCTCATCCGATTCTGCTGGTCCTCTGGGTACAACGTTTCTGGCCAGCTGGAGCCGTTCCTCCGTACGGCGGCCGACCTTCTCCTTGCTCATACCCTTCTCCTCCGTGGTGAGGTACGGCGTAAGGTTCAAATGGCCGACCTCTTTACCCTGACTCTGGATAATGAGGGCCCAACTCCCTGCCATGCCATGGTTGTACTTATAGATAATGGCAAGACGAACCAGGATGGCCGCCGCGAGTACGGCACTGCTGTACGGCATAAGAACCCCCTTCTCTGTACGATGGCCAGTATTGGCTTCTACTTCTTTATGCGCTGGAATATTATGGGGGAGACACCACCCAACTTCCAGCGCCGGGAGCTCTGGTACGACCTTCTTGTCATCAAGGGCCAGAGTAATGTCAAGCCAATTGCGTACGAGACCCAGCTGCAGTGGTCAAACCGTGTGTACAAGGGGATCGGCCTTGGGATAAAGAAGAAGACCCATGCTGGACGGTCCCAGGGGGCCAAGTTTGCTGAGTTGGCAGGAGTAAATGAGGGCCAGATTCGAAGGGCTGGACGGTGGAATTCTGACTCTCTTACAACTTCCTATCTTACTAATATTCCCAGGAAGTTCGTACGTGCAATGGCAGGCTTCCAGCCGGTAGAAACAGGGGCGTACTATCTGCCGCGTACAAAGATTGAGCCGCCTGCATCCCTCAAGCAGGCACTCTGGCCTTGGGTCGATGAGTGGCTGCTCTGGCAGGCCTCGTACACCGGCTCTGGCTCTGAGGACGTACAGCTGCCTCCAGAGTCAGTGAGGTTCGATAGTGGGAAGGTGGACCACGGGGATCTTGCCTCGCAGGGGTTCCTCTATCTGCTTGACTATCTTCGTACAGTCATTCTGCAGGACTCTGTTCTATTTATGCAGGAGTTCCCCGGCCATCCAATATGGAGCCACTCCCTCTTTGCACGGGATGACTACCTCTGCTTCTCCCAGCTTGTACGAGACTCCCTGATAGATGTGGAGGAGCCGCAGGATGTCCAGCTTCGCCGTACGGTTCCTGCCATTGCCACGCGGCTGCAGACCATTGAGCAGTCCATTGTGCAGACTCTTAAGGTATCAGAGGAGCGGAATGTTGGATTCCTACAGACAATTGATAGGAATATCAAGGATATAGTGGACGGTACAGTGTCTTTCACCGTACGAGCCAATGCTCCAGGCTCGCCTCTGTCCGCTGCGGCCACTGCCACCGCCACTGCCGCCTCCACTCCATATGCCACTCCTAGGTGTATGCATGGAGCCATTCCCCATCCTTCCTTGTCCCCTTCCTGCTCCCCTCACCCCCCCTCTTCCTCTGCTGTAGCAGCCGCTCCCCATACTGGCCCCCCGCCCCTTTCTATGGGCTTCTCTCAATCCCGTACGATTGGGACCGTTATGGATCTCTGGCGAGAGTGGGCTGAGGGCCTTGGTGGCCGGCCGTCGGTACGGAGCATGGAGGAGGCATATGGGCCTAGATGGCGCCGCCACCGTCCTGGGGAGAGCATGATGTTCTCCCGCAGGAAGGTAGTGGTTGATGAGATCGTACGGAGGCAGCGCGTACAGAAGAAGAGCCTGTCCGTTGTTATTGAGGAGCTGGAGACAGTACGGGTAAAGCATGGCTTCTCATTAAATGCCTTGGTCAAGCACCTCAAGGAGATAAGGAAGCTAGCCTAAGGGAGTCAGTATAGGATATCTAATATAGAATATAGAATATGGATTGGTGTACGCTACTCTGTTCCTTACCGATATATATTTTTAAATAGGATTGGCCTCTGGCCTTGATAGATATACGTAGTAATAAAAAAATACTCTTTTCTTATACTTATACTCTATATATTAAGGTGTTGCTTGTACGTTGTTACTAGAAGAAAGGCTTCCTAATCGGGTTAGGCTGTACACGCTCTCGCTACACGTTGATATCAGCTTTGGCCTCACCTCCTCCCTCTTTTCTCCTTCTCTTCCTTCTCCTCCTTAGCCTATTCCACGTACACGTCCGGTAAGTCATCCCTTTTGGACACTATTCTATCCTCTCTGTACTCGTTTCATCGTCCAGAGCCGAGCTGCAGCCTATCCTGCCATCTAGGCCACGTCTGGGAGTCCTTGTACTGATATCCGGCCTGGGAATATGTGTACAGAATAGAATATCAGGTATGTTATGCCCTCCCCCTCCCCCCTCCCCTCTCCCCCCTCCCCCTTATCTGCCCTCTGCCCTCTGTACGATGCAGCAGGCATAGATATAGAGAGGGAAAGGGGGGAATAAATACTATTTGTACAGCCATAGGCCATAGTATACTAACTAGGTGGGTATAGGATAGATTCCAATCAATTAGTACCCCTATACTCTTTCTCTCCTCTTTTTTTTCCTCTTTTGAGATGTAAGTACGGCCTATTATCTATAATATCCTATCTATCCGTCCATAATATAGTATATATTAGTAAGGATATACTAATAAAAGATGGGATAATAGGCCTTTTAACAACAACACTGCTGGGGACGGGATGTAAGTTATATATCTAGCACCCTCCCCCACCCTACTCCGCCCCTATCCCTATCTAATACTGTACAATGCACGGCACGGGTATACTGACATGGATATAGGGCCCTTGTGCTGTACGACCGCCAGATCGCCCGGATGACGGACACGCCTGGTATCCTCAGGGTCGGTGGCCAGGAGCTTGCCCCGTACGTCCACAATGACTTGGGCCGTGCGGTATTGTCCCTCCCGGGACTCCATGTGCGCTATGTGCCGTACAGCATAGATGCACGGCAAATACTATCGCATCGGGCCTCGTACATTAACGGCCTGCTGGTCCAATCCAGAGGGAGGCCTGAGGTGCATGCCTGTACCGACTGTCGGGGACGTACAGGTCTCAGGCCTTTCACAGAGTGCGTCCGGCTCCCCGGCCACTTCGGCGGAGCATGTGGTAACTGCAAGTGGCGCGATCGTGCCTCCCACTGCTCCGTACGGGACGAGATACAGCAGGCACGTACGGAGGTCATAGTCCTGGACGATGACTCTGGGGATGACCGCCAGGTCATTGACCTAACGGGCGATGGGCCGGTACGACGGCCAAGGGCCAGGATAACTGGAGGAGGAAATGGGTCTTCGGCCAGCAGGGCCATTGTGCTTCTTTAAATGGGTAAGGACATGATTTCATTGATATCTTTGGACTGAGTGACTGCGTTCCATTTGGATTTGGGGCTTTTGCCCTACTGCACCCATCCCAGCCGTACGGGCCCTGTGTACGGCACCCTGGGCATGGCCTGCACCTCTCCGTGGTGCCTGGGACGAGTAGTCGAGCTTCAATGTACGCCCTCAGCCTGCATCTTGCAGTGCAATGATGGATGGGCAGGGAGCATGTACAAGAAGAGCTCGATGAAACTAAGCAGGCCAGGCCTTATATAATGATTACATGTACGTTGATTGATTGGATGAGCTTACTTGTACTAAAATTAACCTGAGGCATAACTTGCTGCTCGCCAAGCGGCCATATAACCCGGTTATATGGGGGGGCGCAGGCGTACGGCAGGCAGTTGTAACCGGGTTATATGGTGGGCAAGTTATAACCTGCGCTAACTTACACCTTCTATACCTATTTAAATATATAAATTGTAGTAATACTATAAGTAGGTAACTAGGTTGTTGACATTCTCAGTTTGGAGTAATATGTATATACATCTCATATCGCTTCTCCCCCAAACACATTGCTGCCATGTAGAGTATCTATGCCAGCCGCTACATCAAGGGATAACAGGGCGGTAAATAAGGGTGAAGGCTTGTGTTGCTGACTCTCTCTCGGTGTCTAGCGACAAATATATATCAGGATCGGTCTCACTTTCGTTGTACTTGAGCGTCCAGAACAGCTTCTCGTTTCTGTCTGATCTTTCGACTGGCGAAAATACGAAGAAACCGTCGGAGGCATATTCGATCTCGAAAATTGAACCGCACTCCTGGTTGGTCGTAGCAAGCTCCCCACGCTTATATTCATTGAAACTGAGGTATTGGGTCTTGCCCGTAACATGGGAGCCCTTCCACAAGATGTGCCATGGTTTGACGTCTTCTGCAATTTCCTCAATGAACCAGTAGCTGTCGGTGGTGGCGCCCGCAAATCTGACTTGTTCGGAGTGGGCTCCCGCAAGAGTCATATTCCCTCCCCATATCACGCTGTTGATGGCGTAGTTTCCATATAGAGTGTCGACGGCAGCGCTGGCAAAAGAGGCCAGGAAGGCAAAGAGTAGAAGCACGCGCATCTCTGAGGCGAGCAAAGCAGAAGTTGAACGGCGTCGACGAAGTAGTTAAAAGAATTGTGTATCTGGAGGGCCGCCTGTGAAGATTGTATTTGGCACTGGCCCCAATTGCTGGCCAATTGACCATCTATATATACTCCTAAATATACATACTGTGCTATCATCCATGCGCCGTCAGCACAAGAACTATGTATATCCGCGTTTAAGCCCGCCATGTGTGAATCCAATGTGTTATTCTATACTGACTCCGCCCTTGCCGTTGACTCTAACATGGCTTAACTCGGCGGTTTTAGTGCTGAGTGAAGAGAAGCCGGAGCCAAGATCCTGCTATCAGCGCAGTTTACATAGACGCTTCATCAAAATCTGACATGCATATAACTTGGCCGTTGAGCTGTATTCGTGTTTGCCAGGGCCGCTCAGCTTATATGCCAGGGTGTATGTGCCTTGTAAGCCGGAGCAACTCTAACGTCTTCTTCCTTTTACCTATTTAGGATATCTTCAGCTTACCCTCTTCTAACCAGGACGCAGTTAATATAATTATAGTAAAAGGGCACTCCGAAGCCAGAGGATAGCTATCTGCGTTGATAGCCGGCGCTCTCGGTGTTGAAAATGCATCTCATCGATATAAATGGCTATACATGTAGGGTATATAAATATACAATAAACCCGTTCCCTCGAGGTATGAAACACAGCTACATCCTCTATCATCCTCGCAGCTAGCTCACGATCTCCAAGGCCTCCACTACCATGCACTTCATCTCTATATTCGCCAGCTGCCTCTTGGTTTGTCTGGCTACCGCCTCCGCTGACGACCAGCCCATCTATGCCAATGTCACCCTGACCGACGCGCTCGACTCGAGTGTTGCATATCTCAACCTAGACTCCTCGCTCGGCGATGGGGTTATCGCGTTCTCCCGCGGCAAAACGCATCACTGGAATTTCAAGCCCATTGGCCGCCTCTTTGCGGGGTGGCACATTGTCCGAGATCGCCAGAGTACAAGATTCATCCGCTTCCCAAAATACGAAGACGGGGCTGTCGCGACTGTGACCGAATCGTCTGTATCGGCCATCAAAATCACGCCAAATAGCCAAGGAACATACTCGATCACTTCTGGGGACCCCAGCGAGAAAGGCCTTTTGTGGACAGTTGAGCCATTCAGTGACAAAAATCCAACGCGAGTCGTGAAACTGAGGAAACCCGCCGCCGGTGCACACCAGGCCTTCAAGATTGCCAAGCTGCCATATGGTGGTTAATAGCCGGGCATAGACAGCGGGAAATTTCTAGGCAAGAGACAATTGTTGGATGTCTTTGGGCCTACCAAGTTACTTACACTATGTAGTGTCAAATGTTGTACTTAGTCGGCGCCGTAGTTAGATCACGTGAACTGCCCTGACTTACCCCTGCGCCTGAGCTCTAATATACGTACATTTATTTGTATACGTCCAAACTATTCGCTACTCTCACTCATATCTGCACTTAGTTATGCAACTGCAGCTTTTGTACCTCGAAACATGCCAAGACAAGTCATTCAGTTTATCTATTTAACTGGTTTCCGAATGGACATCTCGGTACCGCAAGGTCGAGGCATACGACAGTATATCTGTCGCCGATGACAGACTTTGGAAGTGGACTCTGAGGTCGCTAGAGCAGGTGAAGCCTTGACTGAGAAACTCCTAACGCCATCCCGTCTTCTTGTCCATACTATATATCTTCGTAGTGTATCATGTGACTGACTATCATGTGATCAAGATATCGCCTGCGCGTTTTGACTAGCTAAATTCAACGCTTGAACGGCGAGCAGAACACACACTCGCTTTGTGGACGCACCAACGGCCATGCACCAGGTCGCTGACGCCACTGAGAGCTGCCTGGGGAAGCCGGATATGATACCATCCAGGAACGGGTTCAGCATCAGGCCCGCACGGTCAGAACGCGACGTCCAGGCCACAGTCTCCTTGATCAAAGCCTACTCGACATCCCTCGGAATCGACCTGACGTTCCAGGACTTTAAAACTGAAATGGCGTCGTTTCCAGGCAAATATACCCCTCCTGATGGAGAGATACTGCTCGCAATCGACGATCAAACGGGAGAAGTGCTCGGCTGCATCTGTCTGCGGCCATTGGTCCCCAAGATCTTCTCGCCAGACAACACAGGCGCCCCTAGCCAAGACAGTAACTCTGTCAATGGCGGAAAACGGTATTGCGAGATGAAGAGACTATACGTCCTACCGTCTACCCGAGGCAGGGGGGTTGGCAAGGCCCTGGTCATGACTCTTCTCCAGATAGCACGGGAGAGGGGTTATGACGAGATGAAACTCGACACTCTGCGACACATGCGTGCTCCTATTGAGCTGTACCGGAGTTTGGGGTTTAAGGATATTGACAAGTACTACGAGACACCCCTTGATGACACGGTGTTCCTGGGACTGGAGTTGTAGACATTCAGTGTAGAACTAGATGGCTTGCATTGGTATATTAACGCTTTCGTCTATGTTGCTCTTAAAAGAATAGCGCTCTTTCTGTCAAACCCGACATCTCGCCCGGTGGCCACCGACATGCCATCTACCAGTATCGATATATCATTCGCTACCTTATAATGCTCCGTCTCAGAGCAAGAGATAATAAGCCAAGGAAAATACAACAAAAAAGGTCAAACAGGGACAATGCAGATGCGTCTAGCTGTGGTACCATAGAATATATATTAAAAGCAGTAATGGACGAGGACAAGAAAATCGCAGTAACTAAGCAAGAGGGCAGCCAAACACACGAGAAAATAAAAATAAAAAATAACTCCTACTGCCCATTTTATGTACCAAGGGATAGGCCGTGGAACAGTAAGGAAAACTCCAATGGGATGATATAGTAATGTCGAGAATTCATAGTCCATATAAGCTATGATGCTGGTGTTGTGTCATTTAGAATTGCTGATTTACTGTTATTGAGCAACGAGACCGTCGCAATCACATCGGCGGGCTCACGAAGATGCCAGCTGGCTAGCGTCTGCTTCGAGCTGGCGCCGACGGTAACGGAGAAAACATGGTCAAGGGGCAGATCGGACGATTTCAGAGCTCGGAACATATCTGTAGCCAAGTTAGATAAGTAATAAGCCTAGGCGACAGGATTAAATATTCGTACCTTCATCAGTAAAATCATCTCCCAGGCAGAGCACGAATTCAGGCTCGTGCCCGTGGACACCCGCATATTCATCGATCAGCCTTGTCGCAATTGCTCCCTTATTCACGAACGTTGGTCGAACTTCCAGGTTTGCTTTGCCTTCCATAATGTCTACAGGCCATTTCGTTGCCACTTCCCGTTCTAGCTCAGCCCTGCATTCCTTTGCCTGATGTGCGCCATACTCCGGATCGACAGGCCGATAATGCCACGTCAACGCTACTCGTTTCCGTTCAATAAAGGCACCGGGGGTACGCTCGGTGTAGTACTGGAAGATGTCGAGAACTTCCTTCTGCCAGCCCATGTTTGCCTTTTCAGCAAGGTTCGTCCATTCTTCGCTGCGTGGCTTACGGATGAAGCACCCGTGCTCAGCGCTGAGGCCAAGTTCGGTAATGTGGCCCATCCATTCCTCCAGGAAATTTTGGTCGCGACCGGATATAATCCAGACGGCGTTCTTGGGATCGGCCGCGAGGGATTTGAGGGTTCGCAAGACTTTGTCTGAGGGGATGGCAGCCTGTGGGTCTTTGACGATGGGCGTCAGGGTGCCATCGTAATCAAACATGAACAGCCGACGACGCGCTGAACGGTACTGGGCGATAAGTTTATGTCTGTCAAGAGCTGGCGTGGTCATGGACTGGTTGAAAGAAGAGAGATTGGCAAGAAGTCGCTTGAGGTATTCATCATACCATTCGACGACTGTGTGAGTGGTAACATGCTGGTAGAGGGCAGACTGCTGCTTCGCCTTGGCCTCAGGGGCCATAGTCAGCGCTTCATTGATGGCAGTCGCAACTCCAGTGAGATCCCAAGGATTGATGTGAATGGCATCCTCAAGGCTCCCTGCCGTACCGGAGAATTCAGAGAGGATAAGGGGGCCTTTGTTGGCGTGTTGGCAGACTACGTATTCAAGGCTGGTAGTGTTCATGCCATCACGTACGCTGGTGATTAAGCCTACGTTTGCGGCCCGGAGGAGAGCAAAGTATTCATGCCGTGGGAGGTATTGTGGGTAGTATTGGACGGGAGAGAAGCTGATCGAGCCGAAGCGTCCATTTATGTTCGAGACCAACTGGGATATCTGGGTAGAGAGTTTATTGTCGGGCTCTTCCTTCTCTTCTTCCATGCTTGTCGGACTGGTAACCTGTATGAGAACCACCTCACCGCGCCACTGTGGATACCGTTCCAAGAACATCTCAAAAGCCATCAATTTCTGTGTCACTCCTCGAACCGAGTCCAATCGATCACGGCCAACAATGATCTTCTTGCCCTGGTATATCTTCTTGATGTTGGTAATTGTGTTTTCAATATTTGGGTCACCGTAAGCTAGCTTTCGAACTGACTGGACGTCAATGCCAATTGGGAAAACGTCAACTGCCACATGGGCTCCGTAAGCATCGATGCCGTCCTTTGTCGAACCAAAGCCTAGAATGCGCGTGCAGCAAGAAGTAAAGTGACGAGAATAAGTGTTGGATTGAAACCCGACCATGTTCGCCCCAAGGACACCTGTAAGGACGTCCTTTCTCTTGGAAAGGCAACGTAAGAATTCGCTGCTCGGGAAAGGAACATGGAGAAAGAAGCCAATGTAGATGTTGGGGACTCTTTGGCGAAGGATGTTTGGAAGCAAGAGTAGATGGTAATCATGGATCCAGACAATGTCTCCCGGTTTGTAGGTCTCTAGAATACGGTCTGCGAACATGCTATTGAGGCGCTGATAGTCTCGCCACCATTGCCTTTCAGATCGCCCATCTGTCGGACCATGTTGCTTATAGTGGAAGAGAGTGTATATCTCTCGTTCAGCATAACGGCGCCAGCGACTCTGGTCCTTTAGATGCATTTCCTGGTTCGGAGCCTCCAGTTCATCACTCAGCCAGACCGGTAGGATGTGGCCGAACTTGCTTGACGAGACCTGGCTCTCAAGTCGGCGACGGTCGTCGACGGTCACACAAACGCCGTCCACAGGCGGCTGCTGTATCTTCTGGGATGGGTTGACCGGAATCGGGCCCCAGGCCTTGTTAGCCGGGGGAACGGTCTTGCCATTTTGAAGGTGTTGAGACAGAGCTTCAGAAGGCGATTGCTGCTCTATTTCGCCAGTCCAACCAACGAGAGTATGAGACCAATGCGACTCAGGGGACGCTAGGATGGCAAACGAGTCAAACAGCGCAGCAGTCCCTTGACGATGTTTAAGTTCCTATAATCAACTGTCAGTAGGGTTCGGATATTGTACAGCAATACTAGGCATGTTATACCCATTCTCCGTCCTGGTGAATCTGCAGCTTGTAAGGAATACAGAATGCTGCGCTTATTATCCTCCCCGACAGGTTCAAATCTGGGTGGTCACTAGGTTTGGTCGACGCAACCGGAGTCGGCTCTGGTAGAGGCAGAGGTGCCGCAGTAGGCTCAGCATCAGCTATCGTCTCAGAATCAACGGTCTCATTCTTCTGGACGGCATCAGGGCTTCCTTCCACGGGGTCAGGGGCTCCATGTGCGGGTGTCTTCACCGACGCATCCAGAGCCCCTGGCGGTATCAGGGTCGGGTCAGCCAGAGTGACGCCAGGGTTCTTGGACGCCATTATATATGTGGTTTAAAAGATGGTATATACTCTTATAAACCGCCAATATATTCCGTAAAGTTCAGACGAGAAGTATTTTGGTCGGGCGACTTAGGGGGTACAAAATAGGAGGAATCGCTTGATCGACCGGCCGCGATAGACCTCTCCCCGGCTCGCACGATTGACAGCAATCTAATTGACAGGAGCACGACGGCAGCAGCTCAGCGTTTACTATTTATTATTTAATCTTTCCCGGATAGTCAGTGTCATAACAAGTCCATGAGTTGGGAGGTTTTCAGGCAGAACGAGCGAAGGCCAAGTAGGAAGTGGGCTTTTGACAAGGGTTTCTGTGGCCGGATATCAGGCTCTCGTCATTGCTGGCTAAACCTGGTACGTTGTTCCCGGAGAGCCCCAACGTAAAACGAAGTATCCAAGTGAACTGGCAGGGAAAAAAGGGCCCGTAGAACTCCAGACGCAGATTTATACATAATAATAATCAATTTATATTTCACATATCAAAATCGCTTTCGTGAAGTTGAAGAAGCCAAACTTGGATGCTGACTAAGCCATCGCGATAAGCCAAGATAAGGAAAAATGTTGGGGCCGGTGATTGGCCAGCGTATCGGAATAAGCGATACGCCGCTGCCGCCACCTCCTGCCTCATCTCGCTTAGGCACCAGTTGGCCGACGGCCATATAGATAAATAGCTGTAGTATAGTCTCTAGACCTTCTATCTATTATTATTATTTATTCTACGCCTATTTATTACCTTTTTCTATACTTATCATTATTCTTCTTCTTCTTTATTATACTCCTATATGGGCCTTTCTGCGCGGCGGGCGGCGGTTAAGGAGTTTGCTACCAATTATAGACCATATCGGGCTCTCAACCCCTAAATTGCAATTCCAACCAACATGACTGCTCAATAACCTTGAGAATCGCACTGCAATAACAGCTGGCAGGGTAGTTCATGATATCAAAACCTGTGGGGCGGGACGATCCTTGCGAAAACAGACAGACCCGGGCGCTTAGCAACATGTCAAATCAGAGCAGCAACAAACAGATAATGATTGGTTACAACGGTTGATAGCGATATATCAGTCAAAATTGGTCGTATTATTGAGCTTAATGAGCGTATGTACATGGATGAAAAGTCTGCAGATATACACGGGTGGGAGCCGACTAAGCATTACATTTGACACAACATTAAATGTTGCCTTTGGGGCCGGGGGAAAGAAGGGAAGTGGTTCTGTGTACTCCGTACCAACTAGCCATGTAGCTAGTTAACGGTTAACCACTCACGGAGTATATTTCCGTTGTATATCTTCTATAACGCTTGAACAGGGTATCTGCAACAGATGAAGTTGTTGGTATGCGGTGGTGATATTCAACTGCCTAGAAGAGTTAACTCATCACGTATTAGTTAAAGGCGGGCCTCCTTGTCCTCCTTCACTTATGATAATTCGCTTCCCCGTTGACAGCCACGAAATAACGACGGGATTGCCCTGTATTGACTGATTATCCTCTTTAAGGGTTTACACTGCATTTTATTCCCTTCCATGTCTCAGCATCCTGCAACGACTTGTCCATCTTTGACGGAATGCCCGACTCCCGAAGGTATGCCACATTTAAGCTCTCTATACCGCGGCCTCAAATGATAACTCGTTGATTAGAGGGCTACGGCCAGGAATGCGGGTACCCTATGATAAAAGGCAGAGGGTTGCATCCTATCCGTTTGGACGAAAACCGCGTTGTCAAGTCGAAAATGGAAGATACTGGAGAAATCCAGGCCATGCAGCCTACCGCCAAAGCAACAACCATCCCTGTTCCGAAAGTCTTTGAGGCGGGATGGTTCCAGAAAAGCGGCGAATGGTGCGATAAAAGGTTTTGCATCGTGATGGAATATATACCTGGAAAGCCTTTGAATGTGATATGGAAGGATCTAAGTGAAGATCAGAAAACGAACATTTGTCTCCAGATCGATGGATATCTCGCTCAACTTCAGAAACTAACGGCAGATCGGATCATGGCATCCGATGGCGGTCCTCTGGATGTGGGGCTTTACCAAAAGCGTTATTTGGGGCCGTTTGACAGTGTCAAGGAGTTCCATCAGGCCTTGAGCAAAGCCGAGCCGCATAACTTGGGTGACAACCACAAGATCCATTTTGCTCATGCCGACCTAGCTCCCAGGAACATTCTGGTTGACGAGAAGACCGGCAAGGTCAATGCAGTCATCGACTGGGAGCGGGCAGGTTGGTATCCAGAATATTGGGATTACGTCCGGATGAGCTACGACCGGTCGATGAAGAAAGAGATGGGCGCTTATACCGTTCTTTGGAAGTCCCTCTCCACGCGCCCTTATGAAGACGAATGGGAAGCAATGCGGGATCTAGTTTTACGAACGATCCCTCCATATCCAGATGGAGTTCGGGAAGAAGAGCGCCCCGATACTTCACCATCGTCTGCCTCTTATGCAAGAGAGTTGCAGAAGGGGCATGAAAATGATACTGAATTGATCAACTAGCGTCACTACTATATAGCAGCAGAGGTAGATATGGACGACAAGCTAAATTTGCCTGCGCTGCAGAGTATACATGGAGATATGATGAGATGGTCTATCTCCTTGAACCTGTATTCGGGTTCTCTTTTCTCTCATTGTTCATGTCGAAGACATACTCCGTATATACATGTCAGCTTAAAAACCGATCCCGATGGAAGAACAGACTATTAAAATTAACCAACCAATTCAAGAGCATAATAATCTTCTTGGAACAACGTTTTCTTATACAGAATTCTTCAGACGCCGTACTCGTTTTCATACCAGAATCATAAGCTCAGCCGATACCCCCATAGGCTGTTTCACCCTAACAGTATCTGCATAGTGCCGACTCGTTGCAACGAGCCGAACGTGTCCGATAAAATAACTATATTAATAGAGATATATAACTAGTACCTCGAAATAAAGAGTATTAAGATCTATATTAAGAATATATAGAAACTACAAAAACTCTATATTCCGCTATGGAGAGGCTGCGGTCACGTGTTCTCCAAACATCCTTCGAGAAAAAACCTTTGATTTTGACGTCAGACGAAGAAGACAGAGAAGACGGAGAAGACGGAAGAGACGAGAGAGGAGTGGTTGGATGTCTGTTTGCCCGTGTATGGCCTCTGCTCGTGCGCCGTTGCTGGTCGATAGCCGTTTCTTCCACGCAGTTCGGCCTACATTCAGCAATAACAGGCGCTTTCACGCCTCCCCGTCACTCGGAAGATACACGTCCACACCCAAAATCAACACAGACAGCCTCGCTGAGACCTTGGAAGACCATAGAATTGCCAACCGTACAGTGGTGCGGAAGGTTAAAGTGCGCAGAGACCCGGACTGGTCCTCTCTAAGCTATGGCCTTGCAACAAGGAGCAGCAGCAACCCACCCCAGGAGTTACACGTCGAAACATATCAGCAATTGCAGAAGCTGCGGAAGCTGACGAAGCTGACAAGCTATACAAAGAAGTTAAATACCCACCAGCTGAAGCAACTCTACCCCACGACGTTGAAATCGAGCCCACGGAAGACTGAGCAGCAGAGCGTGCAATGCAATTGGCTGCAGTATATGAACGAAGAAGAGTCAAAGGATGGATATTCACGACTCAATGATGAAATATGGGCGTTTGAAGGGTACATGTCTGAGATTCGTCAGGAGAAGGAGACGGCGAGGAGAGTGATTAGTGAGGTGGAAGATATCATAAAGCCCATTGGAGATTCTACTCATCAGCGGCCGATGTTGGTTGGATCAAGGTACACTGGCATGAATATGCGGAACTCGAACGTTGACTTGATGATTCCTATCGAAGACCCGGGTGGTCTGCCTAGCAGTGCACGGGGGCCGAGCGCTACTCGTCCGAAGATTACGGCTATACAAACAAGCCTTTTGTCCCAAGCTGCGCGCCTTCTCCGTGCAACGGGGACATTCTCCGGTGTTACAGTACCAAGAGGGCATGTTCCTTTCGTCTCGGCCGTTCATTCTGCCACAGATCGAAGAGTGCGGATATACTGTGGCGTCAAGCCCAACTCTGGTATGGAATACATCTTGAACTACAAAACAGAATTTCCTGCCCTACGGCCGCTCTATATTGCTATACGGATGATTCTGGAAACTAGAGGGATGCTTGGTACCAATAATCATACCGTTGACCCATATGGACTGATTATGATGATTGTGGCGGCACTGAAGCTAGGAGAGGGTAAATTTCATCGCCACGACCTGGGAAGGCAGTTCTTGCACGTCCTTCGGTTTTATGAGAACATCGATTTGCTTCGTTATGGGATCTCTGTTGACCCGCCGGAACTTTTCAAGAAGAGGACACATGCTCGGTCTCTAGATACTGAACAATTACCACATGTTCGAGGCCAGAAGAGTATTTCTAAGAGATCAGTCACCCGAGGGAATGAGATGCTATGCTTACAGGACCCGGCGGATTTTATGAATGACTTGGGCATGTCGAGTTTCTCTGCGACGAGACTGCGAAGGGTGTTTGGCGAGGTATATGCTGACGTCCTGGGCAAGGTTGAGGCTTGGGATGGGGAGGCTCGTAGGGACAATGAGCTGATGCTCAATGACGGTATTGCAGCACCAGAGAGACCCAGTCTGCTGAGGTTTGCTCTTGGGTCGAACTACGACCATATAGAGGCTCTGAGGGATAAAGCTATTGTCGAATGCTCATAATAGCTGATGGAGTATCTCATCTCACTCTTTATAACTTAAAGTATCTCTCCAATCTATAAATGCGTCTGCCAATACCCAGTCTAATTCCAACACCTAAAGTAATGTACAGCCTTCACTCTTGAGGTATAAATAAAGTAGCAATAAAAAGAAGAAATGATCTCATCTGAAACAATGGTAGAGACGCCTCCCCGAAAGCCACTTACGCCCTCTCTTCTACCCACTTGGCCAGCCACTTCCTTTCGATCTTCTCGCTCTCCGCTCCCTCCAACCCCATGCCTACATCCACACCGCCCCTCTCGTCAATAGCTAGCCGCACCTCTTCGGCAACCATCTTTTTCACCCCACCAGCACTAGAAATCAGCTTGTCATCTGCAGCAAGGTATTCCATCCATCGCCGCAGTCTAGGTCTATACACCTGGTCTACCAATAGAGTCTGTACGAATCCGGGAACAGGCAAATCATGCCTCTTCCTCAGTCCAAAAACGACACAGGATCTTAAAACTTCATCAGTGCTTAATTCCGAGACATTCTTGATCTGTCTAGGTGACGACGGGGCAAGCAATGCCTGTTCTTTTGCCGAAATTCCCTGGAGAGCAGCGTCCTTGTAGATAGTCCTCTTCCCGCGTTCCTTAGCTAGCTGTTTGGGCATGCGGCATGTCATTGGTGTTACGCGATTGCCAATTGCTAGCACAACGAAAGGAGTCATTTCACCGCATAAAAGGAGAATGAACGCAAATGGGATGGTGCGGCGGATATCGTATGCGCTGCGCCTGACGAGTTGGAAATCGCTTCTTGTCAACGACAAGGTAGGTGTTCCTGCATTCGTCCATGGTGATCGAGGGATATACACGGGTAGACCGAGCTGTTTTCGTAAGGGAATAGACGCCTTGTAATTGGCATATACGTTCTTAAGGCCGGTTTTGTAGAAACCGAGATACGCCTTTCCGAGAGCAAAGTAGTAGGAGAGTTTTCCTGATGTCTGCGGGTTGGTCTTTGAGGGTAAATCGAGGACCGCGGGGCGTGTGCTGGCGGGTGCGTTGACGGGGGAGGTTATTGCGGAAGATGATGCGGAGGATGATATGGCGGAGGAAGAGGATGGAGAGGATAATGGCGCGGAAGAGGATGTGGATTTGGAGTTATATGAAGGAGGTGGTAGCAATCGAGCGGCGCTGGAACTGAATCCCCTGTTTGCTGGGTAGAGGCACCCTAACCCAAGTGTTCGGGCTGGTGAGTGTCTGAGGTTCAGGGAGGCAGCAACATTGCTGCTTTTTGGGAGCGTAGATATCATTATACAGAGGCGGAAGAAGAGAAAAGACGGGAAAGAAAGTACAAAAGGAGAGAGACACAAGTTGAGTGAGTAAGAGTGAACAAACCAGCAAGATTCAAAGACGATAAAAAATTACATCCAAAAAGAGGCCGGAAACTTTATTTGGGGGTGGGCCCATGCCAAGATTTTCCGCTCCGGGCTGCTTACTTAATATCAACGTGGGAGCAGCCAAAATTGAGAAGAGCAAGAAGATTTCAAGACTGATAGTTCTTCATTCAGTAGTATCAAGGAAAGTACAAATCAAGAAAACGCACTCAAGAAGATTATGGCTGATATAAGCCTTTTTTTTGTGGTTTTTGCCGTTTTTTATTTTTTTGCTTGAGTGGTTTGAAATTAGTCGGATCATGTTCAAAAATTGTAGGTAAATGTCGGAGAGGAGGTGGGTGCATCGCAAGCACGAGGTAATGCCAGTCACCAAGCCAGCTATTGTTGCGTCCGGTGCTCCACTGCGCTGGATGAGTTCTCCCTAAAAGACAAAAGTAAGAGACAAGAAATAAGAAATAAGCCGAGCCCCCAATATCCAAAAAAAAAAAGTCAAAAAGGTAAAAAACACCGATTGAATACATATAACATAAGAACTGTTGACAAGTCGAAAGTCGACAGTCAATGTATGGCCTTATCAGTGAGAGAAGAGCCCGAAAGAAAATACAAATGGACAGAAAACAACTTCCAATCTCTCTTCTTAGTGTGACGGAGCACCATTCTCCCCGCCGCCTGTGTTATCCCCAGCGCATTGCTGTTGTCATTATATGGATGAATGGATTACTTCCTCTCTGAGGCCTTTGCAACTTCGGCAAACTCCTCATCGCTTGCGTCCAGGATGTCGTACTCCTCATCAGTGAGGAAGCTCTCGTCGTCTTCTTCCGTGTTCTCGATATCGAGAGTGAGGCTGTCTACTTCCGCGGCCAAGTCGACAACTTCAACGGGAGCGTCCATCTCGTCGTTGAGGGTGGAGGCAGAGTCTGAAACATCATCTGCGTCTGGGTTGTGCTTGGACTGGGTCTCATGCACACTTGCAACGGGAGACTCCTTCTCGAGAGTGGGGAAGACCATCTCTCCCTTCTTCTCTATAACCCCAGCGGTTTGCTCAGTAACGGTGATGTCACACCACAGTTTATGACCAAAGGCCACTCCGTCGCCAGACTTGAGGCGCCAGTAGGAAATTGCCTTTCCAGGGCGAGTGGGGGCCTTCATCTGAACGGTAAATTCTGCCTGCTGGCCGGGGTAGACTGGTTCAGACAGATGCTGGCTCTCCATTGCACTGACCAGACTAGAAAGGCTGATAGCGTGAGAGGTGTCAACATTAAACATGGCATCACCACCGACGAAACGGGCACTGGTACCAGCAGGCCAAGCACTGGGACCGGGGTTGTGCAAGGTCCAGGTCTTAGTGAAGACTGCATTTGGTGGGAAGGGGTGGGAGTCGGGAATGGTGTCACAAACGAAGCGGGTGTGAAGGCCAAAGGGGTTCAGGCCGCCGGCGGTGACCTTGTGTGCATCCTCAGCTGGGGCAGGAGAAGAAGCGACGGATTCATATTCCGAAGCGGGCTGGTTGACAACTTCTTTCTCCTCGATGACTTCCTGTTTCTTGTAGGTGATTTCTTGCTCTGAGTCGTCGTAGAAAGCATCAAGCGACATTGGAGGATGAACCTGTGTAGCAGCATTGCTGATGAAGGGGGGGATAGTCTCGGTGGCGGCCGACTTGACACTGCCAATTTTGGTCTCGGGGCCGTCTCTGTCGCCCATTCTCTCCATCACCTCACCCTTATCATTCTCGCCGTATGCAGAGACAGAGACGTGCTTGACGGCAGATTTGAACTTCAACAACGGATGAGTGTTGTTGTGGGTGCTGTTAGGGTGTGCCTCACAGGTCTCACAGAAGTCGGTGTCATGGCAGACGACACATTTGTAGCGGACGCCAGTGATGTACTCCTGGCCCATCTTGTCCTGACAGTGGGCGCCGTTACAGTAGACGCCAGTATGGACCTCTGTATGGGATGTACGAGGGGCGATAGGCAAAAACAATGGGACAAAGCGGTGGCTTGGATGGGTATATTTCACATCACCGATGCAAGCGGCACAGACGTCCCAGTTGGGGCAGTCGAGACATTTGTAACGCGCGCCCATGATTCGCTGCGCCAATGTTAGAAAACAGGCCGAGAGGAACATGATAGGCGTATGATGAGAAACTTACACAATCACAGACATCACAAAGAGCGGAGTGAATGACATAGGTGTCTTTGACTGGCTCCGACGGCTCAGGCATCTCGGGCTCTAGTAGAGCTACAGGCTCGGGCTTGTACTGTGGAACAGCACAGTCCTGCTCCGGCAATGGCTCCTCCGACTTGGTCGACTTGGTGAACTTGGGTCCTACGATTTCGGTGGTGCTGGTGACCAACTGCCCGTCAACGAGGAAGCGTTTGATGAGCCAGTGGGTGCCCGCTGGACAGAGGTGGCCGGCGTCGATACACTCCTGGCACAGGTCATAATCACCCTCCTCGCAGACGTTGCAATGGTAGTGCTCGTTGGGGATGGAGGCCTTGCAGCGGTTGCAGTCGATCAGGATGGCACAGCTGTAGGTGGCGGTGGACGTGTTTGCAGGCAGTGGAGGAAGAGGAGTAATACGGCATGTCCTTACTGGCGGAGAGGGCGATGGTTCATGTCGATGCAGGACAGTCTCCAGGTAGCTGGCACGGGGACTGCTCATCTTCTCTGGTCCGGTTTCGACTGGCTCTGGGGTATATCCAGTGGCTTTGGGCTCTTGGAGCACTTCTGGCTCTGGTGCGGGCTCGACGATCACCTCGGGCTTCTCGGGCATCTCAGGCTCTGGTTCTGGCTGGACACGATCAACGTGGATTCGTAGCTTGAGCTTGGCCTTTGCAGCTCTATATAGCTGCTTGTAGACGGCAGGGTGCTCGCTGTCGAGGGTAAGGAACTCGCCAGCACTGTCAGAGTAGCGTCGCAGGACGACGTCAGTTCCGGGTGGAATATTGAGAAGTCGACGGATCTGGGGACAGGATTAGTACTGAAGTAATACGGATTCTCGGGGGGGCTTGGTGATGATTTTGATGATGGCGAAACACTTCAGGCGGTGTTCCACGGACGGGGCGTAGGTAGATGACTAAACATTGCCTATCCTGGACATGGCGGTGAAGCGAGACCAAAACGGCTACACAGGAAGGAAAAAAAAAAAAAGGACAAGACGGTGAAGAAGAGGGAGAAAGGCTTACTCGTTGGGGGAACGTGTGAGCCCCCAGGTCTCTTAGAGGGACCTTGAAGCGTCTGTTCTCACCGTCGAAATGGGCCTTGACGGTGATGAGAGTGTCCGGGTTGACCGGGACGTTGTGAGCTGGAGGCATGACGGTAGGGACGCCGAGTTTCAACCTAGTTTTTATCTAGATATAAGAGTATGATGTATTGGGGGTCAAAGGAGATGACTATTCGATTGTCGAGGTACGTTCTCGAGATGACGGGAGGGGAGGGGGAAGAAGAAACAGGATGGAGGTGGTGATGAAGAGCTGAGGATCAAGTCGACCAGTAGCACCAGGCAGCCACTGCAGTTCACGTCACTGCAGCCACTGAGCCAGTCTACCGACGACGACGATAATGCTGTCGATGCTGTTCGACTGGGAGATGATCGAGTGTTGTGAAGTTGTTGTCTGAAGAAGACAGACCTTGCTCTCTTGTCTGTCTCTCCCTCGTTCTTATATAGAAGAAGAAGACGACGAAGAAGACGAAGACGACGTCGTCTGGGGGAAGGCCATCTTGTTCTGCCGCTGTACGGTAACTTTCGGCTTGCCCGACGCTCCAGCGGTGTCTGCCTGTAAGGGGCTTACCATACATACAATCTAGGCCCCTTTAGGCATGGTGGCAAAGCGGGCGGTGGAGAGCCCAGGGCCGGCAGTGCGGAGAAGGAGTTCGAGAACCATCAGATGTACTTCTTGCTACATACAAAAATGTATGGCAGGAGAAGTACCTCCTATGACGGAACGCTTTGCTGCCTATTACATCACCTTAGTCATCATCTACATAGAACTCATGAAGATGTAGATGATGAGATGTAGATGAGACGTAGGACTACAGGGTATCTTGATAGCTTCAGTTGTTCATGCTTCAACACTTCCTAATCAAATACAGCCATAGATTAATACAAGGGGGAGAAGGGGAAGACCGGTAACTAGGATACACACGCTGAAACGGCGACAGAAGAGACCACAGATGATACGGCCTAGGAAAGAGAGAGATGGAAGAGAGACGGAAGATATGGAACAGTCCGAGTTAAAAGACGTAGGTAGATAAAGGTATCGAAGAGAAAACGAGAACGAGAAACAGAGCCGTCGCCTGCATGCTAAGCATTCCAAGAATATGAAGCAGATGAAGAGATGATAAAAAGGATACTATGTATGAGAATAGATGGATAAAGGAAAAATAATGAAGAGGGGAAAAAGACAGGCCGAGCGAAAGGAAGAACGCTAAGATGCAGGGTGAAGAGCAAAATCTACCTAATAATAATGGAGGAGAAGGAAGTGAGGATAAAAACAAACAGACAACGCCAACCAGAGAGCACAGAATATAGAAACGGAAAGAGGATAAGAAAAATAGAATATCACTGATAGTAGACGGGTCCATTTTGTTGCACCGGCATCTGAGGAGGGTAGTAGTATGTCGGCCCCGGGGGGGTCATCATCCCCCCCATACCGACTACGCCCTGTCCCTGAGACGGAGCGGGAGGCTGGCCGCCCACGCTGGCACCCGAACTCGAACCGGGGGCCGTCATCTGTGATGCATCGTAGTAGTACACCGTCCCGTTGGACTCGTGGGCCACCGTTCCCGGGCCAGTCGGTCCAGCTCCACCAGGCGTGTAAGGATACTCGGTCCCGGGAGCTGGAGGGACAGCATACATGGGCCCAGCAGGGTATGGCTGGCCGTAGTATGCCTGCTGTCCCGGCTGGGCAGCCATCTGCGGTTGCTGGTACGGGATGGGCTGGAAAGGAGCAGCGTGGATGGCCCGCTCGGGGATCTGGGAGAGGGGCGTGGCAGACGTCGGTGGAGGGTGCGACATGTGGCGCATGTGCGAGTAGACCGGCATCTGCTGCATCGGCATGACCATGGGGACCTGCATCGGTATGGGCACAGGCATGGCCATTGGCATGGTCATGTCAGGCGTGGGTGCAAAGCCGTTCATTGGCATCTGATGTGGTACCTGGTGGTGGAACGGTTGGTCGGTCTGCTGCTGGGCGAACTGGTATGCAGATGCCGACGCGGCAGGAGACTCGATATCTGCTACCGATACGGTCTTCTGCGGGCGTGGCTGGTGTATGGGGATCGATGGATGAGGCCGGTTTTCTCGATACGTCGGATTCTGCGGTGGGAAGAAGGGTGCTGTCGATGCGGGTGTCGGCACAGCTGTGGGCTGTGTCTGTGCCGGTGCCTGCGGTGGGCCTGGCGGTTGCTGCGGCTGCTGCTGTTGCTGGACTTGGGCAGGCATGGCCTGTGGAGGGAGACGAACAACTGGCCTTGCATCCGGGACGACAGGCCTGGACATGGGCACCGTTGATCCCAATGGTGGAGTGGCGCCATTGACACTGACGTCCCTGCCCATAGACGAGCGGCGGGACATGCTCATGCTAAGGCTGGCGCTGGGTGTATGCGTTGGTGCATGGCTGTAGACGCTGCCGGAGTACACGCTTGTCCGCCTGGAGTAGAATCCACCACCGCCTCCCCGGCCCCTCCCACGGTACGAAGCTTGCTGGTTTGGACGGAGAGCTCGTGGGATGAAGATGAAGGACCGTTCGGTAGATGGGAAGATATAGCGGGGCGCCTGTCCAGGCAATGAGATCCGGACGGGCTTGTCACGACGAAGCGGAGGGCGGTGTTGCGGGAGGCGGGTGTGTTGCTTTTTGGGGACGGCGGAGAAGGAGATGGGCGACTCCATGCCCGGTAAGGAGACGATGACGGGGACATTGCCAATCAGGATGGTACTCGAGAAAGATCTGTTGGGCGGTGACGTGCGAGGAGCAGTGGGAACGGGTTTGGAGGGATAGCTGTTACTGCTGCCGTTGTTGGTGGTACTCTGGGGTGGTCGATAGGGCGGTCGGTTGACAGAGTCGTGTAGATCATGACGCCAGGGGCTATGCGTTATGTCAGGCTGAGGTTTCCTACAATTTGTATCGTCAGCACGGGCACCCACCAAAGGATAAAAGAAGTAAGTATGTACTCACCGGAAGACATTGCTGTCAACGATAAGGCCGTGTGGCTTGCCCTTCATCTGCTTGCCCCGTCCGCTGCCGTTCCCGTTTCCAGACCGGTTATCGTGTAGGAAGAACCCACCTCGAGTGGGCACAAATGAGGGATCACTGTTTCTCTTCTGGATATACTCCCCGTGTTCCCTTCGTTTCCGCTCCGTAAAAGACTCTCTCTGGCTGCCGGCGCCGTTATTACCACCATCACCACCGCCGCTGTTGGGCCAAGGATCTGCCAGCTGGTCAAAGTGTATCTCGTCCGCCTCCTGCACCGGCCCAGCTGTCTCTTTGGACCCATTCATCATGGCGTCTGTCTCTGCAGTCCGCGCATTGAATAGGCCATTCCCTTCGCTGCCTCCGCCCTCCTTCAAGTTCCCTCTGCCTCGAGCTGTCCGTGCCCTGCCCTCTCGATCTGTCCGCACCGACCGGCCACTGTCCAGCACGGCCTTTTCGCCTTCAGTCTCTGTGATCTCGCCGTGGCCGTCGCCCCTGTCAACCTCGTCTCTGTCATCCTCGTCGTGGGACTGGGAGCTCACGGTGGCTTCGCTGAGCGAGTCGTCCTCCACGGTGGCCGGAAAACTGTCTTCCTCACCCTCGTCGTCGACTGTTCGTCGGCTTGCACCGATCCTGCGGCGATGATACGGTGCCATCTATCAGTGTATCAGTATCCCGCCTCGTAGTCCTGTGCTATAGCAGTATAGGTAGAAAGTAGAGGCAAAGTGGTGTCAAGAACGCAGGAAGCAGAGTAGCACAGGCATCAGCAAGGTACGTATAGCCAGCTTCCAAAGTCACTCTCCATCCACTTCTCTCTCACACACGCTCGCTCGAACTTTGGGCTCGCTGGCACGACTTGCTGGCGGCCTTTTTTAAAAAAAAAAAAAGAGCTGCCCTACTCCCGGCGGGGCGAAGTAGATGGCGAACTTATGAAAAGTAAAAAGTACACCAAACAAGGCCCAGCAGGAGACAAGCTGGCAACGACGTACCTGAGTCAATCTGATCGCTCGTGTGCGGCAGAAGCGTGGAACACAGCAGGCAGCGAGTGTCTGCTGTCCAGCATCGGGATGGATTCTGAGGATGGACGGGAAGCGGTGGACTTTTTTTTTTCCAGCATCCACTAAGCCAGCTTGGATGCCCGAAGGTTGGAGGGTTTTGAGGCCGCCGACTAGCAGGGATCTACTCGCAGAAGAACCATGTAAGAGTCATACTATGTAGACCGGGAGCAGAGACGAAGACGATAGAGAAGAAGGAGAGAAGATGAACGATGAAAGACGAAGAAAGCTGAAGTTGAGGTTGAAGTTGAAGACAAGTTTCGTGCTTAGTCAGCGATGACTTCATGGTGAGAGAAGAAGAGAAGAGGTGAAGTAGATGAAGAGAAGAAGAGAAGAAGATGAAGAAGGGAAGAAGAGAAGAAGATGAAGAAGGGAAGAAGAGAAGAAGAAGAAGAAGATGATGATAAAGAGAAGAGACACGGCATGGGTTCCGTGACTTATACAAGTGAGAGCGTTGACTAGAGACAGCTCAACCACGGCTCCCTGGCGGGCCACGGCGGATGCAGATGGCAGGCTGATATACCCCTTGATGCCGGCGATGGTCTCGGAATAGTGACTGTCTATAGGTATGTCCGGCTGCATAGAGATATAGACGTCTCTCTCGATAGCGACACCTCCCGTTCACCATGGTCTCCGGACCCTTTCAACTGCCCCCTGACCGGCCGATACCTGGAGGACTGGAGCAGCCCTCGCTCTCACGCCGCATCTCCTGCTGCCACGAGCATGACGGCCGCGAGTCGACGACGGTGGAGGTCTCGTCTCACGCGAGTGGCACTCCTGCAGGCCGAGAGGTGGTGCGCATCACCACCCGGTACACTCCTCCGCCGCCCTGGAAGCCGCGCAGTTCTCGTCGGAGGCGGCGTAGGGAGAAGGGAGAGAAGCGGAGGGGAGAAGCAGAAGAAGGCGAGGCGCTGAGAAGGCCGGTCTGGAGTGTCTTGCGGGCTTTTCTGGCCAAGTTGCTTGCCTTCTAGCTGTCCTCCTTCATTACTACCAATATACACCATATACCTTCAGTCCACCGCAAGAAGCAAGCTTTCCCTTGGCCTGCATATGAAGTGGCCTTCTGGAGTTATACGGGCTCTGTATAGTATCTCTTCTACTGCTATGCCACGAGAAGTCCATACATCATCACTGCCGCCTCTATCATGTCTCTTCCTTCCGATAGCCTCGTTCTTACTTATGTCTTCTTCACTCTTTACCGTTTGAAAGACGAGCTTTCTCTGTTATCGTGGACGCTTTCTACCAGTCACTGTTTACTCCAGAGTAGCATAAGAGGCCAGAATTTGTCTTTATTCACTGCTATCTATATTCACTTTCATCTCCATATATTCAGCTCCGACTCGCGCGAGTGTCCCTTGCAGTTACACGCTGCAGACATCAACACTCTCTTCCTCAGAGATTCCCTCCTCTCCGTCTTCTGGCACAGTTTAGAACTCTTTGGCCAGACCGGAAGAGTGAAACGTCAGTCTACATATCTCCACCAGTCCCAAAGGCTTGCTGCTGACTCTGCATCCAGGATGAATGTGCTCGGAGGTAGCTAAAGGCGAAAGGCACCAGCGTTATAGGAGCATTCAGGGGTAAGCCTTGTCTTCCATTTTCCGCTCCGCAGACCTACCCCTTGGCTAACAGGCTTCGTTTGCAAGATTCCTGCTCAGCGGGTGACAGCAGCAGCGTCATCAACATGATGTACGAGCCAGCAACAGCGCTAGCAACAGGTCGGGCGTTGGCTGGCTGATCTGGGTGCCTTTGTGGGTTGGGTCGACGGGTCCAAAGACGGGTGTCTAGTTACATCTGTTCTTTTCTTTTTTCTTTTTATTGTTTCTGTATCCTCAGCCCTGGATGTATGATTCCGTGGGCGTTTGTCACTATGCCTATTGAGTACTTTCGTGCCTCTATCCACCGCGAATCTCATGCATGTACCCGGTAGAAACGCCCAGTAGAAAGCGCCCGAATGCATCCCAGTCTATCAAAGGGCGGCCATCCTTGTTCCTGGTACTGCGGCGCATCTCTCGTAATACTTCATATTCTTCACTATCCTCTTTTGTGTCTATATATTCCGCCCTCCGTCCTGGTTTCCCCCTGCTTTTCATCTTTCCACCACTTGTGATATATATACATATATATCCCAGGGGCTTTGGTTTATATATAGACCTGCAGCTGGGCTATAACCCTGACAGAGGAGATCCAGTGCCCACACGACGTCCATTCTCACGGTACAAAACGGAGTGTCTTCGTGCAAAAGGAGGAATGCTGTCGATAGAAGGAGCATCTATCCAGGCCTAGCTATGAATTCAGCACAACTCAGGACGAGCTCGTCGGGGGTGCCAATATATGGTTAGTGAAGCTCCTTACAATCAATTCTACCCAGCCTCATCCCTTAGGCCATGGTGACATGGCCGATGTCAATATCAGAACAAGGGGATACCGGTGCAGACCCAGGTAGCTAACAACACGCAACCAATTCGCCCATCTCCGGCCTAGCATTGACATTACATTTGGAAGCAACTGCCTGACTGGCGGACTTTGTGATAAGAGGTCCCCTTGTCCCAAGAGCCTATAGCCCGAATCGTCGAGTGATGTCGTGATGGTAGGGATGAACTACCATGCAACGATGGTATATCACTTTCGAAGCTCTTCGCCTCTGAACTTGGATGTTTGACCCTCATATTCTCTAACTTCGTACTTCTGTCCTGCCCTGAATTAGGGTCTGCCCCTTCTGGTGATATATATCCAGTGCTGGTGTTTTGGAATGTCTTTTCTCGATATATAGAAACATCCCCAGTCTGCCACAATTTCGCCAGCGTTAAGCAGGCAATGGACTTGTAGATATTATCCGGAGCGTTTGTGTTATAAAAAACATGTAAACTTCTGCTGGTTAAAAGGAGGAATCGAGGGTGCTGGATGGCAACGGCTGTAAATTCGTGTAATTCTAGAGTATTCTTCTATCCTGTATCCCGCTCCCTAAACGGCATAAGCGATGATAATTTCTTTTAATCAAAGGTCACCTTTGTCCCCTTTGCTTCCACCATGGCGCCGCTCAACTTCTGCACCGTCTCATTGGAGTATCGACTGTAGTACTTTGCGGGCTTCTTGGGCTCCCTGGCCGTCTTCTGCGGCGCCCGATTCTCGCTCGCTTGCTTGGAAGCCTCGTCTCCCTCCGACTTTTCCTTGCCAAATCTCTTCTTATACCGCGTCGACGAATCTTCAGCAAACTCCATACGCAGCTGGCGACCCTGGAGCCTGTTCACCCACACTTTCTTCATACGCTGCTTCTTGGGCTTCTTCACGTTGGATCCCTCTGCTTCTTTATCTGCTTCTGCCTCTTCCTCCTCGGCGTCCTCCACCTCGTCAGCCGGGTCAGGCACCTTTATGAATCCACGGACAGCAGCCTGGCTTGACTCGGTGGACTCAAACTCCACCCACGCGTACCCTTTACACTTCCCTGAGTCTTCAAAGGTAGCGACATGGACATGGGAGACCGTTCCACAGGGGCCAAAGTGCGCTTCCAGGTCCTCCTTGGTCGTGTCAAAGGAGAGATTCCCTACGAATATCTTGGTTGAAGGTGGATTGCCAGCTGCCTTGGAGCCGTCCTCTTGGTCGGCATTCTTCTCTGGCCGTCCTTCGAAATTGGTGGCATCCTTGATCAGCACCCGTCTGCCACCGACAAGCTCCTCGCTCAGTGCCAGAGCCAGGTCGACAACCTTCTGGCTGGCGAAGTCGACGTATGCAAACCCCTTGTTCCGCTTCACGCCCTTCTGTTTCGATTCGCCTTCTGGTATGTGGATGCGTGTGATCTCGCTGTCCAGGATGCCGCTCTTGGTAGTCAGGAATGTCCGCAGCGCCTCTCTCGTCGCCGTGAAGGGCAGGTTGCCAATCCATACGCCGAATCCTGTCCTCTGCTTCTTGTTGCTGGTCTCTGCCTTGTTCTCCTCCTGCTGCTGCTCTGTGGCCTCCGTGGCAGATGCCACTGCCGCGTCACCCGGCCCGGCCTTTAGTTTCGCCTTCTTTTCCTTCCGGAGAGCTTTCTTCGAAGCCGGTTCTGGTGCGTTGAGGTCGATCTCGAGGGGAGCTTCATCCTCAGCTACATGCTTGCGCTTCCGCGGCCGCACCGGCGACGGTGACCTGCTGTCCGACATTTCTATCCAGTGCAACGGGTATATCTTCCCTCTCTATGAGCTGCTCCGCACCAAAGCAGAGGCAGACCAAAGCGAATGAGAAAGCGTCAAAAAGTTCTTCAAGACATATAAAAAATAATAATAAAAAGAAGCTTGTTGGTGAAGCTTGGCAGAAGAAAGGCGAAACTTTGCAACTTCACGCGAAAAGGAAGAAAAGCAACATCGCAGCCTTTTTTTTCTGATGAAACATCTGGAAATCTATACAAAGAACCAAGTCTTTCCTCTTCACTGTCTCTCTATTCCTGCAAAGACGGTCTCTGCGATCCCCACGAGTTTATACAGTGAGCCAATGTCGAACGATATAGAGCCTGTCGGCCTGGTCGAGACGCATACCATGCCGGACGCGGAGGACGCCTCGACGACGCCGGCAGTCAACCGGTCGTTCAAGTCGTTCAAGTATGGCCTGTTCTGCCTCGTCAAGGAGCATATATCGCCTAGTTCTAACGTTTTCTACCTCTAGGCGCAAGTACGGGAAGCAGAAGATCAAGTTTGAAGCGGTGATGAAGGAGAGCAGTACTCTCATCCGTGAGGAAATGCGAATCCACGACCTGTCGAAGCGCCTCAGGGAGCAGAATGAGTGCGTTGTCCTGGACGATTCTCCGTTCAAAAGTTGTCTTAACTATGCTAACTATCTGATAGCCAGCTTCTTGAACTGCTGCTTGAGCTGAACAGCACGGTGCACATCTCCCGGTCTCTCCGGTACGGCCTCACCAAGCCAGAAGACTGCCTGCTGTACACGAGCATGTCAGAGCAGACGGGCTCCATCCCCGTCATCGAATGCGACGCCCAGACTGCCCGTGCCAAGCTCATCGAGGCCAAACAGAAGCTCCTGGCAGGCGAGATGACAGCAGAGGAGTGCAGGGATCTCGAGCTGTCCATGCTGAAAAGCAGCACTTTTGCGCCGTCGGCCAACATCACTTCGCTCCTGAGCAAAGTGCCGCACACCCCGATCCCGTTTGCGGAGGATCCAGACAGCGATCTCGACTCCGCCCTCGGTTTCATCCACCCAGAGGACGACCTAGACTACTTGGTTCCCGGCGAACCTCATCATATTGATCTCACCAGCGCGCGTTCGGCTAGTAAACACTTACCGCCAGCCGACAAAGAGAGGGCACTCCTCATCCGCAACCCGTCATCGGTCTATAACTGGCTACGCAAGAACAAGCCGCAGGTCTTTGCCCATGATGCGGAGGGGCCTCCCGCCGGCTCCAGCTCGGCTGCCGGCGCTGCTCAGCCCGAGAAGCCTGCCGCAGCACCACGGTCGGGTTCCTCGCGCTCAAAACGGGCTTCGGCCCAGGCACAGCGAGACGAAGAGATATACGACGAAGACGGCGTGTTGGTCGACGTCGTCGAGTCCACCGCCAACGCCAGCAGTAGATCGAAGAGGAAGCGAGAAGAGGACGGCATGTACCATCCCAAGGGCGGAAACCGGGCGAGGAAGAAGAGAGACGACAAGCGCGCCAAACGACCGTCTACAGCGTCGAATGCTGCTTCATAGCAGCTCCTCATACTCCGAATATACTACCATTGCTACCACCATGTTTCTTTTGTGTTGTAATATTACTACTAATCACTATCTAGTCGTTACGAGGCATCTGCCCAGTTCTTGTATCATTACCGCTACGGGAGTTATAAATGTCATTCATACCTTAATCAACCTCCCTCTGAGCCATACGATCTACCTGATCAAACGGCTCAATTCCTTCTTGGCCGTTGATAGATTTTAGCTATCGAGAGTAAGTCCTCGTATTGTTGTTTTATATCAGATCTTCACCGACTCAGCCACACCAAGTTTTCCCCTTTTAGGAAATTCTGCGTATCTTCAGCTTTTCTTCTTTTCCAGCTTCAACTTTCGAACTTGGCTTGACTGTTACTTGTCCACGTCCGGCTTGAAGGCGCAGAGAACGAACGATGAATTCCTTAATCGGGAGATTCGTCGTTTTCCGCTCTCTGTATATATACTATGCGGGAGTAGTATATATACCTACTCTTCCCTCCTCGTCTACTATCTCGTAGACAACAACACCACTACGACTACTTCATTATCATCCTCTTCTCTCTTTAATAACGAAAGATGAAGGTCCCCAGCCAGAAAGCTCTCCTTGCCCTTCCACTGCTCGCATCGCCAGCTCAAAGCTACCCCGGAAAACACCCAAGATGCTCTGCCGGCGACGCCTGCTGGCCAAAGGAGCGTGTCTGGAGTGAATTCAACTCTACCGTCTCCGGCCGTTTGATACGCACATTCCCGTCCGCCGCAGTCTGCCATGGCGCTCAGTATGACGCAGCTGCATGTTCCGTGGCAAAGGACAGCTGGACCAATAGCTTCTGGCGGACAAACCAGACGGGAGCCTACTCTGCTATCCTCTGGGAGCTTGGAGAAACGGGACAGTGTTTCATCGATACACCCAAGGATGCCAGGTGTGATCAGGGGATTGTCCCTTACTACTCCGTCTCTGCGAGCGGTGTGGAGGATATCGAGAAAGCAGTCAGATTCGCGGACAAGCATGATCTTTACCTTGTTGTGAAGAATACGGGCCACGACCAGTGAGTGTCTCTGACCGTTTGTAACTCTTTTCCGGCTGTTGCTAACTGTTTCAAACCCAAAAAAAAAGTCTGGGTCGGTCAAGTGGGAAAGGCGCCTTTTCAATCTGGACTCACAACCTGAAGGGCAAAGAGTGGCACAAGTCTTTCAAGCCGAAGGGTGCTCCATCGAATGTTAGTGGTATCCCGGCCGTCACTCTCCAAGCCGGAGAGCAGCTGCTAGGTATGTTTATTTCATTTCTTTGACTCCTCTGAACATCACTAACTCACGATGACAGATGTCTACAAGGCGGCGGCGGCGGAAGGTGTCACTTTTGCCGGTGGTTCCGCGCAAACTGTCGGAGCTGCCGGTGGTTTCATGACCGGCGGAGGAGTCAGCCCATTTTCTCACTTCTACGGCCTTGCCGTCGACAGTAAGTGTGGTATTTGCGAGCCAATCTAAAGGAGACCGGACTAACAGGCCATCTAGACGTGCTCGAGGTTAACCTTGTTACTGCCCAAGGAGAAGCAAAGACCATCAATCAGTACACCGATCCCGATTATTTCTTTGCCCTCCGCGGCGGCGGTGGTAATGCTTGGGGTGTAAGCTCTTCTATCACATTAATAATAACCTAGACCTATGCTCACATCTACCCTGTAGGTAATTACTTCTGTGACATACAAAACGCACCCAAAGCCAACTCACATCAGTGTTGGAATCGCCCAACTCAACGTCACCACGGAAGATGCCCGGCGTGTAGTCATTGAGAAGTCCCTCCAGGCTATCCCTGACATCACCGAAGCCGGATGGGTTGGATATGGCGTCTATGCTACGGAAAAGAACAACCCCACGGCTTTCCAAGTTATCTTTCTCCAGCCCAACGCAACCATGGAGAACTTTAACAAGACCTTTGAACCCATGAACAAGATTGCGTCTTTGCCTGGCGTTCAGGGTGGTGTTGCCTCCCTTGAGTTCCCCGATTTCTTGGAATATTCGAAATATTTCCTTCGAGACCCGAATATCGCTACCAACATCATCGATGCTTCGAGGCTGGTGAACCGACAGGTTCTCACGGAGCGTGCTGGTGACATTGTCGATCTTATGTTTGAATTCCCTTCTACCGGCCCCGGCTTCAACTCGAGTAAGTTTAACCCGTGAAGGAGAAATAAGACTGTACTAATGGCCTTTTCAATGTAGTCGTCAAAGTTAATTCTGACGAGCGTGATAACACTGCCGTCCACTCCTCCTTTAAGGAGAGTCGTGCGCTCTTGAGCTTTAGCGTTGACTGGCCCGACAATGCCTCGGAAGAGGAGAAGAGAGCAGCCAAGAAGACTTCGGTAAAGGTCACTAAAAGGCTTGCTGAAATTGTTGGAAAGGATACCGGTACCTACCTCAACGAAGTAAGCCCGTAAGTTGACTCCCCCATATAACCGCTAGATATTGATCCGTATTAACATACTTTATTAGATACGAACCTGATTGGCAAAATGTCTTCTGGGGAGACAAGTATGCTCGTCTCCTCTCCACCAAAAAGCGAATTGACCCCAAGAACCTCTTTGTATGCAATCGATGCGTTGGAACTGATATCATCCTAGAGCCTTGAACCTTTATCTTAATGTACCATCCTTGAGCTTGAAAAGGAGTAGAATAGAATAGAATTAATTACTTTATTGTTACTATAAACAATGCCACACCCGCTATCTTAGCTCTTGACATTATATGTATCGGCAACAAGAACATCTCGTTGTGTAGGATAGACCTTCCGGCTATCACCAACCACCAATTCTACGCCTATTTCTCGCCTTTCCCTGTGTTCATTTGGCTGCTGAGGCATCTTGCTGCTCCGTTGTGTACATCCAGAAATTGGCTTGACTCTCTTATGCCAAGATAAGCTCATCCGGATACTGTTGGGCCTCCTGTTTACGCTCTTTACCGTGTACTATATAGTACTGGAAAATGACCAGGTCCTGGTACCACCTGCTGCTGCTCATATTTGACGGAAATCAAGTCGCCTCCGGCTTGGTAGCACCGATCTTCCAGTCATAACGCACAAACTTCCCAAACGCTCCCAACGAGGCAACAGTCATACTCACGCCAGTATATACCATCAGGTCACGCCATTTCGGCCCTGCACCATATCCGCTTATATCCCTAAGGTCTTCGTGCACGAGAGCTTCGGTGACAAAGGCAGACGTGAAGATAGCCATACCGCGCGCCGCGGTGAAGACGCCGAAGATGAGTGAGTAAATGACGAGAGACCAGAGATTGCGAGCGAAAGGCCAGATAAGCAGGCTCTCGAGGCCGCCACCCAAAGTGCTGATAATGAATGGTACATAAAGCGATGCGCGGGAATCCCTTGGAGAATTTAGTAAGCTTAGACTATATATCTTTAAGTAAGGCGTTGACTGACGCGAGCATCCCTTGTAGAGGTTGACCGATAGCCTGTGACAGATTAACCAGGCTGACAAGCAAGGCGCCCTGGGTAGGCGTCAAGCCAAAGTCGGCTCCTATCGAGGGGAGATAAACGCTTGGTCCATAGTGAGCCAGGGCCTGGATGATAGTCGCAGCGAGAAACATCAGGAACAGTGGCTTGCGGAGAAAGTCGAAATCATGTCGTGACAACGAAGGTGACGAGACCCCATCCGACCAACATGCCACCTGTGGAAACGATCGTAGCGCCTTTGAAGGGCTCATGGGTGTAAAAGTACTCCCGAAACACACCATAGCAGTAAGGAAAGCCTACGTCAAGTTAGCCGTCAAGTTTACGAACATCCTTCAAGGTAATCGTACCCCAAGCAGTAATTTCCACGATAGAAGACCGATAAGAAAGAGCCAGGCCCTGATCCCGCCATCCTGAGGGGGGTATTCCACTCTAGCACGCTCCAAAGCTGGCTCGGAATTGCAAGCTTCCTTCTCGCTGGCCTCCGAGTGTTTCATTGTTGGATCGAAGACAACAGATTGGAGCAAAGGATTTCCAGGCCAAGCTTATAACAGATGTAGGCGCTTCAGTTTAACGATACAGCTGGGCCCTCCTCCGGGATTTAAATAGGCCATAAAACGTGATATGCCGTCGGTCGTCTGTATAATAATATCTCGGACCATTGGCAAGGATCCAACAGTGTGGTCTGGGGAGAGTTAGACATGCAGCCGCCTTGGTTTTTTACGCAGGTAGGTGGTTAGCTATAGGGGAAGCGAGTGTAGACGATGGCTTCCCAGCTCACTAGCCGAATGATTGGGTATTGGTTCGCAGTGCATGCTCAGATAACATATCATGTCGTGGGATAACCAGAAAACACAGAAGTTTCTGCTGTTGAGAAATATGACCCACGTTAAGACTCCGATAGCCACCGTGGTATAGGTCTCTTGGCTATAGGTCAAGGAAGAGCCCAGCCGGTGATCTATGCTAAATGTTGTTTCCGTTGGTTGTCTAGTGATATCCAGCTTCAATAGATACCCAACGGAGACAAGCATCAAAAGCGGTTGATAACTGGTTAAGTTAAACTTCCGGATATCAGACTTTCGGGCCACGGACGGTGGAGCCTCAAACGAAAACGGGTATAGAAGATGGCTATTGGTGAGGCATGATGCCATCTATAACATCAAGGGACCGGAGCAACAGAGGAAGTGCATGTTGAGATTACGGATAAGGGCGCGCATGTTTAGATCGGCCAAGTACGGCATAAAGAGAAATGTCTGGAAAATACCATGTAATACTCCCTGCTCTGGTTTCGTTATGCCGTCTGCCACGTCTTGATATTCTAGTTGCAGAAATTCCCTTGGCCGGTATACTACTTCATATGACAAGGATCTTAACCCTTCCTGGCCTAAGCCAGACTTAGAGCTATAGCAGAGTGGTACTGAAGTGTCTTTCTTCAACTCAGCCCCTTTGATAACATCGTCATCTTTCACCCCAAGTTGACCATAAGAGCTACCTTTCGCTCTTACGTAGGGCTTGAGCCTTGGAGCGTCCACCGACACCAGGGAGAGCCGTCACGCTTGCAGCGTTGGACCGTGGGATTTGATTATAGAAGAATACATATGAATATGCTGACTTTCCGCACGCGTAATTTAATAGTAGGGGCTTGGGGTTTTCAATGGATAAAGGGAAGATCTTTTGATCAGGATGCTAAAGCTGTAGCTAGCTTTTATCGCGGGTTGGTATATATCTTCTTTCTAAATCCTTAAAGTATTCCTTTTTAATTTTATCAATAAATAGGTTCTTCTACTTATTATGGCTTCTTATCTAGTTGCCGATCTATATTTACAAAGTTCCGAAAGCTTTCAACTTCTCATCAACTCTTACGCATATACACATGTAGCTAAGCCTGTAGCTATGTAAGTATTCACACATCATGCTATGCATGAAGGCCTGTTTATATCCCGCTGTTTGCTATCCTGCATAGCACTTGCATACCCTTTGTTGCCTGGGCCATGTGTGAAAGTTCTGGAAAGGAGGCAAACGCCCTCTCTTGCTGCAGATAACTGCGGGATACTATGGCATACTCCGAATTGCAAGACTTATAAGCAGTCTGATACCCTGACTACTCCTTGAATCCCATCTGCATCTTCTAGCATTGGAGCTGTTCAGCCATCCTGAGCCTACCAAATCTACACTCAAACTCCAGGAAACATGGGTTCCTCAAGTGACTTGGTAAGTCGTCCCAATATCTTATACACTGATATGCCCCTTTACTAAAAGGCCCCTTAGAAGGATGAAGAGGGAACAATCGAGCATTGGGTAGAGCCAAATGAAACTGCCCCATCGACTGAGGCTACCGTGACGAATGACTCCATGGCAGGCCTTCAGAGTATCGAACAGAGAGACCTAATGAACTTAGTCGACCGTCTCCGTCGTGCAGGACTAAGTTCGGTACTCCAATTGCCCCAGATTGTGGTCTGTGGTGATCAGTCTTCCGGCAAAAGTTCCGTGCTTGAAGCCATAACAGAGATTCCGTTCCCACGAAAGGAGAATCTCTGTACCCGCTTTGCGACTGAGATTATCATGAGACGAGATGCAGAATCTGCCATTCACTGCAAGATTAACCCTGATAACAGTCGTGATGAAGAAGAACAATCGGGTCTTCGCAAGTTCTCAAAGTCAATCCAAAATTTTACAGAGCTGCCTTCCATTATAGATGACGCTACTGCTGCTATGGGTTTGAACGAGAAAACAGCATTTTCAAGAGATGTGCTGAGCGTTGAGATTTGTGGACCTGATCTTCCTCAGCTGTGAGTTCTACCCTCTAGAAAACGGTTGTTTCTACCGGGTACTTTATCTAACACACTGTTTGATGATTTAGCACTTTAGTGGATCTTCCGGGACTCATACATTCTGCCAACAAGTCACAGTCAGATGAGGACGTTGACCTCATCAAGTCTCTAGTCGAGGGTTACATCTCCCAGGAACGAACCATCATCCTCGCTGTCATTTCCGCCAAAAACGACTATGCCAACCAGGTTATACTTAAAAATTGTCGGAAATTTGACCCTAAAGGCGCACGCACCCTTGGTGTCGTTACGAAACCTGATTACCTACGCCCTGGCTCTGAAAATGAAGGCGCATGGCTCGACTTGGTGAGAAACCGAGACATTTATTTTGAACTTGGATGGCACTTGTTGAAAAACCGCAGTGATGACGAGCATCAATTGTCATTTGCCGAGCGTAACAGTAAAGAGCGTGCCTTTTTCAATGCCGGAAGATACGGGGATCTTCCTCAGAGTGTTAAAGGTATCGACTCCCTCCGCCAACGCCTGAGTGAGCTTCTATTCCACCACTTAAAACGGGAACTCCCAATCCTTAAGGGGGAACTTGACAAGATGGCGAGCACCGTTCGACTCGAGCTCCAGCCGCTCGGTAAGAGCCGTGCCACGCTCTCTGATCAACGAGCATACTTGGCAGACTTTTTTGGGTCTGCTTACGAGCTGGTTGTTATGGGGTTAAGTGGAAACTACGAGGGCAGTTTCTTTGGTGCGGTCAATATCAACGCATCTATTGACGGGAAAGAAAATTCTCGTCGGCTCAGAGCTGTGGTTCAACACTTGAATGTTCGGTTTGCGGAACAAATGAATCGACTAGGCCATAAATACCATGTGGAAGAGCCCAACGAGGATTCTGATGAAGCGCCTGAGCATGAATCCGATGATCAAACGTCAGATGACGGATCAGCATCAAACGGGATGCAAAAGTTGTCTCGTAAAGCGGCTGTCAGACGAGTAGTTCACATTCTGGAACGCAGCCGAGGGCGTGAAATCTCAGGAACATTCAATCCAATGTTAACAAGTCACTTGTTTTGGGAACAATCCGAAGGCTGGCAGGCCATAGCCCAAGAACACATCGATAGAGTTGCCGCTATATGCAGAGCTTTCTTACTCCAAGTTTTGGAGCATAGTGCCACATCGGAGTTGAGAGCTCGAATTCTGAGCATGACAGTTACTCCTGCTCTGAAAACTGCCAAAGAGGCTGCCTTTAAGGAGATTGAGTCAATAGAAGAAGATAGAAAGAGGCACCCGATTACATACAACCACTATTTCACGGATACCCTGCAGAAAATTCAGGGGCGACGGTCAGTATCTGACTTGACAAAACTAGCTGAGGAATCGACGGTAACTGTTAGTGAAAAGACGTTTGTTGGTGGGGCTGGGTATACAAACAAGAATTACATCGAACCTGCGACATTTCGAGCCAAACTTGCCAATGCCGTGGAGGAGGATATGGACAGGTTTTCTGCTGAACAAGCCCTCGATACGCTTGATGCATATTACAAGGCACGTACACAGATATCCCCGCTCTATGAAATACCTAACATCTCTCTATAGACGGAGCGGAAATATTTTATCGATGTGATTGCCAAACAAGTTGTTGAGCGTCACTTGGTTGCACCCCTTATCGATGTTTTTGCACCAAGAGTCCTGGCTCGTTACAGCGACAAACAAATCAAATTCCTTGCCTCCGAGACTCCTGAGACGGTACGACTTCGAGAGCACTTAGAGAACAGAAGCAAGATTTTGAATGAAGGTCAGGAAGCCTTTTACATAGCGATGGGGCAGGGGGAGTAAGTCGCATACTTTGGTGACTGGCTACAGAGTGCCACGGAAGACCTAGGACATGATAATCGAAGCGGAAACAAAGGGCCAGGAGGAGAATAGAATAGCTAGCAAGTTGACCAGGTAATAGACGAGAATACTCAATAGAATGAACGCATTTCACTCATGGCATATCCTCAAGATCGTGCAAGCTGTGTGTAGTCACAAGAGGCCTATGGCTCTTGAAGGCCGTAAATAGTATACGGACTATATTATAGCCACGGAGAAGCAACAACGCAGGTGAACGAAATAATAAACTGCGTAGTTTTCCTGATAAACAATTTTGACGTTGAAATAAAAAAAGTAGCTATTTTATGCCAAGAATTGAGGTTTTCCCACCAAAAGTTCTTTTATCGCAAACTTCCAGATGTTTATTGCAACTCGACATATCCAGCTTCACCTTTTTATATGCCTGGCAGACCAAGCATATCCTTTAACAGTTGGATCTCAGCTTGCTAGTATCTAGAAAATGGCGATCACAATCCTACCACCGACGTTCGACGACTATCGAAATGCGTCCGAAGATGAACTTCAAGACTCGGATGAAGAGATGGACATGGGTGATAATAGGAGACCAGCAAAGAGGGCCCGTCTATCCCGCATAAAAGATACAATTGTCACCCCTGGAGAAATAATCACAGATGACCCGCAATGGATGAGGTAGGCGAGCTCTTGCACCGTCTCCATGTGGACAGGAACTAATAAATCACCTGCAGAGGCCACGGAACTTTCACACCTGCAGCACCAGCAACAACTAATATAATAGCTACTGTAGCCGGCACAGTTCTAAAGACGAATAAGCTCCTCTCAGTCTACCCTCTACGTGCGCGCTATACCCCTGAAATTGGTGATTTAGTCGTGGGCCGAATAGTAGAAGTCCAGTCGAAGCGATGGAAGGTTGATGTATCTGCCCCATTACTGGCTCAGCTACCTCTTTCTGCCATCAACTTACCGGGTGGGATCCTACGTAAGCGTACGGCTGCGGACGAGCTGCAGATTCGCTCTTTTTTCAACGAAGGTGATCTGGTGGTAGCAGAAGTACAGAGCGTGCATGGAGATGGTGCCGCCTCGCTACATACAAGATCATTAAAGTATGGGAAACTACGGAATGGCTTGTTTTTGGCGGTTAGTGGTATGGGGGGTGGGAGTGGGACTGTCAGAGGTACGGGTGTAGTGAGGTCGAGGAGACAGGTATGGACTATCGAAACGGCGTATGGCGGACCAATCGACGTTATTCTCGGGGTGAATGGATATATCTGGATTTCCAAGCATATCCGTGATCCCTCACAAGAAGACGGGAGCAACCCGAGGTCGAAGCAGGTGTCGTTCACCCGGCTGGAGGATATGGTCAACGCATCGATGTATTCGAGTCAAAATGACCGTATATCACTTGCTACAAGGAAGGAAATTACAAGAGTAGCTGGATGTATCCGTGTGCTGGTCGAAGGAGGAGTCAAAGTCGACCAAGATACCGTTATGAAGGCATATGAAGCCAGCTTGGTCCTGGATGACGAGGAGGAGGACAGCGACATGGAGGGAGATGACGGCCAAACAAAGACTCGTAGGGAGGGTCGATATTACCTGGGCGGCGAGAAGGCAAGTAGACTTATAGCTACTGTTCTGAGCCGATAGTCTACTATAAATTTCAATAACCAAGCCAAAAAGCACACTCAACTTGAATCGAAGTCTAAAGCTCTAATTACCTTAAAACGGTGGATGTCTGGATATCGAATGGTATCTAAAGGTGTATAAGCAGCCCAAGTAGAGAACCAACTGATGATACAGTGTAGAAAAGGCAGAGCAAGAAAGCCCAAAATAAACCCGCCCAAAGACTGCGTCCTCTATCCTTTCTCATCTATCTATTATAATTGGAAAATAGGGGTGATACCCGTCCACTCGCCCTTTGCCCTCTCTTCCCAGTATCCGTCTTTGCCTGTGCGGAGCTTCCAAATGTCATCGCCGTCCTCTGAGCCTTCAACCTCGACGCGCGTGAACCATCGAGGCCGCCATGTCTCGTCCCTTTGTTCCATCTCTTTTCTGCGCTGGCGTTGAGCGTCTTCCAGCCGCGCCTTTAGGTCCTCTGCTTCGTCAACATCGCCTTCTTCCAAGGCACGTTGGTCAGGCCGAAGCCGGCTATCTGTCTGCGGCAGCTTTCGTTGTTCAACAGCAGTGATTTCGTTCAGACATACTGCGAATTCGGTAAAGCCATAGTGTTTCTGCGGCTTATCGACAAGAGATCCGGCGGCCCATATGGTCTTGTTCGTCAGGCTGCCGTGTTCTGTCAGTTGGAGGGATGATGTCCAGTTCCCTTGCAGGCCAAGGGGTAGTTCTTCGCCGTGCGTGTCATAAGCCTTTACTGTCACTTCTTCACTGCGGCCCGAGAACATGCCACCGACCTTGAAAGCAGCAATTGTCTTTTGACCGGTTGTCTCATTGAGCACGCACATCTCGCCGACAGGTTCAACGTACTTCTCACCGGCAATGATGTTACGGAGAAACTGAGTGCCCGCAGACCAGCTGAAATGTTCGCCGCTCGAGTGGAGTGTTAGCCGGGACTTGCCCTCTGTGATGATTTCAACGGATTTGCCCCAGAATTTCTGTGTAGGCTTGGGAGATTGAATAAAACTCCAGTCACGGGAGTCTGCCTGCACTGCTAGCTGAACTGGTCTATGGGAGACCTTTTCAGCCAGGAAACGGAATCCTCTTTCTGGGAGGACGAGCTCGTAGGTCTCGCCTAACATAGGGTTGAAAGGTTTGCGAATTGTTCGTTCTTTGATACGTGAATTTGAAAATGGAGACAAGGCGAAGGCAGTGACGTATATCAAGCGTTCCAGCGCGTCAGTAGCGTTGGCTGCCTTGTCAAGGAGTTGAGAATACTCAAACTGCTCTGCTGCGCGCTGGAGTAGGGAAATGGGCTCGTTTGCTGACACGGGCATTGAAATGGTAGACAGGTCCTTGCCGACATTTTTGCGCATGAAGCTGATCAAACTTGGGGGCAGGCCGATTGGCGGTTCGATCTTGGACCTACGGCGCGGTGCTTCCATCGGTAAAGGTATGAGAGATCGTGCCTTCACGGGGAACAAAGTCGACGAGCAATCGAGCTTGAAGTCACCTCGTAGGAACTCGTCCCTGTCGTCCGCATCGCTGCCGGAAGACGAAGCAGCGTCGTCGTCAACGGCTGTTACGACGCTCTTTGAGTCTTCCTCGCCGCTGTCACGGTGGATCGTCAGTAAGGGGGAGATGTTCCCTCCGTCTGTGGCATCGAAAAACTCCTCCGAGTCAGAATCAGGAGTTGCAGCCGAATGAGCGGATCGTATTGCCAATGGGGTTCTCGAGCGGGCCCTGTCGTTTATTAAGGTATTGAATTCCGATAGGACTGAGTTTAGGTCGCGGAGTAGGGCCATCAAGTCTTCATGGACACCGGGGCCTGTAGTAGTTTTGAACGAACTGCTGTCAAAATAGGAGTTCTCACTGCTGAGTGGAGGCGTTTGCTGGGGCCCTAGAGGGGATAGAGCAGGTCGCTGGGCTGGAGTATTGCTGCCACTATCGCCTTTACCCTTGAGCTTCCAGAAGGACCGTTTCTCTTTGCTCTCTTTACTTTCAGCAGCCTCTCCGGGTTGAGAGACGCGGCGCACACCGTTTGTTGAACTTTGGGCGCCCTCCTGGTCTGGGGTGAGCATGAGATACTTTGGATCTGTGTCCTTGGCCAGCTGGCGTACTTTGTCCCTCGAAGCAGATACCGACTCAACCAACCGCTCGATGGTCTTCCAGTCCTGGGACCTGGGTTTATTCTGGCTGTGTCGCCTGGTAATCAAGGTAGGCACCTTAAGTTTGTTATCATCCTGGTCCTCATTATCCTGCTGTTTCGACGCCTTCTCCAGGGCATCCTTCCAGAGGTAAAATTCATTGTTATTTAAAGCACGGAGATGCCATATTTCCACCCCAGAGTCAATTGAGATTTCCCTAGTGCTGTCGTTTGTAGCAATAGCAGCCAGAGACAAGGGGATGGCACCTCTCAGAGCAGAAGAGTTGCGATCGTGATAGTATGACAGAGTTGACGAGTTGAAGTCTAAGGAGAAGAACCGCCTGGCATAGCCCTGGTGCCGCTTACGACGTCTTTTCTGCAGTATGCCCGTGTGTACGGACGGCGCAATGCTGGTGGACGAGTCAGCGGTGGGAGGGGGTCCGTTCGAGCTGCCTGCGCCCACGGCACCGAACCCAGGTCTGCCCCGCTGCTGAATCCGGGCCTTCGACTCGGCTTCGGTCTCGGTCGCGCTGAGCTTGGGGCTTGGACGCGACGGTGCCTGTGATCCGATCGAGCCTGCTACGGCCTGGGTGTGATGCACCTGATGCCCAGACCGTGGCGGGCAGCTGGTAGGATAGGTGAGCAGCACGAACGTGACCGTCTTGGATATCTGTTTGGAGAACGTATTATCGAAAACAAGAGCGTAGTTCCCTCCCTCGTTGGAGCCCACATTGTACGTCCCCTGGGATATCTTATCGGCCTCACATTTCCCTATCCACTCGATCGGTTTCAGGCCCACGCCCTTGAGCTTCTCGGTGATCAGGAGGGAGGGATCGGTGGGTTTGGCGGGGATGTTTTCCTTCGTCAGGTCGTTGACCTCGCTGCCGGTGTGAGAGTATGTCGATGCGGCGCTGTTGACGGCCAGCCCCGACGCGCCGGGATGCTTGAAGATGCCGAAATTGAGCGACTTCTTATGTGGCTGGATGCTCCACGATATGGTATGCTCGGAGCTCACGTTGATCCAACGCACGAGATATGACTGAGACAGAGCAGCTGTTAGTCTCTATGAATACACGGGGTAAGAGGGGCCATCAGGACTATATATATATATCTCCATAGTGAACCGTCTAGGGCTTCCCCTGTTCTGGATGCGGGCAAATGGTTTCCTATTCACCTTGCTGTGTATTTCCAATTCCTCCATTCCCGCCATTTTCGCAAACGAATAGCTGGTGTACGATGGCGATATCGATTCTGGTCTCGGATCTCGTTCTTCTGCACGGGTCTAGCAAGGACGACAAGCCCGCTGCAGACTATCCGACCATCCCGGTCGCTGAAATGGACAGGTAAGCAGTTCGAGTTATATATACGTATCGGCCAGGATATGCGACTCGGACCGGGGTTTCAGCAGCGCCTTCGACCGAGATCTCACGTTGGGCGACAGGAAGTTATATAAGAGAATAGGCTGCGGTCAGGAATACTTCGTATATATCGAGGTTGTTTTTCCTTTTTGTATCTTCGACTTTCTTGTTTTTTTTGATCTTTTGTCGAAGTTGTATCTTTTGATCGACACGGAATATTTCCTTTTTTGGATGCTCTCAGCATGCACAGACCACTTGACCTTTAAGTGGGTACTCGATGACTAATCAAAGCTAAAATCCACGTCCTTGATATCACGTGACGAAGTTATTGGCTGGAGGAAGAAAAAAAAGGAGGAAGAAAGACGGATTTTCATTTAATTCAGTAGAAAAGCAGGAGAAGAAAAGAAGACGTAAAGTCAGACCCAGCCGGTTGCCTCTCCCTCGCTATAACTCCAACCCACGCATGTACAAAAAAGAGAGAGACTGGAAGGAAGCAATCTTGGAAGACAGGAAGTAAAGAAAGCTGATGGTGATACAGGTTCGGTATTAAACGTGATGTTGTGGTGCCAGGACCGGTGATGGCCAGGTCAGATCTCAATGTCGATGCCCAGGTCCAAGGCGGCGATGTTGTCCTCGTCCGTAGGCCGGTGACGGATGACGGGGACGCCCTTGTAGACCTTTGGCGTCGAGGGCTTGGACGGGGTCGTGCTGCGTGGAGTCGTGCCGTTGGTGGGCGTGCTGGCGGCGCCGTCGACGTTGATGCTCGTCGGGGTGAGGGCGCGGCTGCGGTCCGCGACGACGGCCTCGGGTTTGACGGGGACGAGATGGCCGTCCGTGGACTCGTAGTACGTCCTGGCTCTGGTCTTGACACGTGCAAAGCGATCGGCCACGGCTTCTCCCCGGGCAACGGCGACGGCGGCCATCTTGGCTGCCTTGCGCTCGGCCAGCTGGGCCTTGCGCACATTCTCGGTGTTGAGCTTCTGATTGCGCAGGTTGAGCTCGGCGAGCCGTTCCTGCTGCGATTTCTCGCTGGAGCGGGGCTTGGTCAGGCTGGTGCCAAAGGCGAGTTTGGGGCCGGTGAGGCGGGCGAGCTCAGCGTCGCATTCGGCGATCGCGGCTTCGTCCTTGTTGGCGATGGCCTCGTTGCGGCGGCGCTCCAGCTGGATGCGGCTGAAGATAAGCTGCTTGTTGTCGTTCGTGCCCTGGCGACGGAGCTTCTCTTCGAGCTCTTCTTTGGTGAACTGGTGGTTGAGCAGACGGTTGATGTCTGCCACCTTGTTCGAGACCATGGACTTTGTAGGCATCTTGCAGTCTTCGACTATCATGGTCTGGCGGTAGCGGTTGAACTCACCCTATGTACGTCAGTTCTGGGCCTTTTTTAATAAAATAAAATAAAAATAAACCTACTTCGGTAAAAGGAGAGTCGGAGCAGGCGATGAAGGGAAAGTCCTTCTCGGCCTTGCCATGTGCCAGACGACAGTACTGCGTTGTGATGAAGTTGCGCCCGTTGGGCCCTTCGATGGCATACGGACGGCCTTCGGTGAACCCTACGCTCAGTTAGTATATATGGGCTAGCATAGAGTGGCTCGTGGCGGTGCTCACTCTTGATAAGGCCGATCCTATACTCTGGCTTGCCGGTCGACGGATTGGGCCCCAGGCTGACTCTGGCGTAGCAGTTGTTGATGGCCCGATCGAAGCCGGGATAGAAGCAGACCTGCGCAAAGTTGCTGCGTCCGACTCTCGCGCGCTGGAAATCGGCCAGTTCGGCTGGCGGATCGTACTGGGGAGGCGAGCGTCTGGTGCCTTCGTCCCACTCGACCTCACTCTCGCCGCTGGCGTCTCGGTCGTCTGTCTCCCGTGCAGGCGAGCTCCCGGTGTTGTTGTTGTTGTTCTTTCGTGACGATGCGTCCCGACGGCGCTGCTCGTCTCGTTTCCCCTTTTGCTCTCTCTGGCGCTTGTAGGCCTCGATGGCGTCCGATGGCTCGCCCACCTTGCGCCCGCCGAGCACGGTCTTCTTGCGCGAGCTCTTGCGCTGGCTGTCCTCCAAGTCTGTCGAGCTGGCCTTGCGCTTCTTCTTAGCCGCGGCACGGGCTTCCTCTCGCTCTCTGTTGGCGAGCAGACGACGCAGCGCGATATCCTGGTTGTGGCGGTCGACCTGCTGCGCTCGTTCGGAGAGCAGCTCCTCTCGCTGGATTTCGGGCAGGGCCATGATTTCGCTCTTGTCTTTGGCGGAGTAGAAGAGCTTCTCGTAGGGGAAGATGGGGCCCTGGTTTTCCTCCGGGGGAGGTGAGGTATCCGACTCTGACTCGGACATGGATGCAGACCGCAGAGAGCGGCGAGACTGAACGCTGGACGAGGAGCTGGTACACGTCAGTCAACGGTTGGAAGTGATAATATTTTTCGTTCTTGCGGGTGGCTGGGTCTGAGGGGCTTCTGACAGAGGGACACAGTCGACAATGAAGTGGAAGCAAAAAAAAAAAAAAGGCAGGACAGTAAAGCTGTCATGCAGAGCAGAAAAAGTGAGAGTGACTTACAGCTCGCCCTCTTCCTCTTCATCGTCGTAGGCTCTGGCTCTCTTGCGCTGGCGCTTGACGGGCCTAGCTATCCCCTTGCGACCCATCTCGCCGTCGTTGTCCTGGTCTTTGGAAGCGGGACTGCCGGACGCCTGGCGCTCCCTGTCTTTATCTTTGTCCCTCTGCTGCGAGATGGCGGGAGATTCCTCGTCTGAAGAATCATCGCCTCCCGCCAGCGCGAGAAGCTCAGCGTCCAGGTCAGCCATGGAGAAGGCGCGAGGAGTGTCTTTTGGTTCGTTTTTCTTCCTTCTAACGAGGCGCGGAAGGCTTGACGTAGGCGGAAGAAGTCGAAGAAGCCAGAAGACGCCGTCTATAAGACCGTTAGCTGGCGCAGAGACGGGGATATCAGCTTGCTCTGTCGATGGTGCTGGATGAAGGTGAAGATGAGCAGTGAGTCTGGCGGGCGAGCTCTGGGATGGAAACAGCTGGATCAGTCGGATATCACGGTTGTATCTGCTCTTCTCTTCTATCTTCTGTCTTCTTCTTCTTCTTCTTCTCTTCTCTGCTTCTTTATGTCTTCATCTTCGTCTTCTTCATCTTTTCTTCGCCACGAAAGAAGTTGAAGTCGAACTGATCACGTGAGTCGCTTTTCTTTTTCTTCAACTCAAGAAGAAGAAACAAACAAGACATCGAGATATTGAAGAGAGGAAGAGGAAGAAGAGAAGAAGAGGAAGAAGAGGAAGAAGAAGAAGATGGCGGGAATGATTCCTCGGATGCGCCAGTCTGTGTGCAGAAGATGCCTCGCTCAGGCTGCGGTGCGGTCATCATACCAACGACGATACAGCTCTACATCGACAGAAGACAGAGCGAGAGACGGCGAGAAGGAGGAGAAGAAGATGATGAGACTGTCTGAATCTCAAAAGGCATACCTCAGCGGCGCTCTCCGGGTCAACCACGCCGGCGAGCTGGCGGCGACGCTCATCTACGCCGCGCAGAGCCCGCCCGTCACCCGCTCGCACCCTCACCTTCGCCCGCTGATGAAACACATGTACGACCAGGAAGCCGGCCACTTTTCCGTCTTCCAGGAGATGCTGGCCTCCCACCGCGTGCGGCCCACGGCGATGTACCCCGTCTGGCAGGCCGCAGCCAGCTTTCTCGGCTGGTCGACGGGCGTGATGGGGCGGGAGGCCGCCATGGCGTGCACCGAGGCCGTCGAGACCGAGATAGGAACGCACTACAACGACCAGATACGGGTGATTGTAGGGTGGATGGAGGATGCAGAGGCCCGGGGGGAGGCCGTGCCGGACGAGCTGCGGCGTCTGGTGCAGACCCTGAAGCGGATCAGGGACGAGGAGCTGGAGCATCTCGACCACGCGGTCGAGAACGACGCAAAGGAAGCCAGGCCGTACGAGCCGCTGATAGGAGTCGTCAGGCTGGGCTGCCGGGCCGCCATTCAGATTTCACAGCGGGTGTAGCCTAAACACTTGACATAAACTTGACACTGATAGATATACTAAGAACTGTATAATATAATGATCTACTTCTGCTCCAGATAGTCTATAAAGCCGTTGGACAGCCTGGTGACCATCTCGTAGACACGGTCGAAGCCGTCTCTGCCCCCGTAGTAAGGATCAGGCACCTCCTCGCTCTCCGTGGCTGCGTCTGCGCCAAAGTCCCCAAACATCCTCACCTCGGCGAGCTTCTCGCCCTTGGCCCTGCTGCGGGTGGAGAGCAGGGAGTCGAGGTTCTCCCTGTCCATGGCAATGATGTAGTCGAACTCCGTAAAGTCTGACGTCCGGACCCGTCGAGCAGCGTGCGTATAGTCCGTGATGCCGTGTTTCTTCAGCGTCGACATCGTCCGCGGGTCTGGGGGGTCGTCGAGGTGCGCGGCGCAGGTCCCAGCAGAGTCCAGCCTCGAGAACGAGACGGTCGACCTCTTGCTGGCGATGTGTCTGAACACGGCCTCAGCCATGGGCGAGCGGCCTGTCTTGTCAGCTCCATCCATATGTCTGCGGCATGTTGATATCACGTACAGATGTTGCCCAGGCAGACGAACAGCACTGAAACCGTCATCTCTCTCTCTATATATATAATATATATATGTGTGTGTTCCTCTCTCTCTCTGTGTCTTCTGTCTTCTGCGTCTATAGAACATCAGCATAGAACATCAGCATACACCAGCTCAACTCCCCTCACTTACTATATGCCTGTCAGTAATATTATTAGATCCTGCGCCACAGCGGCTGTCGCGTTGCTTGGTCGACCTAAACTTGGCGCAGTCGAAGATGAAGACGAAACAACCAACAGCGACGGCGAGATAGACGAAAAGCGCAAGCCTCGCTCGCTTCGTCCGTCGTTAGCTATACCTGTTAACGTATATAACAACTGGCGACCGCTGTTCTTCCTCTGCCGTCGACAGTTGCAGCTTTACCGGTCGAAAAGATGGCCTACAACCGGCTTCATGGTGAGCTTCTCCTCCATACAAGGGCCTGTGACAGGCGACGTCGCAAGCTGTTTGCGCAACCCCCAGCTTTCTCCTCCTCCTCCTCTATATAAAGGCATCGTGATGTCGTCGTCTTCATCTTCTGACATGAACAGAGCCCGAGCAAGAGCCTCTCTCGCCCACGATGAATCCTCGCCAGCCAGCGTCGCCGTCGAGACTCCATGGATACCAGCTCGAAGACAACCCGTTTCACCAGCCGGTCCAGCAGCCCATGACATACCTGGAGATGCCCTCTGCAGATAGGCTGCAGTTTCAGCCTACAGTAAGACCGTTATCTGTCATATACATACATAGTGTGCGTTGTACTGACATGCCATAGTACTCCGTCGAGAACATACAGAACTCGTACGGCCACAACGAGGCCTACGAGCAGCAGCAACACCCGTACGGACACGCTGCCAGGCCCAGTGGAGGAGGAGGAGGAGGAGGAGGAGGAGGAGGAGGAGGAGGAGGAGGAGGAGGAGGAGGCCCCCTGGTCCTCTCGCCAGAAGCCCACCATGATTCCTACTACACGGCTCCCTACGAGCCCACGGTGACGCCGTCGGACGACTACGACCGGCCTCACGCTGGCTATCCTCCCCGGCCGTACGACGACCACGCTCCCATCCTGCACCATGAGCCCTCGTACACCCCCAGCAACTACGACCTCTCCCACACGCCCCATCCGGCCGCAGACATGGACGGGTACGCGGACGAACCCAACATGGCCGCTCCCACGCCCAGCCCGGCCCCCATCAGACGGTGGAAGACCGTCCGGGAGGTGCCCCTGTTCGACGGCAACCTCGTCCTCGACTGCCCCATCCCCCCCAAGCTGCTCAGCCAGGTGAACCACGCGGAGCCGCCCGAACGAGACGAGTTCACCCACATGCGGTACTCCGCTGCCACCTGCGACCCGGCAGACTTCTACCATGAACGCTTCACCCTGCGGCAGCGGCTCTTCGCCAAACCAAGGCACACGGAGCTGTTTATCGTCGTCACCATGTACAACGAAGACGAGTTCCTCTTCGCCCGCACCATGGCCGGCATCTTCAAGAACATCGAGTACATGTGCTCGCGCACCAGCAGCAAGACCTGGGGCAAGGAGGCCTGGAAGAAGATCGTCGTCTGCATCGTCTCCGACGGCCGTGCAAAAATCAATCCGCGCACGAGAGCCGTGCTGGCCGGGCTGGGGGTCTACCAGGACGGCATTGCCAAACAGCAGGTCAACGGCAAGGACGTCACCGCCCACATCTACGAGTACACCACCCAGATCGGCATGGAGGTCAAGGGCACCCAGGTCATCCTCAAGCCTCGGCCGGGCATGCCCGTCCAGCTCCTCTTCTGCCTCAAGGAGAAGAACCAGAAGAAGATCAACTCGCACCGGTGGTTCTTCCAGGCCTTCGGCCGCATCCTCGACCCAAACATCTGCGTCCTCCTCGACGCCGGGACAAAGCCGGGGAAGCAGAGCATATACCAGCTCTGGCGTGCCTTCGACCTCGAGCCCATGTGCGGCGGTGCCTGCGGCGAGATCAAGGTCATGCTCTCGCACGGCAAGAAACTGCTAAACCCACTCGTCGCCGGGCAGAACTTTGAGTACAAAATGTCCAACATCCTCGATAAACCGCTCGAGTCCGCCTTTGGCTTCATCTCCGTCCTGCCGGGAGCCTTCTCGGCATACCGCTACGTCGCCCTGCAGAACGACAAGAACGGCCAGGGGCCCCTGGAGAAGTATTTCGCCGGCGAGAAGATGCATGGCGCTAATGCAGGCGTCTTTACCGCGAACATGTACCTGGCCGAGGACAGAATCCTCTGCTTCGAGCTCGTCACCAAGCGCAACTGCAAATGGATCCTGCAGTACGTCAAGAGTGCCACCGGCGAGACGGACGTGCCCGATCGTATGCCGGAGTTTATCCTCCAGAGAAGACGCTGGCTCAACGGCAGTTTCTTCGCGGCCGTCTACGCCATTCTGCACTTCTACCAGGTCGGCAGGAGTAATCACTCCTTTACACGGAAGCTCATGCTCATAATCGAGTTTATATACCAGACAATCAACCTCCTGTTCGCCTGGTTTGCCATCGTATGTTCTATCACCTTTATCCGAAGTACAAGAACAATTGCTAACAGCTACAGGGTAACTTCTTCCTGGTCTTCCGCATCCTCACTGCTTCACTGGGTACGCAGGATCTCCTGGGGAAAGCAGGCAACATCCTCGGTGTCATCTTCGAATGGCTCTACCTCGCCACGCTGGTGACATGCTTCGTCCTGGCGCTCGGCAACAGGCCGCAGGGCTCTAACAAGTTCTACATGACCATGGTCGGCTTCTGGTGCACGATTATGATATACCTTACCTTCGCCGCCGTCTTCGTCACCGTCAAATCGATCCAGAACGAAGCTCGCGACGGACACTTTACGTTCGCCACGCTCTTCCAGAACCTGCAGTTCTTCTCCATCTTCGTCTCCCTGCTGACTACCTATGTCTTTTGGTTCCTGGCCTCCATCCTCTTCTTTGACCCATGGCATATGTTCACCTGCGTTAGTCCCCTGCCCCCCTTTCCTTGCTTCTAATTAAGTCACTAACTTGAATAGTTCCTGCAATACCTCCTTCTCACACCCACATACATCAACGTCCTCAACATCTATGCCTTCTGCAACACCCACGACATCACCTGGGGCACCAAGGGAGACGATAAGCCGGAAAAATTGCCCTCAGCTAATCTCAAACCAAGCGGAAAGGTCGACGTCGAAATCCCCCAGGACGACGGCGACCTCAACGCCCAGTATGAAGCCGAGCTCGCCAAGTTCGCCACCAAGCCGCCCAAGGAGACCCGTGTCGTCTCTGAGTCTGAGAAACAGGAAGACTACTACAAGGGTTTCCGAAGTGCCGTCGTGCTCGCTTGGATCTTCTGCAACTTTGCTCTCGGCGCCGTCGTACTGAGTGCCGCCGGGTTGGAGAGGGTAGGTCCCAACAACAAAGATAATTCCCAGAAGAGAAGCATCATCTACATGGCCGTCGTGCTGTGGAGTGTCGCCGGCCTGTCCTTGTTCAGGTTCGTCGGTGCAATGTGGTTTTTGGTCGTTAGAATGGTATGTCTCGACTTTCTTTCTCGATATCATCAGTGCAAATGCTAACTACATCTAATAGTTCCGTGGAGTATAGACTATCTCCTTTATGTTTCCCCTTGCCTTTTTTTTTCCCTTTGTATATTTCCCTTCTCCCCTTTAAATATGTATGCCCAGATGTGATTCATGGCTTCATGTACTCGATACCCATACCTCATGATATCCATATGAGACGTAATTATGCATTTATTTCCTCCTCCCCACGCCCTGTTGTTTCATTCTCCTTTCTTCGCGGGAACGCATGTATATGTGTATGGTGGCTAGAAGGTCCTTTTTGTTTCATCTCGCGTTGCTAGGGTCTGCATTACGGTGACTTAATGAGCATAGAAGCATAGATTCATCCTCCTCGTGCTGACGTTCGTACAACTGTAACGGTTCACCAGCTTTATATATTTATTTAACAGTGTATGTGGTAGAAGCAGTTTGTCTATGCGAAGAGGTAAGAGCGTGTGAGGCTCAGGGGAAGTTCGTATGTTCACACGCGACCAAAACATTCTACAGGATACAACATCTTCACACACGGTTGGATGACTTGATACCGAAGATGCTAGCTTTGCTTCGTCGGTGTCTACTCATCTCATGGTTGGCTAGTCTTGTTTCCACGGCTTTGGCGGAGGGTAAGTCATTCCACAGCAGAAGTGATGTATGTCTGACTATCGAATGCGTAGAAGGCAATGAGAGCCCATCGGAATTGCAAATCAATCACTATGCCGCTCTAGGAGACTCGTACGCTGCTGGCGTGGGCGCAGGCCCCCAGGTTGACGACGGCTGCTGGTTATTCGCCGACGGCTACCCAGGCCTGTTGAACCGCAGTAACTTGCTTCCAGGAGATCATGGATTCCAGCTCCTCGCCTGCTCAGGAGTCAGGATGCTCGATCGTGACACATATCTTAACCGCGCCGAGAGGAAGAAACATAAGTCAGTCAGTGAATATATCGACAGGGTCGAGAACGCGAGCGTTGCAACGCTATCAATTGGAGGAAACGACGTGGGCTTCTTCAACCTCCTCAATGCCTGTATATATAACTTCTACGGCCCATTCTCTGGTTCGTGTGAGGAAACTCTGGAATTCGCGGAAGCAGTTATAGCCAGTGATGAGTTCACCGCCGGCTACAACACGATGCTGGACCAGTTACTTCAGAAAGGAGATTCTCCTTCCTTCAGGGTTCTGGCAACAGGGTACAGCGCCTTCTTCGATGATGCCTTGACTGATGACTGCAATGAGTATACGCTGAGTTACTGGCCTGGCTGGTGGCATCAACAGCTCACCGTCGACATAAGAAAGAGAATGAACAAGATGTGCACGGAACTAAACGCCAAAATCGGTCAGATCATCGACGCTCGACCAGACAATAGGGTCATATGGGTCGATTGGGCACCGCGATTCAAGGAGCATCGCTTCTGCCAGCCAGGCAAGCCACCTGTCGACGGCGAAAATACATGGTTTTTCGACGTCGAGTTCAGGGAGTTCATCCCGACTGATGAGGTTGACATCGAGACATGCGAGCATGAGTCAAGCCTCTCTGGTGACTGGGGGGAGAGGGCCCTGTGTGGTATGGCAATCGTCCAGGCAAAGTTTCCTAATGCAACCATACGTGGTGTTGGCGACAGAGTAGATGTTAAAGGCGGCCGTCGACCATTTGCTCCAAGTACTGCGCGACTGTTCCATCCAACAGCATTAGGACATAGAGCTATCATGGACGAGATACGTCGTGTTTGGCCCTATTAGGGTGCTCGCCCTGTCAAAGGTGCATTGATAGAATTAGCTGTGGCTGCAGGGGGTGAGATCTAACATATTATTATGAAGAAGCATGAAACGAGCCTTGACCCGGTTGCTTGGTTTTGGATTCGCAGCAGCATTCTAGCTGTCTATTCATAAAGCCATGTATATATAAACGACAACAGAGCCTACCCATCCTGGGTATACTTCATGTCTTTAGAGTAGGCTCGAAGAATGTATAAATCTTGAAAATGACAAGATCATTGACATCTCATGTATAAAAGCGGTGCCAATCAATAAAATAACAAAATCAGAGCTTGGACTGCACACATAAAGCGATCCCACCAAGGACAAGAGCCATTCCCAGCCAAGTTTCTATAGTTAAGGTCAGTTAAAAATGCCATACAGCCACTGAATGCATAACGGTAAGCTCACCCTTAGATATCACCTTTCCCTCAACATACCACTCTCCCAGAACAGTAAACAAAAACGCAGTCGAGTTCGTTATCGGGACTGTAAGACTGAGCTCTATATACACCCCAATCGTCAGATGGATACCCAGTAGCCAACAGCAAAAGGAAATCATGCTAAATACCGTGTTTCCCAACAAGCAGGAAAAACCACACGCTCCCAGTCAGGTTAATCAACAGCGGCACCGAATACGCCGGCGTGCGCAAAAGGTTCACCACTGTCCAGAACACTGTGACAACTTTCTCTCTAATCCACGATGCTGAGAGGAGTGACGGCTTTCTGTGTCTCGTAGTGGGTTGACTGCTGTTGCCTTGCTTCGCTTCGTTGCGGGCGTTGAAGTCAACGGCGGCACGGCGGATAAAGGGCGTGGTAAATCCCCATGCCAGGCCAACGAGCAGAAAGCTCAGAAGATAGCTGAATGCACCGGGATGCCCTGTAGGCGGAGGGGTATCTGGATCCATCTAGTATCTCTGGCTCCAAGTATAAATCTCTATACGTGCCAAAGAACTTCCTCTACTCTGTACTTTTTGATCGAGAAAGCATACTGGAATTCCGTAGGATTTTCCTACCGTTGGCCTACTATAATAGTTACTTACCTAATATTAGTAATTTACCCTTAATATAGCTTTAATATAATAGTAATACTATAAATTTAATATAATATTATATAATATAAAAATCTATATTAATACTATTTATTTAGTTAATATAACTTTATTCGGTGGGCCTGACCAAGCGTATCTCTGGGGTACGTTTGGTGAATGTCACGGCTTGAACAGAAGACAAGCTGATACGTTAGAACCCATGTATCTACAGCGACATGCAGAAGATGTTGGCTAAGTTGATTCTGTCTGATGCCCAGATATATTATTTGTGGCTGCTTTCCTGTCTGCGATATCTGCGGCCATCCTATCAAATGTCAGATTACACTTAGGCCAAGGCAAATTAGTCGGGGAGCAGGACAGAAACATGGATGGCGTTGCTCTTACTATGTACCCCTCTTGACTTGTAAACCGGAGCCTGGTTGGTTTGGGAGCCACATTCTACACAACATGGACCTCTGGAGGGAGACGTGTGTGTGCATTCATTGGGGCTAGGAGGGAATGACATGTATCCTATCCTGGTAAACACCACTTGAGACCGGAAAGGCATTCCCTTCGGTCTGCACATTAGCGAAGCCGACCATGAGCATATAAAAGAGAGGGATGTGAGGACCCCTTTTGCAACCTATTTTCTGGTGTTGCTCCCCAACACAAAAAGTTCAAGTATGGTCAGACCAGACAATCTACGCAAAACGCAATCATGATTTGCGAGTCATCCTTTTTGGGCCTTTTTCTGGTATGTATGGATACGTGAAATGCTACTCGACTTCGCTGCCCTTCTCCTCGTCCAACTCTGCGGCGAGGTCTTTGGCGGACGTAATTTCTTGAGTCCAGCATTTCTCAATGATATGACCTAGCCATGTATTGGTCGTTGAGGGAAGGCTGTCTCGCCGCGGCCAAGTGTACAGGTCCCCTGGTTCCCTCTGTCCCTGCGCGAGATCGAACCTGCACCTTTGGCCAGTCACAATCTCAAACATGACGGCGCCAAATTGCCCAATGTCAGTCATGATTGAAAAACCAAGGTCGTCAGAGCCGTTCAGGTCCCAATCGAGAGGCATCATCACTGATTCTCCAAAATCACTGAACTTAACGGATAGGTCATCAGCCAGTAAAAGTTGTCCAAGCGGATATCAGCGATAATGATGCGACATTCATGAATGTGCAGCATAGTGTGCGCCATTGATACCAACCAAGATAGCTGTATCGATTTCTCCGGTCGCGTTTCAGCCAGGTAATGTCGAAGATCTCCATTCTTCATAAGATACATCTGGATCGAAGGGTCGTCTGATGAAAGATTGAAGCAGCGTACAATCCCGGGATGGTCACCCAGTCTTCGATAGATAGCCTTTTCATCTTGAATCGAACGGATAAGATCGGGGCGCTCATCGTAGTTCCCTTCTTCAGGAGTCAATCTTCCAGTAGCCACAGGCACCCCGTCAACCTCTATAGGCCTTAAAATTCGAGGTATTTTGAGCGCATACTGTCTTCGCTCAATGACGATGCCTGTACCGCCTATGCCAATCACTCTCTCCACAACCTTAGTACCATCAAGGTGTAGGAACGCCGATTTAGTTGATGGCAAAGGTGGAGGATTTTCGCGAAAAGAGGTGTAGGTGGAATCCCTCCTGGCTCTGAAGCACCTGCAAACCTGAACAAAGGTGGAAGAGAACCAGCTCTTTTCTCGAGAAGACGGATACATATGACTTATCGGCCTGTGTTGCACTTGGGGTGGAGAGTTTAGAATTACTCCGCAATAAAAGGGACGTACTGAGGCCGCCGGGCATAACTTGGTGGAAACTCTGACTGAGTACTCTGTCTAGTAGAACAAAAGTGCCTTTACCTCAGTATCTCAGGCACTCTCCGGCTAGCCCCTTCGAGCCTAGTGGGTAAAGCATATAAGCAGTGCAGCGACCAGAGATGACGAACGTCATCTCTGTGTATGATCTTTTGGTCGAGTGATATATGCTGTAGCATCGCTGCCAGCATACCGCCATTACATTAAGTATTTTCTTGACACACAATTTGGGCAACAAAGAAACTATCCTTAGGTGTGACACTGCTTTTGCAGCCGACTGCAGATACGAGACTAATATTACTCTCAGGCACTACGGAGTACACTCTATACAAACGAAAAAAAGCGCTATATTAGCTTTATACTCTTCTCTTCATAGGCGTCAGGGAGCCCCTCAATCTCATTTGCATTTAATGTTTGCAGTGCCTTCATCGACATTCAATAGCCTTGTCAAATGCTTGGGTGATTGGATCATAGAGTTTCTCTGGCTTCCCTAGAGTCCCAGTCACCAATCCGTTGCGATACGGGAACAAGATTCCTCTCAGCTCTCTACAGAGACATTTAACCTGGTCGAACTCTGGTGGGAACTCCTGCAAAAGATCCTCAAATCTATTCGCGTCCATATGACCGGTTTTCACATCGGCAATCTCCTCATAGCTCCCTGTGTACCACTTCTTTAGTCGGCTTTTATTAGGCTTGTCTTTCGAGCGACCATAACGCTCCCATCCATTATGGGCACACTGCCATATAAGTACATAGAAGAACGACTCCAGATCGTGCCGATAAGTATGGTCAATGTTAAGCAGCACTTCTATCGCCATAAATTCCATCGTGCCGGTCTGATGTCGTGCTCCTGTTGGCCCGCTACCTAGCTCCTTCGCAAGATCAAGGTCAATTAGCATGCCTGAGTAACCATTGGCAATTTTAGGATCGGTGATGATGATATTATTCTCAGAAATATCTCTGTGCAAGATTTTGCCCTTGGTGTACAGAGAACGATGTGCTCTGATTGCATCACGGAGTGCTAGAAGCAGCTCTTTGGGCGAATCGAACTTATAAATAGCCCTGCCGGCCGGGTATATCGCCAAACAGCGCAGGACTCGATTTTCGAACAGCTCTTCTTCCTCGGTAGCGTAAAGACTGGCTTTCTGCGTCTCCTCCACAGAGAATGCTACTTCATTTTCTTCTGCTGCGCTATCTAACCTAAGGTTGCTCGACCGTGAACGTTTGAGAGGTTTGGCTGCAGATTTAGTAGACTGTTTTCTTTTTCTCGAGGAGCCCGAGGATGAACCTTTGGCGATGCTTAAGCTCTGGAGCTCCGTGAACGATTGGGACAGCTGGAGCTGTGGCTGAGACTGGGTAATGGAGGACGACGTGCTTGGTGCCATGCTGCGGAATTGATAAACTTTCTTAAAGTCAAGACCTTTGCGCAATTCTGCAATGCTCGTGATGGATCTGTATCCAATCACCCTGGCCACACCCTCTACCTCGCGTTGATGCGCTATTTGAAGAAGGTCCATCTCGGGCTGCCGTCTGGCAGAAGTCCAAGAGAATTTGACAACACTTTGTAACTTGGAAGGATCATGGTCTTTGGTTAGATAACAGCATGTGCCGCGACAGACCACCGCCAGCTGAACTGATATGGGCATCGGTTCCAGTCGCAGCGGCTTCTTCTCGCCAGTGTCAATATCCCTAATGGGGACAGTTCGCGTCCCGTCGTCACGTAGCATAGTGAATGTATCTAGACCCAGCTCCGCGTCACTCATCAGCGTGTATCCGATGATCGCACGGAAGAACCGTTCGGGCTCGTTGTGGATGTCAAAGGAGCCAGAGCTGTATGGCCCCGATCGATCAGTCACCCACATCTCCATCTCCGTCCCACAGAGAGTGAAGGAGTGAACGAACGGACGGGTCGGCTGGGCGGCAAAGACGTCTCGTACATACCGCTCCATCTGAAGAATTGTGCCCTTCTTATTGTAATTTGACTGTTTAAGTTCACCGACAACGCGTATATCCTTCCAGCTATGTGTTGGCACAAGGTCATCACCGGCTCGCATCTTCATCAGCACGTCCACCTGTCGTTCAGCCTCGGAGTCTTTGAGACTCTTTTTGCCTTCGGTAGAGAAATATATCCCACGAGTTTCGGCCAAGAAGGTGTCCTGCAATCGAAACCACCAGTCTAGAACATCATTTTGAATTGGCAATTCTGGGAAATCCGATAGTCCAGTGTCATCTTGCTCCTGTATCTTCTTATAGATATCGATGAACTTCTCTTCCCAACTTGTATTCCGAAAATACTTCGCATCAAATCCCCCAACATCTTTATGTGTGCACGTCTTGATCTCGTCAAAGAGCCTCTCCTCCACCAGTTTGCGAGCTTGCTCGTTACCGCGCTGGGAGGACGACGTCGATCTCCAAGGTGTGCCGTCTGATGTGGGAGGAATTGTCGCAGGAGGGGTAAGTTGGGAGACAGTCTCAATAAGTTGATGAACTGCTTTCCAGATATCAACATCGGGAGCCTTTTGAATCACTAGGTGTACCAGCGCTCGATAGGGATTGTAGTTAAAGCTTCCCTTCCCTTTCCGGAGGCGCGTATATAAATCCGCCAGGTCCGAATCCGCTTTTTGATCGTTTATCTTTGACGAAAGATTTAATGCTGCATCAGTTCCCTGTAATGTATAGACAAGTTTCGTTATTGTATTTCGATAGAGATGGTCGAGATTATCTGAGGCACCATCGTAAAACACCAACCGTGAGTCGTACACTTTCTCTTGAAGTAGGTCACCTAGCTTGTCGAGTGAGTCATTTAAAGGATATTGCTTGATAATGTCGCGGTCGCCCTGTGAAAGGCCCACCATTTTCGTAGCATAAACATATTGTACTCCTGAAGAGATTAAACGTCCCGAGCCTCAATCTTGTTTTTGATCTAAATCACATGAATTTTCTCGGCCGCTTTGTACCTTCCACTAAAATTTGGAGTGGTAACTATTTATTTTGTTTGTCTAGTTTTTGATAAAGGTAGTTCAGCTTGGCATGCGTCGTTCAGAAGTCGATCGGATATAGCGAGGGCTTAGTTGCACCGACAAGACCAAACTGTACAGTTATCCGAATTTAGCGAATGAGAACTCGGTAATGTCTGCTTTTCTTGAACAAGTCGCTTCTCGTTGACTTGTACTCATCCCCTGGGATGTCTATTACAGGATATATACGCAATCAAGAAATACCTTCTTATGCATTGTTATGAATAAGGAACGGGATTCTAGATTGCGTATAAAGTGTAATGGCAGTATACCGGCAGCGATGATACAGCACATACCACTCGACCAAAAGATCATACACAGTGATGACGTTCATCATCTTTGGTCGCTGCACTGCTTATATGCTTTGGTGTTGGGATGCCGCGTGATATGTGGGCTTGGAGGGCGTACATGCTGGTGACATGATATTTGACATGTATAGAAGTATAATGAAGAAGAATAATAATAAGTTGACGTTACTAATCGTTTAGTCAGATTTTAAATATTAGCATTAGCTTGGCAGATTAGTCATACCCGCAAGTTTATTTCCACTTTGGTTTTCGTCTGACTTGATGAATCATGAAGCTGAGATGAACGACGGAAGATGAACAAGATGGTGTTTAGCTGAGCTGGGACTAAGTTATCCGTACAAACCACTACACAGCAGGTCTCTGGCTCTACGGAGAACTGTATATTCTTGGTATGCAATGGTGGTTACTCCGTGTTGACTCTTCGACTGAGGCGACGACTAGTGATCCTCTGCTGCTCCGTATTATATTCAGATTCCGGATCCCCGCACGAGTTGACCCGGGGATGAAAAAGTGTAGCCTGCGCTTGTGTGGCTAAGGGCAAGATCGACACTTACATAAATCCTGCCGCGTTTCCCTTTTGTATCCCGCTTCACTTTTGTCTTCATCTCCGTCAACCGTCAACCGTCAACCGTCAACACATTTTCACACCCAGCACCAGAGAAGACAGGAAGGGAGCAACATGCATTTCAGGCATTTTACCAGACAGAACTGGCAGACGTTCCGCCGACGCCCGCTAGCTGAGATCTCCGGCGCAGTCGGTGACCTTGGGACCTTTCTCCCCATCCTTATCGCGTTGACCATAAATGGATCAATCTCCCTGCCGAGCACACTAGTGTTTTCAGGAATATGGAATATCCTCACAGGTCTGTTCTTCGGCATCCCGCTGCCTGTGCAGCCCATGAAGGCCATCGCGGCCGTGGCGATTGCGGGGAAGTATAATGCTGGCCAGGTTGCTGCTGCCGGCCTCTTTGTAGCCATCTGCATTTTACTATTTAGCGTGACGGGAGCTTTGAATTGGTTTTCGGGGATGGTACCCATCCCAGTCGTCAAGGGAATACAGGTCGGAGCTGGTTTGTCGCTTGTTGTGTCTGCCGGAGCTACGTTAAAGGGCTCGTTATCGTGGATTGAGCCGTCGTGGGCGGATAATTATATCTGGATGATTGCTGCCTTTATCGGCCTGGTAGTAACAAACGTCTACCGGCGGATGCCTTACGGTCTGAGTGTGTTTATTCTCGGGCTGGTGTTTGCATTCATACGCCTGGCAGTATCGGACCATGGCATCTTACCTGGCTTCCGTCTCTGGAGGCCATGGCTTACGGTCCCGAATTTACTCGATTGGAATGCAGGCATTCTTGACGCTGGGGTTGGTCAGGTACCGCTTACGACACTGAACTCCGTCATTGCCGTTGTGCATCTTGCTGCAGACCTGCTGCCGGACGTACAGACACCGACGGTGACAGAGATTGGGCTGAGTGTGGCTGCCATGAACGTGATTGGCATATGGTTTGGCTCGATGCCGGTGTGTCATGGATCCGGCGGCCTTGCAGCTCAGTATCGATTTGGTGCTCGTTCTGGCGCAAGTGTTGTTTTCCTGGGACTCGTCAAGGTTGTCGTCGGTCTGCTGTTTGGCAACACGATTGTCGACCTCCTAGCAAAGTTTCCAGTGGCACTTTTGAGTGTAATGGTGATTGCAGCAGGCCTTGAGCTGGCTAGCGTGGGTGAGTCGTTGAATACTTCCTCGGCATGGGATTTGAACGGACACGGCGGTAGCGGAGGCCTAACCGGAGCGATCTCTGAGGTGTCGCTGGGCGCTGACGAGCGGAAAAAAAGATGGACAGTGATGATTGTCACAGTCGGGGTGCTGGTTGCATTCAAGAACGATGGGCTGGGATTTGTAGCTGGAATGCTGTGCCACTGGACATATGACATCCCCGCTCTCATAGACAGGCTTCGATCTAGATTCTCACACGGTAGGGTTAGACTGCCCACCGACAGCTGAACATGTATCGTACATAGACTAGAATGCCGCCCAAGACCCTCGTCTTCACCCTAGCCTGACCATGGTTATCACTTGTAAATGCCGATATGAAACTCAAGCTGATGCCGGCCAAAACATGCGCCAGGCTGGGCAACCCAAAAGCGCGCAGCTTTTTCCTCCTTTTGGCCGTAAATGAGGCGCTAAGCCTGTTTTGGTTATTTTCTGGAGCGGCCGCCAAGCTTTTTCCTGTTCAGCCGCCAGAAAGTTTAAGTTTTTTTTGATTAAGACGAAATTTGTTTGGCTCTTGTTGGTTCTTGTTGGCTCCTTTGACTTCATGGTTCCTGATTCTGACGCCAGCGAGGCGCAATCAAAGCGTGTTCAGCTGGCTGCGAACCGAAGATCTTTCTGATTGCTCCGGTATATAATGACAAGGCAATACTCGCCGGTTGCTGGATTAATTCCAACAATCAACCTCTGCTACCTTGTCTTCTACTATCACAGCGATAGTATTGCATCTCAACTCCACACACCTTGATATACCTCTACGATATATAAATATCTACATTTCACCATGACTGACGGTTTGCACCTGAAAATCGACGTGAAGAAAGAGAAGAAGTCACGAATATACAAAATCACCTGTGGCAACAACCCAATGCCCATGTATACGGTGGAAGTAAACAAGAAGTCGAAGCCCCATGCCAAAGTGATCAAGAACAGCGCACCATTTAGTGCTCAACCTCCACCTCCACCGCCTGTTCAATACCAACAACCCCCTCCATATGGTTTCCAGGGCCACAACCCACCACAGCAATTCAATCAGCCATACAACCAGCAGTACCATCAGCCATACCATCAGCCATGCCACCAGCCATATAATCAACCGTATAACGCACCCTCCCAGCCTCATAACCAATCGTACTACCAAAGCTTCAGCAATTATCAACCCCCGCCAGGCCAGGTTATCGGCACAATAACATTTCACGACCTCTCATCCAAGATAGACGTCTCATTCAACGGTGCCAATGCATCGATGAAACGCCCTGATCCTCTAGCTTCAGGCCGCAAGTTCCAGACTCCCAACATGGGCAAGATGCAGTGGAAGGAAGATGGCCTGTTCAGCAGTAATCAGAAACTTGTGGATGAGAGGCGTAACGTGATTGCCAAGTACAAGAAGGACGACGATGAGATCATTGTCTTGCTGCCACCGAATCAGATCGACCTGCACTTGGATATGATTGTTGTCACTGGCATCGCGATGATCGACGCGGAAAGAAAGTCCGACAGTGATGGAGATTTAGTGGAAGGGGTTATTGAAGTTATTGCTGGATAGGGCTTTTGCCTTCCTATTTTCCGTCGCGCTATAACGCCGTTGTCTTCTAGTTACTCTTACTCTGCATCTTTGGTGTTTTCATCATCTTTCTCTCTCAGCCAATGGACTTTCTGATTAGTCAGCAATTATACGACAATGTTTATTTTATTCCATTTTTAGACTAGCGCCGGAGTCCCCCGCGTTTAAGTTATTTGAGCCTCGGCATTTCAAACCCGATTTTATACATTTTTGGAAGTGACATTATATTCGAACTCCTTTGAAGAAGAGTGTAAGAGACATTATCATGGCTAATACTTCTGGTCTGACGGCCGAGCAGGTCGCCTCGTTTAATGAAAATGGCTTCCTATTGATCCCTGGCTTCTTGTCCAAATCGCAAGTCACCTCCCTACTTGACACCGCAAACAATCTTCTTGATAACTTCGACATCGCCACCCACCCTCTCACCCGTTTCACTACCGGAGATGATCCTTTATCGAAATCCCAGCATGTTGGGGACGAGTACTTCCTTACCTCCAACGACAAGATCCGTTTCTTCTTTGAGCCCGGCGCATTCTCCGCCTCCGACCCCTCCAAGCTCCTACACGCTAAAAACCGATCTATAAATAAGATAGGCCACTCAATACATTCTCTCTCTCAGCCTTTCTCAGACGCAACACATACTGGGCCTGTGGGGGTGCAAAATGCAGCAATAGCAAAAGCATTGGGTTTCCGTGACCCCCGTGTACTGCAGAGCATGGTCATATGCAAGCAACCTGGTATCGGCGCTCCGGTGCCTATGCATAAGGATTCCGAGTTTCTGTACACTGATCCGCCCTCTGCCGTTGGATGGTGGATTGCCTTGCAAGATGCTGGGGCAGAGAATGGGACACTTGGATTCTGGAAGGGCAGCCACAAGACCGGCAGGGTTAGGAGGAGGTTTGTCAGGACTACGCCTTATCAGGCGGGCTCAGATAATGCGGGAGGAACAGAATTTGTGGAATGGAATGGGCCGAATCTACCTGCAGGTATTGACGAGGAAAGTAAGGGGAAGGAAGATTACGAGCCTGATGAGAAGGACTATGAGTTAGTAGAGATCAAGGCGGGTTCGTTGGTGCTGATCCACGGCAATGTGCTGCATAAGAGCGAGAATAACCCGAGTGACAAATCGAGGTTTGCATATGCTTTTCATGTTATTGAGGGAACAGAAGGGTGGAAGTATGATGATAGAAATTGGCTACAGCCTCCAGAGGGAGGCTTTACAAGACTGTTTGGTCAGGACTGAAGTGGAACAGAGGTGAAAGACTTTTTTTGTTATATACCTCAACTCCTTACTTGAGGAATCATAATGCAACGCCAAACATCCAGGGTGTATCACCGATGTACAAATCCAAAACATAAAAGTAAACACACAATATGAGGAATTAACAGATCACGCTTTCAGCATATCTAACATTCCTCTTGTCTGCCATGCCTGCTGGGCTCGATCAACCTCCTCCTCTACCCGTCGATGTAGCTTATGCACCATGTTATCGATGTGCACTGACTGCCCGAGATGCGCAGAATATATGTCCAAAATATTCATAGACACTTCAACACTCAAGTCGACCAGTCGTGGGTCAGGAATGGCTTTATATACCCATTTTAGGATGGGTTGCAGGGTTGTTTCATCTCGACCAGCCAAGGCGGTGCGTAAAGCGGCCCGGTGTCGTAATGCAGTGAGCAATGTGATGATAGTGATCTTATCGCCCGTCTCGAGTACTCTGTCTAGCGAACTGCTGTATCTGCCCTTGCGCAGGTCATTTTCCCATGCACTTTCACGCTTACGTTTTTTCTTTCCCCCCTGGTCGGGGTCAATGACGATATCGATCCCTTCACCGACAAAGTCCATTCCACGCAGCCGTTTCTCCCAGCCTTGTCCACGAGCCTTCTGCTTGTTCTTCTTTGCAACTTGACGGTCGTGCTCTTCTAGTTTTCCTTCAAGGAGAGCTTTCATCTCTCGTTCCCGTTCTCGTTCACGGACCTTTTGTTCTCCTGAGAGCCGTGTGCGGATCGAGAGAACGCCGGATTGCATGCCTACCACGATATGTCTGTCCTCTCTCTGGGGTCCCGAGCTGACGACGCCCAAGGATAGGATAGGAGATGGGTATTTGGACCCTCCAACAACATTCCAGCCGGTCGTCTCGAAGACCTTCATGTGGCCGTCGAGCGAGCCACTGACGACTCTGCTTCCGTGAGAAGCTACTGACAGACAGGTGACGGTCTTTTGGTGGCTGTTGATCATGTGTAGAGGCTTTCCGGCAACAACATCCAGGACGGCAACCTGGTTGTCTGCAGAGGCCAGAACCGTCGTGCCCAGAGGCATGGGCTGCACGCTCTCTATCGGCGCAGGCAGCTTGAACGTCATCACCGCCCGGCCTTCCGCCCTGGTGTCCCATAGCCTGACGGTCTGATCGTAACTGCCAGAGATAACCAAGTTCGACGACTGAGCTCCAGGCATAAACGTGCCGCTTCGAACGTAGTCTGAATGTCCAGCAAAACTCCTCACACTCTTCTCACTAGGCAAATCCCACAGTCGAACAGTCCGGTCGTCACTGGCAGTCAACAGATCTGTAGCACAAGAAGGCGAAAATTTGGCTACCCATGTTGGCTGCTTGTGTTCCTTCCATGTCCGCAGTATAGACCTTGAGTTGACGTCGAATACCTGTACGGCACCAGTCTCATCTCCGGCAACCAGAACACGGCCGTCAAACCGCACATCCGAGCAGCGTGTGTTGTCATCAAAGCGTGTGATGGTCTTGAGTAGCTTGCGAGTTCGGATGGAATATATCTGGACTCGCGCGCCGGTGGTTACGGTGAAGATGTCTGGAGGTTGAATTGCAGCGGGTAAGGAAGAAGACGTCGGCGCAAGTGGCTGGGAGATGTGTGTTATAGGCGTGTTGGAGGGGGAGGAGAGGAGCAAGAGAGACTTGAACGACCTCCAGTATAGCTGTTCTGGGGTGAGTCGGGTGGTGGGAGTGGTGGGCAGCTTCACCTGCGGCAAGGGGAGAACTGGCGCAGCCATTGTAAAGACAATTATTAGTCAACAAGTTCAATTCCACGATACTGTAGATGCTGTAGCTGTTGATATCATTATCTCCATGTCCTTCAAGCTCTTCTTCTTCTTCTTCTTCCTCACTTCTACTCTCTCTTCCTTAATTCTTCTTTTTCCTCTTTAGGAAAAATAATTTTTTTATGTCGGTAACGGAGCTATATCCCCGGGACATCACGTGATTTGATGACTATAAAACACGGGACTATAGGGCTGAAGTGGGTCTCACGTGACTATCCCAGCCACCTAAAAGGGGAAGTCACCTGATTGGCTGAAACTGCCACCAGCCACCGCCTTTTAGATCTGCTTAGTCATCTGCGATGCCCAAAGCTTGAACTCAAACGGAAAAAGACGAGACGAAAGAGGAAGAAAACAACGTTTTTGATTCAACTTCTTCACATTCTCTTCTTCTTCTTCTTCTTGTTGTTGTTATATGCACTCTCTACCTTCAGATATACTCACTCTTTTTGTCCTGTACTTGTCCATCCGCTGTCCCTCTTTCATCTCTGGAAAAAGGTTGCTTCTTGTATATACTATCTTAGACCATGCTTGAGGCAAGGAAGCTGTTGTGGTACGTCACCCAGCCGACCCCCTAGCCATTCCATTTATATTGTTTGTGTATCCAGCCAGGTAATGGTTCTTCAAGTGTGGCTATGAAATAGAGCTGCCTTGATATAGAACGTTTCTGCCTGTGCCAACTTCTGTTCCTTGTTTTGTTCCTTTCTTGCAGAAGGGCTGTCCCGGCTGACTGTGCTGCTAGTTCTCATTTTTAATATTCGAACGATCAAGTTCTGTCCAGCATGTTGACCACCGCTACGAAATTGGCCCTGGGCCAGCATACTGCAGGAATATACGCAGACATGTCTATTGACGGGCCGGAGATTGGCACCCTGGTCGCCGTCATCGACCGGGCGAAGAACCTGCCGAACAGGAAAACTTTGGGGAAACAGAACCCATACTGCGCTGCGAGGCTGGGAAAAGAGGCGAAGAAGACAGAAACGGATATGAGAGGCGGGCAAACACCAAAATGGTATGCGTCGTCTCGATTTAATAGATTAAGAAGGGCATATGCTAATTACGTCGGGGATATATAGGGATCAGGAACTACGATTTACTGTTCACTCTTCGCCGGATTACTATCAACTGAAGCTTTCCGTCTTCAATGATGATAAGAAAACAGATCTTATCGGAGAAACATGGGTGGATCTGAAGAACGTTATTGTACCGGGTGGCGGGCAAAACGACTTGTGGCACAACTTACAGTGCAAGGGGAAATATGCAGGCGAATTAAGAATGGAGCTGACGTACTACGACACTCGACCTAAAGATGAAGCAGTCATCGAGCGGAGAAAGGAGGCCGCCGCTGCTGAAAAGGCCGAAAGAAAGGGTACAACCGCTCCGGACAAGCCTCAACCCACTTCCAAAAGGACCAAAGGCCCGAGGAGGAGGCCATTGCCAGTTGACCCTACAGGCTCATCTTCCTCTGCCCCTCGTCGGTCACCAAATCTAGAAAATCAGCCAGCACAGCCAGCGCAGCCTCCCCCTGGACACAGTCCTCCCATCAGATCTAAGCAAATACCGAGCAAGGTCCCACATGCCAGTCAGGCTCAGCCGGTAACTACCCACCATGCCTCAATCCCCAAAGGTGCTCGACACTATGAAACGCCAGATGATCTTCATCAGCAATGGGAGGAACCCGCACCCAGTCAGCCTCAAGCGGCATATCCACCCAATCACCCGCATCAGCCTCAGCAGCATTATCAAGGGGACTATGAAAATGCCTACAGTCAGCACCCCACACACACAGAAGTTTCCCAGCCACCGGCACAGCCTCAGATGACAGCACCGGTGCAAACACAGACACCACCTCCGGCCCCGGCTCCAGTTCAAGTACCAGCTCCAGCTCCAGTGACGGCTTCAAATGATCATTCGTATGGCAATCCACATGCCGAGTGTTACTATGAGCCAGAGCGTATTGAATCTACCCAGCGGCACAGCCAACAGCCACACGTGGATAATCATTGCCTGTCGCAGGAACCCATTGCACGCCAAAGTCACCATGGCCAACAGGCGAATAATCATTATATCCAGGAGTCTGCTCACCGTCCACAACAGCCGCAAACAGATAATCACTATGCACATGAACCTGCTGTTTATCACAGCCATCAACAGCAAACCGATAATCATTACTCTCAAGCTCTGGTTGCCGTTAACCGGCCTCGAGGCCCGTACGAGGCACCACAAAGGAAGGCTGTCCGTCAACCAACCGGCTCCGACTCTCGACAAACTAGTCAGCACTCATACCCTCCAATGTCTAGAGGGTCCATGCATGGAAGTTCTGAGGCATATAGTCATCATGAGTCTCCCGAGTCTCATCAGCTTCAACTCACTCATAGCCCTTCCAACCACCCTGGGGCTAATCATCACTATAGCTCGTCAATGGGAAGAAATGACGTGTTTCAGGAGAGGCCCTTGCGGAATTCCATGAAACAGTTAGACTATCATCGCTCCGTTAACAGCCACGGCCACAACATTGGCCATGGACATGGTCATATGCAGCCGCAGGTCCATGAAGCTGACGAAGAACATGATCTCCCACCACCCCCCCCAATACACCGTGATGGGCTTGGAAAGCAGCCGACTACAGTGCAGCCAGAGCCAACGCAGTCCATGGATCATCACCAACTCACACATCGCTCACAGCCTATCCCGATGCCACAGCCACTCAACTTCAGCGGTTCTAGTAGAAATTCTCACCGATCAACTGGAGAAATGCACCAGGAGTATGTTGCTTACTCTCCTCATATCTCCAACCAGGGATACAGTACTTCACCAATCCCTAACTCTACCTCACCAACCCCATCATATCGTTCCACCATTCAGCCACAGGAGTTGGCGCTACCACCAGAAAGGCCAAATACATCCACTGGTGAATCAATTCCATCTGCTCTCGTTGCTGGGTATGACCAACAAGTCCCCCAATCTGACCATAATGTTGCTCGCCGCAGGAGCGACATCTCAATGCATCCAACTCATATCGATGATCCTCCCGCTCAGGCAATACCTGACAATCGGGTTGCCAGACGTCAAAGTTATGTCCCGCCTCAGCCAACGCGTGCCTCACCCTCGCCTATACCAGAGCGGAAGTCAGTTTCGCCTGACCCTCGACAAATCCCCGCTCGTAAATCCCTTACCCCACAACCGCCCCCGGTTACCGACCCGGACTCTCTTCCAGGAATTCCCTTTAGCCCAGACTCCTATGACTCGCTGAACCCTGCAGCTGCTCGCTCTTCTGCCCTTATTCAGCCTGCATCTCCCTATGAAACGCCTGAAGAAGCTATGGAAGCTGCGCGTCAGCATGAGGTTGACAAACTACGTGCTCTTGGGCCTATAATAGGTAATGATGGACGGGTTATCGATCCATCGGATCACTTGCCCCTTGATACTTGGGCACCGGAGCCAGAGAGGAAAGTTAAGAAGCCAGAGGTCGTGGTTCGGTTCAAACACACGTCACACACAAATACTGTAGACCCGCGAGTGAAAACACTGGATCGTACTTCAGCTCGACATTCATATCAGCCATCTTTGCAGTCGAGCCACAATACTCCTCCGGCTAGAGCTCCAAAACGTATCACCTACGTTCCTTTATCATCCAGCTCCAGTAGCGGGAGCACAACCAACACTACCACACATAACCGCCCTTCCTCTTCATCTCGCCAAACTAGCAGCAACGCACTTCGAGAGCAGGAGAATAGCTCATCAAATTATTCACCGCCCGCAAACATCATGACCCCCCCCCATTACCGCGCACGACAGGCCCAGGCTCAAGCCCAGACCCAGGCGCAAGCACACCGGCGTTCTCCTTCTCCTTGCCCTTCCGCTCATCCTCTGCATTCTCATTCACCCTCGCACTCAGGTATATCAAATTACTACGAAAAAAGTGGCCCACCTATTCCAGCGAAAGTCCCTATCCACCCTGGCTCTCAGAATTATTCTTCAAATGGTTATTCCAACGGCGGCATGGGAGGAGACCTGGATGCACTAAGCGAGGAGATGAAGAGGATTGATATTGGAGTCGGGAAGAACATGTCCAGTGCGCTTGTCAGGAAAGGACGACAGTCTTACGTTGAGAATTATGATTATGAGCAATGATGTCGACCTGAATAAACGCCGTGATACGCATACACGATTGTATGGCCTCGTCCTACGACCTTTCCAGCTTCCAGCTTTTGTTTCCTTACTTTTCTGATTTTCTCTTTACTTTAATTTCCCCCACTCCCCTTTTTCTGTTTCCTTGGTTTCTATAATCTTCTTATGTTATCCGTTCTATGTTTACACAATTTGCATATCGATTGGATCTGGAGTGGATGTGGATGTCCTTTGGCACGTTTCGCGTTAATCGATTTTGAGGATAACCGGTTATGGAATAATACAAACATTGGACCGGTGCAGATGGAAGCAATAATCGGTTGGGCGGTTAGGCGGTTGGGCGGGCGGTAGGTTTGACCTGGTACCTTGTTACTTGCCTTTGCATGTTCATTTCGGATAATTTCTCATTACAAAAAAAGAAGAAACCAACAACTTAGAGACGATATATTTGAAATACATCCATATCCGGATCCCATTCAACCTTTGCTTTCAGCTCTGTATTATAACTTCAGGGTTCGTCTCCTATAAGGATACAGAGCGAGGCCGTCAGGTGACATCCGTCCCACACACCGATACTCTCCTCTACAATAAACAAATGTATTGGGTAGAAGCATCTTTAATAAGTCGTTAAATAGTTTCATTATTTGTCATCATTCATTAAATGCTATCAAGTCGTAAACAGCATCATTAGGCCTCGCAGAGTTCGCCGGTGATGAACAATGCACAGGCCTACCCAACCAGGATTCGTATGTATGTATGTTCGTTTGTATGTATGATCACAGAGACATATTCACAAATGAGAAAAGGAATAAAATCATATGTCCAATGCGCCTCTGAGAACTTCCTCAGCAGCAATGCCTGCTGTCCACATTGCAGAGTCATAATCATCCGGGCCATTGATATATAAAGCATGACCGCGAGTAGTGGCAGTTTTGTTTTCAAGGGGCTGGCTCCCATTTCTTGAATTGGTCTGTTGTATTTGTTCGTATAGAAGGCCTCTTTCTAACCGGCTGACGTATCCGGAGAGTCTGATATCTGCATTATTTCTGTCATTAGTATAGTCATCGTTATTTTCTCCTATATTATGTTCATTATAGGTGTCGTGCGTATTATTCTCCTGGTCATCAACATCATTATCGCTGTCAACACTGGCTCCTGCGAGCTTGTTAGCCCACCACCTAGCGCTCTTTTTTGTGTTTTCCTGGGCAGAGTGAACTTCATAATCCTGGAGGAGTGTTCCACTCCGTTCAAGCTGAGGGCTATCTTCAGTTGCCCAGCATCCGTTTCTCGCGCAATAACTCAAGAACTCTCGCCATGTTTCATCTTTTCCCGAATCAACGAGAACATTCGGGTTTCCTATTACAACGACTCCCTCCTTGGCTCGGGTGAGCGCAACGTTGAACCGCTTTTTCTCTCCTACCAGCCCTAAGCCAAGTGATTGGTCTTGCTTTACAAACTGTGGGCCGGACCGAGTGCGCGTTGTGCAGATGACGAGGAAGCGGGCTTCAAGACCTTGAAATGCTTCTAGAGGACCGATGTTGACAGAATGGAGATTGTGGGAGCGGAAAACATGTCTAAGATGGGAGACTTGGGACCTGAAGGGGGATATTATAGCAATCTCCTTGGGAAGTATGGACAAGGCTGGAGATTTTGGTTTGTCATTGTTAAGCACGTCAGAATGGCGAAGGAGGGACTTCACGTAATATAAGGCTAGTAAGGCCTCCCCAGGGTTGTAAACACCATTCCCTGCAGACCGGTGGAGAGCTTCTTCTACCTTATCCAACGAGGAGTTACAGCTGAATAGTACCGGCCAGCGATATGGGGGTTTCCACTCGGGCCAGGTAGGAACGGGCCCATCCGGGTTAGTAGGGAGAGCACATGGGATAAGGGTGTCACTGTAGAACAAGACAGATGGGACAGGCAATATGGCAGCATGAGAACGATAATTACGTGTGAGATTCGTAAATGCGGGGCGTTGAATTGGAAGCATCTCTTGAATAAGTTTCTTATATGGTCCTGCATTGCGACGAGAGAGCGGGTGATCTGCGTAGAATGGGCGAGAGAGTAGTCGCTCAAAAAGTGAGATGGAAAGTGAAGTGTCATGGTTGTAAATCCGAGGGCCTAGCTGATGGTGGTCACCTGCCATTACGAATAATGGCAGACTTGATTTTGTGTTGTTGGCGGACTCGTGGATAGATAGAGGGTTTGCGACTACTGTTAGCGGAATGCATACTGCAGGCTCGGTGTCATGTGCCGCCTCATCAATCAGCAGTGCCGTCCAATGAAGCATGTCTTGCGCATTGATGGGCGTTGTTGGTGAGACTGTAGACACGGTTTCGCATGCAAGTTTCATGAGATCTCGGTTGGTCAATCGAGCCTTGACGAGCATATCTGCGTCCCTGCATGTTGTAACAATAACTTTGTAGTTCATCATGGCTTTAAAACTGGGAAGGGAAAACATGTCGTTATCTATGTACGTGTAAGGTAGCAGCCCACTGGGAACCTCCGCAAACGTCCTTGCCCATCCGTTCAACCGGAACATTTCACCTGGTTTAAGATGGTGCGCAAGACGGTTTGCTAGAGTATCAGCGGCAGGGTTAGATGGTGCGCAAAGCAAAATATGGGGCTCAATATCGGAGGAACAGTTCAAAAGCTGCATAGTGCACTCCACGACCGTCTTTGTCTTGCCTGAACCAGGGACACCTGATATCAGAAAAGGGACGTTGCCATAGTTCCTAGAAATTATGGAATCCACGGCCTTCATCTGTTCATAGTTGAGATCGGGATCTACCCAATGAAGGTTAAAGACACCCTTTGGGAGGCTGTTTTGCATAACTCCATGTTGGGGTTCGGGGAAGAGCATGTGGCGATACCAGTTGGACTCATCTTGAAGGTTTCCAGAAAGCCCTCCAGAGATAAAAGGAGAAGACTGTGGCCAGTTCCAGCCGTTCTCAATGGCGATTATCGACTCCCAGAGCGGCACGTAGCGATTAGGCTGGACAGTGAAGAGTATATTGGCAAGCCAGGAGGAATATGTGGAGCTTATGGACATATCGAAATGTTCAATGCGTAGCCTGACGATCTCCTTGGCTCTGTATACACCCACTACGACTGCGTGAAGCTGTTGGCCGTTGAACCCTGGGGCAATTGAGCCTGTGAGAGTTGGCTGGTTACTTGCCAGCCACTCCACTCCTCTGGTCATCTGGTTTGGAGAGTGCAGTATCTGGCGTACGAGCACGGTGTCCCCGAGCTCGATGGCCGGGGCATCATCCTTGATGCCTGGGATTCTGATCTCAAATATCTGGTGCTGAAGGTCGACGAGCACGATAGGGATGTTATACAGACACAGGTGGGCCAAATCTAAAGTTTGTTGGTAGGCCTCCAGCAGGAGACACTCGTCGAAATAGTAGAGATAGATAGATGGCACCAGGTTCTTTACGTGGAGGGATATGGAGACTGGGACATTCCTGATGGGGGGCATGGCATGGGTGGTTGCAGGCTCAAGGAAGAGGCTGCCAGCGAACTGCTGAAGGTATGCATTGAAGTCTATAGTCTTCAAAGGGGCGGTATATTTACTCACAGCCGGGGAGTGGTTGATAGCAAGGAGATAGGCTGGGGTGTATGGCTGTGCAAATAGATGGGGGGTCCATCCTTGGGTGCGGGGGCCTTGGATATGAGCCGGTCCAATGATGGGGGCCGGGCCTGGGGTTTGGTGGGTTGCAGCTCTGGTACCGTTGGCGGTAGCACCGCCAAATTGCGGCCTATAAGCTATGCTGGCCGTCCTAAACTGCTCGGCATTTATCTGCCTGCTGTTGGAGGGGTCAATTATAGGGATTGCGGCTCTCCTGGGGCGTGATTGATCCATGGACAGCAGTGTAGGAGATATCCAGAAGGGGGAGAAGACAGAAGGATCACCTGCAGTGTTTCAGCAGCCCATTCTCTTTAGCTCAAAGAGGTTGTCTCGAAGTCCTGGCGTCCCGTCCGTCCGTCTAGTCGGCCGGAGATCTATAGAGGGAATAGAACAAAGAAACATAGAAAAAGCGAAGGCCAAAGCAGGTTTATTTTGGGTAACGCGTTCCTATGCTGTTGTAGACAACGAAGGAGGGCTTCAAAGTAAACCTGAAGGCATGAGGGTCTGGTGGAGAACGGCAGGAGGGAGACAGGTGTATTGGAAGACGGTCACTCGTATGTGTGTGTGAGGAAGAAAGAGAGGCACGAGAGAAGGCTGCATAGAGCGCGGGAGCAAGAAAAATAAAAGAACCAGCGGCGACTCCCCAGATACTGCCTCTCCACACGCAGTCAGGCCAAGTATCTTTCGACCTCAACGACGTACAGACGCCGGTATCATGAACGTCGTCGAAGCAAAGGATGAAGCAAAGAAGAAGAACAAGAAGTCTTGATGTCTTGCAGCGACTGGAAAGGGAAACCACGGCCCTTTGTTTATCCGGCGGCTCAAGCGGCTTATGTAACGTCGACCCTTGCATGGGAAAATCTCACAAAGAACCGCATCATGCACTCTGCACTTTGCCACGAGAGCGAGAACCCGTGGGGGCACTCCCTCTCGTGGCTTTCTGTGTGAGGTATAACGGGTGTAGTATTCCTTTTCCCGGTGAGAGGTTTCGTTTTCAGACGGGTGACATGCGTCTACTATGAAAATGTACAACCGGACCCGGCTTATACATCAGATCAGGTCGCATGGCTCAGTTGGTTAGCGCGTCGTACTAATAATGCGAAGGTCGAGAGTTCGACCCTCTCTGTGACCATCTGCTTTTTCTTTTTTCTTTCTATCTTTTTTTATTTTTTTATTAATAATATATAGAGTAGCTGTGGCCCATCTACGATTTTGTAACAGGCTTTGTGTGTTTTGTCGGCGTTGAATAAAAAAGAAAAAAAGAAAGAACTGGTCACAGAGAGGGTCGAACTCTCGACCTTCGCATTATTAGTACGACGCGCTAACCAACTGAGCCATGCGACCTGTTTCCTTGGAATCAGGAACCCCTCGGTTTCTTTTGACCAGACATGGTCGCTCACCATGTACTCTTTATATTTCGTTTCTTGATATAGCCCCTTTACTTTTTAAGCGACTCCCGTCCCACTGATCTGACGGCCTGTTATCCTTTTTGACTCCTCCACCAGCCCGGAAAGGATAAGCTATGGAGATCAGCTCTGCACACGAGTTCTACAACCGAGCTGTCACACCCCGCCAATCAAGAAACAGACTCGGCGGAGCGGTCAGTGAGCGAAGCCAGGGATAATCCAGCCAGCGAGCTCTTGGCTTGGATGGAAGGCTGGAGAGGGCTTGCCACCTGTCTGGTTGTCTTACATAGTACACACTGCACGCGAGGGTCGACAGCGGAGAGAAGAGGCAGACAGGTGAGTACAGCCCCTGGACACGTCGTCTATCAGTACATATACTATACAGACCGTCAACACCAACGACTAACTCGTTTACTTTTGTAACAGACGGAGAAGGCGGCGTCATTAGTCAGCTGGCGCCACTTGTGATGCTTACATAAGCTAAGAGGCACAAAACCTTCTGCTGACATCAACTTTTCGTCTTTTCTCTCCGCAGAAGACAACCCGCTAGTCACAAGAGAGATAGAGAGAACAGAAGAAGAAGAAGAAGAAGAAGAAGAACAAGAAGAGAGAGGGCCATCAGACAGCGACGGACAGACAGATAGAAAAGACAGAAAAAGAACAAGCAGACCGACAGAGACGGGAGGACGGGGCTCTTCTGGGACCGACAGGTTGCATCATTATCGCCATGCACGGCTGCTCCTGCGACTTCACTGTGCAGTGTGTGGCCACTGGCTGAAGTACTCGCCCACCGAGTATTATTACATTATATTACGGAGTTGATAGTTCTAAGCCAGACGGCAGAAACAAAAAAGAAAAAGAGGGAGTGACAAGGTGACAAGGGTCCCTTTATTTTTACCACTCTCTCTTGCAGACATCCGTCACAGACTAGGCTAGCCCTCTTGTTTGGTCTTGGTTCTTGGACGGGGTCTCCTCTCTCGCTCGTTCTCACATCCCTTTCGTTCGAACCGTTATTATATATATATATATATATTTATATCGACTCAACACCACCACCCTCTGGTAATAAAAACCTAGTAACAACGAGTTCTTCCGTCATGGTGACTCCGGAGTCCCAGCATACCGATTCAATGGCCTCGTTTGCGCCCACAAGACACTTTATCCGTGTCTCGCTCGCCTGTGTCCAGTGCCGATCGCGACATCTAAAATGTGATGCAAAGGCCCCTCGATGCTCTCGCTGCCAGGCAGATGGGAAACAATGTACCTATCTCAAGTCTCGCCGTGGTGGACGGCGCAGACCGGCCTCCTCGCCCTCTCCTGTCCCAGCAGACCTCCCCATGCACGCCTTGCCGCCGGACTGCACCTCGCTCCCCGTACCAGACGAGAATGTGTTCAACGATGTCTACTCCGGAGTTCCCAGGTCCATTCCAATGGTAACGCCAACTCGTGCAACCACAAGCAGCGGCAGCAGTCCTACACACTCAGAGGCGCAGACGGACGACCTGCTCAACATGTACTACAAGTACTTTCACATCTCCCATCCTTGCGTCCTCCCCAGATGGTCCTTTCAGATACGGCTGGCCCAGGACCCCGTCACCATGCGCCCACTACTATTGACCATGCAGTACATCGGTGCCCTCTTCACTCCCTCGGTATCTTCCACCTCCCTGGAACCGGAGGTCCTGCAGGCCTTTGCGGAGTTTCGGGCTTCCGGCGCAAAACCAACCGGATACCACGTCCAGGCCCTGCTGCTGTACTCCATCGCCGTATACTGGTGCAACGAAATCGAACGAGGGCTGAAGCTGCTCGATGAAACGATCCGGATAGCCCTCGATCTGGAGATGCACCTAGATTCGTTTGCGCAGCGTTATGGTGAAAACAATCGGCTGCTGGAAGAGAGCTGGAGGCGGACCTGGTGGCAGCTATACGTCGTCGACGGTCACGTTGCCGGGAGTACTCACACCTTTCCCTTTAGAACAAGTCATATCCAGCCCACGACAGCTCTTCCGTGTGAAGAAGAATTCTACGAGAAGGGGGTGAGTTACAAACACATATATATAGAAACGTATGGTAAGAACTGTATAGGCTAATCTTTAAACCTTTCTTTATTTTTTATTTTCGCCTGGGTCAGGATATTCCGAAGCCAAGAACCCTATATGAGTACGACATGCGCGAGTTTGCCGATGGAA